TCAGCAAAATCTAGCTCGTTTTGACCAACTTCTGCTTCCAACTTGCACAAAGACTTGATCTTTTGGCTAAGCAGTTTACGTTGTTCCTTTAGAAGATCGCAACTTTCTTTGATACTCCTTTCTCTAGGAGATTTCTTGTTTTCCTTTGTTTTCCTCCAAATTTCATCGCCTGCTTGAAACTCCGATCCACTACCGAAAAGAGATTTTAGATAACGAAGCAAGAGTCCTGTCAGTTCAAACTCGTCCGAATTTTCATCGATTTCTGAGTTAACGTCACTGTAAGTGTCCATGATTACTGCCATAAACATGTTGAGCAAAAAAAACTGCATTGCGAGTACAAACAGGGTGAAGAACAGCGGCCCTAAAAGTCTATCTGCGTGGCTAAGATCCACAAAATATGCCTTTCCTAGCGTCATAGCAAGAGATGTTTCAAACGTAGTCAAGAAATCAGCCATCCCTTCCACCTTGTTACCAAAGACGACGTACGCAAAGATGTTAAACGCTAAAAATACGATCAATGCTTCCATGCTCAATGGCAGCAGATCTTTTCCTGCTTGCACAACTGTGTGCCCAAGTACTGCAATATGCCGGTTAAAACTCAAAAGTTGAAGGAATTTCAGCGTAGCTATGAAAACAATGGAACCCAAGATATAGGTGTTAAGTTCGTCCCCTTTTATGGCATAGTGAAAACTAATAAAGATAAATGGATTTTCTTGCACTTTGTTTAATGTCCATTTTGTGTTACCAATACGAGCGATATACAAGCCGACGGCAGTGAAAGACAACACAAGCTGGGCAACATCCAGGACATTCCAACAATTTTTGAAGAACACTTTTCCTTGCTTGAAAATTTTTTTGCAAGTCACATAGAACCCTATAGACACCATGACTATAACAATAAACTCGCACATCCCCACAAGTGCGCTGAGTGGTCCAACGTGCTGGTGCAAGCGAAACGTATCAACTCTCAAATATGTTGTTGCTGCTCCAGTTCCAGTGAACTCTACCAGATAGGTCACACTACTGAAAAGGTTTGCCGGTGCGCAAAACACAGTCAGCTCGACTAAAACTGCACGGGTGTACTTGTCAATCCAGTTAAAAAATTTTAAATCGCTAATCACGTTCTTAGCTTGCTCCATGAAGTAACCTAAGTCGGCTGTAAATCCTCCGCCACTGTAAACTGCTTTGCTTCCCCAGATAGGCATTCCATTCAACTGCATAGCGGTTTGGTATCGCCATGGAACAGGACATGTGGAATACTCTAGGTCTGCTTTTTGTACCCATCCAGGCAAGAAGAAGCTCTTTTCCTCGGTAAGCATGGAGTAGGATCCTTCACAGCTCATGTTGAAATCTTGGGAGTAATCGCCTTTGCAAACGCCTGGAAATGAAAAAAATTATATGGACTTTTTCGCACAAAATCTAACGTTTTTGTTGAACCACCTTCTACGAAAGGCATATTTATAAAACGTCGCAGCCAAAGTACGGGTAAACATGGGTGTGGGAGACTCGGCATGGACCTATAATTTTAACTATTCACTCTCGACGAGAATGATCTCGCACCAGTCTAGGCTTGCAGATCAGTAGGTGAATGGCAAGTGGAGATAGTAGATGATTTTTCCCAGTGGGTGTCCATAACAAGTGTTCTCTGCAGAAAAAAAGTATGAATGTTTATGGCCTCGCGCACCTTGAGTGAAAGCAGGTGGTCTCGTGGCCAATAACTTTTAAACTAGCCTAGTCGATGGAGTGGCCAGCGTCCTTAGCGTGTTCGGACACAGCAGATGTGAGATAGTAGGCTTACACTGCGAATGACAGCAAACGTCATCACTGATGAAGGGATGCAGGATAGCTTTCGTAACTTTCAACAAATTGTTGGTGTTAAAGATTTTTTTTTTCTCCGTAATATAATGTGCCAACAGCCGAATCTTCACTCGGTCAAGTGTCCTCTAATTAGTTAGGAGTTTAATTGAGACGTTCAACGGTAAGTTGCATCAACGCAGCAAACAAACTTTTATCTCGTGCAAAAAGCAAGGGAAACATTTCCCATCCCAGTTCATTTCATTCATCAGATAGTATTTCCAGCGCAAAATAAATGCCCCTTGACCCCGCTGGCCATCTGATCTAAAACTTCCCCGAGGGCGGTAGGAAGGCTAACCGAATAGACCAATTCGGCTAACTCAATGTTGTACCCAATTCAAACCCTTTGGGAATAAAACGTCTTGTTTCAGGAATTTCCATACCATTTAAGTGTGAATGCCGCCTTATAATGCAAATACAGTGCATAAAGAATCTTAACCCCGAGAGATCTGAATTGGGTACAACATTGCGTTAGCCGAATAGGTCTATAGAGCAGTTTAAATAGAGCAAAAACATTCAGATTCTTGCTATGTCAGACTTCCAAAACGACGTACCCGGTTTGTTTCTGAGTTGTCGTAGACGTGGCATGCCCATGATGTATAAAGCTTTCTCATCGGTGAAGCCTTCCAGTTGGTCTTTATCTCCATTATACCACTTTTTGGTAAAAACAAATGGAAGCAAAACATCATCCACAAAAGACCAAAGGTTCTTAATGTCGTTTGCCTGAAAAGAGCATGACATATTAAACGACCAACATAAGGTTATCTTATCTCTTTTGATGTTTTTTTTTTGTGTGTATCCTATATTTTTGGTATGGTATTGTGAATGCTTTCTTAATGATCTTGCGTTTTCGGGCATGAACTAACGTTAGTTTCGAAAACGAAGCACTCGGAAACGAAGACCAAAGTACGGAGCATCCAAATCTCGAAAACGAAGCACCCAAATCTCGAAAACGAAGCACCAAAATTTCGAAAACGAAGCACCGAAAACTCGAAAACGAAGCACCCAAATCTCGAAACCACTGTACGTTGAAGGACAACAACTTTAAGTCTTGCATGACGCAAGCCAAACCAGGTGGAGGCAATGGATGCGTCCGCACCTCCAAAGGTCCACCAATCCAAATTCGAAAATCACTATGTTTGCCCATTTTCAGGAATATCACAGAAATCACGAAATGGCCAACAGTTAGGGAGACGGAAATGCATTTGCAACACCTCGTAGTTCTACTTGAATAGTTTTGAACTGCATTCTATTAGTTATCGGGCTTGATTTCTGCTGATGATTACTTGACAGGGGACTATCTCGTGTTTTAAAAGGAAAGACAGGTTTCGAGTTTTGGGTGCTTCGTTTTCGATTTTTGGGTGCTTCGTTTTCGAGATTTGGGTGCTCCGTGCTTCGGTCTTCGTTTTCGAATGCTTCGTTTTCGAAACTACCATGAACCAACTGTGATTCTATGACGATGACGTGATAAAGGCCCCAAGAGAGCACGTAAGGAATGTCACGATGCATAATGGCAATTTAATTACAACGTTAAACAATGCTAGCTTTTCAAAACAAGTCGATAGAACGGTTGAAAATTCTGTCGATTAAACGTTTGCTACAATAAACGGGAAAACCCTTACCTGAGTGCCAAAGACATTTCTCAGCAAGTTACTCTGAGTGAACGCATCAGGATCTCGCGCAGAATAGCTTATCATTAACAATGAAAATAGGAATAATAGGTGAAAAAGGCTTTCTTTCAAAATGGCAAAAGCTGTCCTTTCCTTCAGTTTATATTTTCTTGCTTTTTCAATAAGAGAATGGTGTGGTGGTTCAGACATTCCATCTACTCGTTTTGTGCCTTCGTCGGGTTTAAATGCCTCTGAATCATGTTCTGTGCTACTTGATTTCAGACACGACTTTTTCTTTTCAGTAAAATCACTAGGCAGTTTCTTTAGAATTAAAGATATTATCACAGCTGCTGAAAAAATTTTCAAAGGCTGCGTGACGAACGCGTCTTGGAAGAAAGAAATTAACATGGAAGAGAGCCACTGGTTAGAAATTTCCTTTCCCCATGCCATGCTGTAAAACAAGGTGAACGTCGCTGCAGTCAGTGTTGTAAGAAAGCATATAGAATAGGCAATATATATAAACCAGTAAGGTAGACATGGACTGCTCCCTTTTTCGCCGGACGTTTTGGCCACATCATCTTTTACTGGCAAGAAATCGCTGTCACCAATCGCATTTTTAGCGGGGGAACAAGATCGTGCGTATTTTGAGGACACTGTTGCTCTTGGTTTCAAATTTCTAAAAATCTGCAAAATAATAATGTTCGGTGGAAGTGCAATTAAACTGCTCTGAATTCCAATGATTATTTGCTTGAGACTGAAAACCAAAGGCCCGAGGGTAACGTTCGAATCATCCGGCTCGTTGCCGATGTTGTAGAACATCGCGTTTGTAATCATGGCGCTGAACAGAAGTGACATGCAACATGTCAATCTTTGAACGCGAGTAAATGTACTCTTGGAGGGTTTTCCAACGACTGAAAACCACAAGTGGCCATCAAAAATGTCCTTGGATGTCTTTGTCCGAAATAGAATGCCAAAACTCGTGAGTTTCTTTTTATCACTTACTTCTAGGACCCGACTGACGAAACCGTCGCCCTTTTCAAGGGCCAACCAGCGGTCGCAGGCAAAAATGTGCTGTTCTTCTGTCTCTATGTCCCGTATAATGACGTAACTGAGATACCAAGACGAGTTCATACCTGACAAGTCATGCCACACTTTAAGGTACAGCAATTTACCCAGTCTTTGAGGTACTTTAATCAGAAATTCGTTTGTAGATCCCCGGGTGAAAAGAGTTTTTCTGTTATCTTGAAGAGCGATCGGAAAACTTTCTCCATCATCTCCAACCATAATTAAGAATACGTTTGCAGTTGTCCCTGAACCACGCCATGGACCAGTTTGGATTGTCACTTCGTAGCTGTGTTGACTTCCTCCCCCTTTCGAATCAATAGTCGTTGGTATTTGCTGAAAATCAAAAACAAAAAAAAGACACAAAAGCAAAAAAGTGAATTAATTACTTAATGTACATACTCCTCGCTTGTCTTGCTCACTCAGAAGACCAAAATTTGCAATCCACATCTTATGGCCCGAGCGTAAAACGGATCGACACAAAATCGCTATTGCTAAATTTGTTTGTAATATCACAATATAATAATATTAAGGAAACTTCCATCAGTACAGGTCAAATTTTCAAAGCACAGATAGCAACTTCTATATGTAAAGTAAACGATACACAGGGTCGCTATTCACTAGGACGGGAAAAATCCTCTGATTAACCCCAACTCCTTTCTTGCGGCTCTGAAGCTTTTTACTGATCTTGCATTTCAAATTTTTCATTAGAAAGAGTAATAATTACGTTCAAGGCAAATGGCAAGTATCTGATTCAAATTGACAATTAGAAAAAACGAGCAGTGGAAACCTTTCAAAACTACTTCCTGCGAATAAATATGTATATTTTCGCAACCCAAAAAACCCCTGAGAAGATGAGGCGAAATCTCAGTTCTACTCACCATAGTTTCGTCCTTCTTGTCCTTTCGCCTTAACCATACCGCCATCAAAATGTAGATGGCGAATGCGGTTATGATGGTAGCAAAAACAGATATGTTGTCGGATAAATTTTTGAAGCCCTCAAACACCTTATCAAAGTCGATTGGATTCGGAGCGACAACAAATCCTCCACCAAAAGACGTCAGGTGGTTACAAAGGCAGTGCACTCGATCAACGCGGGTTTTATTTCCAACCTAGGATTAGATTAACACTTTGTGTTGTTAAACAATATTTTGGCGAAGTGCATTTTTCTTTTGGAACTTGTGGTCGTATCAGTTTGTCTCAGAAGGGATGCTACAGACTCCTGTCAGGAAAAGGTACTTTGAATTCCGGTCTGTGTTTACGGGTACGTAAATACACGTGTAAAGTTCCAAGGGAGACGTTTGTGCGATTTGTGGCGATATCCAAAGCAATCAGGCAAAAATACGTTCTCAGGTTAATACAGTATTCAACCTAGGGAGGCGTATTTTATACTGTACCCATAACATAAACACTTATCCACCAAGAGAACAAGACAAGTTTTTGACAAATCTCACGCACAACTTCGCTGATAAAAAAAATGAAAAAATTCTTACAGGCTCAAAATAATGGTGATTTCAAGTTGTTAAATGAAAATGCTATCAATTGGTTGATGAAATTACGCCAAAAAAGTTCAGGTAGAATATAGTGACACCCTACACGGCCACGGAGTCGCATTTCTTTTCTCGCTTGAAGTTTTGCCTGAGTTACCCCAACATTAATTATGTGCTCCGTACCCATTTGTCAGTGGTGGAAAGTGTAGAGAAATGTCTCTTGGTTACCATAAACCACTGAAATAGGAACTTACCAGTAGCCCCTAAAGGGTACGCAATTTTGCTAGTGAAAATACAGGCATCTTACCTTGCAGCCTTGGGATGTCCATTTCTCGTCTTTTTCGCTCCAGTACATGCACGGGGAGGAAAAACTATTCACGGTGTAGTTGATGTCTTTTTCAGCATTGTACACGGGTATTTGAGTTTTGTATTCGCCCTTTCCTTGGGGTGTCGGAGAAGGCTGAGGTGGAGGATCCTTGAACTCTATACAAGAACGTTTAACGCGGCTGCCTTCCCTGCAAGATCTTCTCTCTCGTGAATGCAAACCGTTGACAACCTCCTTTGACACCGTGTAGCTGGCAATGCCCATGTAATATTCACCAGGAACAGGTATCATATATGAATCAATAAAGACAGTGTATGGGTCGTATTCACAGTGCTCTTTGCTATTTTCAGGGCTCTCACAGGAGGAAAAGTCGGGTAAAACTGTAACAAAGCTATCGCCCCCTATTTTGGGCCTTTCCCCCTGGCGCCAATGAATCTCAAACAATGTGTTCTTATTCAAGTCAGGAATAATCTGAAAGCTCATTGGTTCTCCAACATTTTTCACGTCAAATTTGTGGTAACGCATGCTACCATTTTCTCCCTTTACAAAATTGTCAGTAGGTTTCGGTAACTTTGTAACATCGCGAGTAATGAATAGGTTAATATCATTTCGAAGAGAAGACACATTCAATGCATCATGATTTTCGTCTTTAAGCACAACGGACAAGACGTGTGAAGAGACATTCATCGCTGTCTTATGCCAAGTAAATGGATTTTCAAAGAAAACAAGTACCTGGCAAATAAAGGGAACATACCATTAGTTAGTGAAAGAGTGGAATAACATTGATTTTACAATGAAATGCATCTCTCCCGACAGATGGTAGTGAGGTACGAGGGCACAGTTTTGCAACAACAGCTGTCATTGGTTTCACGAAACAATCGATAGCACCTCAAAAACGATTGCACTTTTTCTTTCTGAAATACAATTTTCTTGCGCGCCATTCAATAATAAAAGCTATACGAAAATGGAATTCGATGCGAACAAATGTCCTTTTGCTGTCGCGCATGACAGCAGCGTTTTGAAGTAATCATCTTCGCTTTATGAAACAACAACTCCTTAGCTCAGTTAGAAGAGTGCTCTGTTGTTGCTGAGCGGGATGTTTTCGGGTTCACATCGTGGCCAGGCCATCAACCAGGATCTTTAAAAACCTGGTAGGAATACGTTGATCGAGATTTTAGACCAGGTTTAAGTTCAGATGACGCATAACTCATCACTTCGAAGGGAACGAAAAAGATGCCACATTACCGTTCGAAAAGAGTAGAGGACCTAGAGCCTAGAGGTGTGGTCTATTTTAACTGGCAGGGGGAGGCTCTTACGGGTGACTATTAATGAATTTTTCGCTGTTAGACTTACTCGGTCAACAACTTACAAAGCAAATAACACCAAATGGCATCAATATTTTCTTACCTGCACATCAACATCTCTGCCAACCAGCTTTTCGCCAAGCAATTCGGTGAAGTTGGGAAAGTGCACCGCTACTTTTCCATCGCTAACGGTACGCTCTACTTCAATGACAGAATTCACTTTTTGAAGAACTACTGACAAATGTGGACTAGTCACAACAACTGGTTCTTCCCCCACAACAGTCAGGGTACTCATTGTGTCGGTTACATTTTTCAGCAATGCCATGGTCTCTAATGCTATCTTTCTGGCCTGAAAAAAAAAATCAACAACAACAAAGTTGGAAAGCAGATGAAAAAGGCTGACGATTACGATAGATACTTAAGAGGCGATTCCACCCAAAAAAAAGTTCCACAACATAGCGAGCACGCTGCATTAAGAGCAGAGGGGTCACAGAAAGTGTCAGAAAGTGTCCCATCTCACATGTATTGGGTATCCAACTTCATGAGTGGAACCTGGCTGCTACATGACAAAGGGACCACTGTGTCTAAGGCGTACAAAAGGATCCCTTTCTAAGTTCTGTTTTTGATACTTCTCTCAAAATATTACCTTTCTATTAGTCTTAACTACTTCCTTTTAAAGACAAAAACAGTTGTTATATTCTAACACCGAGATTATACGAATAAACAGACCTACACTTTGAGTGCAACTCCAATACAGGGAACCTTGCGATCAATAACAAAGAGGATGAAAGCGACAAACTATAAACTAACCATTTCATAGTTAAACAGAGCACGATAAGTACGCAGGAACACCCTTAATTTTCAGCGTATTAATCTTAACGAATGAAGGCCAATCAACACTTTGAAAAAAGAATGCGACATCATAAAACTATATGAACGCTTTATAAGGGTTTCATTGATGAAAATCTCCCGTGGAGGGCCCGCATTCATGAAATCTCTAAAAAAGTATCCTCTGGTATAGGTGCTCTTAAGCGGGTCAGGCCATTTGTTTCAATGCACACTGCAATTAAAATGTACAAAGGTCTTATCGAGCCACACTTTGATTATTGCAGCGCTGTGTGGGATGGCTTGACCCAACAGCTTAGTGAGAAAATTCAAAAATTTCAAGATCGTGCTATCAGAGTTATCACCAAATCTAGCTATGATACTAGTTCCAGATTTCTTCTTAACTGGCTTGGTTTATCGGATAGAAGGGCTAAACAAAAGGCTAATTTAATGTACAAGTGCATTAATAATCTCGCCCCATCTTATCTCTGTAATTTGTTTTCCCCAAGAACATCGAATTACTATTTTCGCAACGCGAAGAAAAAGTTAATGCTCCCAAAACCAAGAACTGATTACCTGAAGCGTAGCTTCAGTTACAGTGGCGCTATTCTATGGAACAATCTTCCTGAGGAAATACGTACATCAAATTCCTTAGGTTTCTTTAAGAGCAGTTCCCATAGATGGTTTTCTGATCAGTACTCCCACACGGCAAATATGTAAAACAGTTTTTGAGAATTTTTAGTTAATTTTCTATGTTAGACTGATGTTTTTAAACCGTGTATAAATAAAGTTATCATTCATTCAAGACGATGTAAACCATGACGTTTTTGATCAAAATTAAAGATATACGCAATCTGTCATCACATCTTGATAACATGCCCCAGCGTCTTATCCATGGCCTGACAGACGTTGATATGTTCCGATTCGATTAAATGAGATTCCACTTCAAAGGATGGACCTAAATATGCCTACTATACTACTTGAGCGGGTGCATGCAAGCATTGTATGATTATGTCCACTTTTGAAAGAGAGTCTTCTCCCTTGTGTATCATGGTATAGTCAACATTGAGGCAAAACATGCTATTAGCAAGTCTTCTTAACTATACCTTTCCCTTGGTCTCGTTACCAGGTAAATGGCTATCCTTTGCAGCCCGTGCTCCATTCACTCTAGCTGAGTCACTGGCTCCTCTGATGATATTTACCAGGCCCTTTGTTGCTATTACTGCCGTTTCATTAATTACACTGGTAAGTGAAGCTTCATTACGAGATTCCTTCCTGATAACACCTACCATTTCTTTGAAGGATTTTACGTATTTTTCCTGAAGAGATATGCAGAAGGGTACATAAGTTAACGAAAAGGTTTGGATTGTGTCGAGCATTTATAGAGATCTTTTTGCCTCTTGGAGATTTTGCTGTAACCTATCTTTAAACGAAAAAATTCAAGGCTTCTTTTATTAACAGAAGTTGTCGTTGCTCTAAGTTATTGGGCATTTCGCTCACATGGCCAGCATCTCCAAAAATTTATTAGACCAGAAAAAAGCGTTTGCGTAAAAAGGAGTTCAACTCCCACAGGATTGGTTTGGAACACCACCATGGCCACCGTGATGTCATGTGAAAACATTCTACACACCGATCGGGTTTCTACCGTAAGTATGAACTGAAAAGAAGCCACAAGTACCTGCATGTCTACAGGAACTTCGTCTGCAATTTCGCTGACTTCTCCCAGGGCCGATCCGATCTGTTTGACATCAAATAACGATAACATTTCTTGTGAAGCGAGGATGTTTCCAAGTTCTGTCCTCATCTACCAAAATAAAATAAACATATGAAGACATACTAAAAATGATAATATTTTGGTTTAAAGGGACCTTAGCCTCGTTCACACCAATAAAACATGATTCGTCAAAAAAGGTTTGACGTTTGCAAAATAGTATTCTGCCGAGAATTACATCCACAAAACCTGGGAAAATCTGCAAGTGGCTGACAGACTTCATTGAGGTTCGTGTTGCTGACTGCTTGATTTCTCTTGCCTTGTTTTATTTTCTTGAGATGAGAGGGGGGTGGTGATTCTGAAGGGAACGCTTATTTGAAAGGGGAAATCAATTCCACGAACGAGGGGACGCTTATTTGAAAGGGGCGCTGATTGGAGCAATTGACATTTGGGCACACCAACTCAGGCATTTGACTACTAGTACATGGCAAAGAACATAGTTTAAAGATATTATTACCTTTTGTCGTTCCTGCATTCCAGCCGATCTGTTCTGCAAGGCATAAAAGTTAAGAACCGAGGCAATTACATTGGCTTTAGGAACGGCCTCTTGTGTCTTGCCTATTAGAAACAAGTGTGGCAATGAATCTGTTATAGATTGTTCCAACTCTAAAAATGTTTCCTCTTGTCGTGCTTCACTGAGGAGAACCTAAAAAGAAATTAAGAGATTACTTGTCGTTTTTCCTTCTTTACATCCACCTAAAAACTCATCATGATAAACGTACATTTGCTGCTCTTAAGGTAGAATTAACCTTGGGAACGCTACGTGAATTAGGGTAGAGTCTTTAAAACATAAAAAGATACGTCCACAGGAAGAATTGTTAGGGAAATTCTCTTGCTATGTAAAATGATTTGAAAAACGCCTACCTGGAGATAGCATTAACCATAATCATTAACGATACCTAACACATAGATTCCTAGAGCACGTACAGTATTTGATGACCTTAATTCTTGTAATAGTTTTTTATAAATGTACCTTTAAATAAATATGATTCAAATGGCTCATTTATGTCGGTTTGAAAGTTGTCCCAAAAATTTTGTGTCATAAATTATCAACAGATTCGCAAAGCACAGACAAAGGAAAACACACTATATTTCGCCTTACACAAACCCTTGCATCAAGATTCACACTTTACCTGAACATCGACACTGGTAATGTTGTATGTTCCATGCGTATCACAAATCTTAACCCGAAAATCCAGGGTAAAATTAGCTTCTGCATCCCCAACAGGAAGACTGGTAGAGAAAACAGGTGATGTCCCATAGTGTAGCAGAAAAACTACTCCGTATCGGTTCTGATACTGAAACTCGTAAGAAAGTGGAAGGTCTTCATCAACCCACCCTTCACACATAATGTTAAAGACTGTTTCATAGGAATAACCACTTCTTTTGTCCACGCTGCATCTCCCATAGCGTGGAGGAATGTTGACAGTCAAGAATTTTTCACTGTAGCCATCGTTTCTCCCATGAACCTGCCCTATTACAGTTACTTTGTAAGAACGATCAGGGTTAAGCGTGTGATCTCGAATGAGCAGCTGATGCATATTTGTTAAGTCTGTGACTTTGACCACCTTCCAATCAAAAGTGTTCGCGTGGTCGACTCGCTCGTACAGATGCCAATGGTATTGTAGATTAGTAAGCGCTTCTGATTCTGTGGTGGCTTCCAAAAGAACGCCCTCTGATGGGTTGATTGAAGCGCCACAATTTCTCTTACACCTACCCCCAAAAGAGATTTAGCTTGTCTCACTATAAGTGATCGTGCAATCAAATAAAACCAATAAGTTTCTCTACGTTTCTGTCTATTACAAAGAACAAGTCGTTGTTGGGTGACAAGCAATCTAATATTACGTTAATAGTAACATTTCCTAAAACCAACCAGTTTTCGAACCAACAGTTACAATCAAATTGCCGTTAATAGGCTAAAGAAGCGCCAGCCGAGTTAATGTGAGCTACATAGTGCATACCCTTTACAACATGTTTTCTCAGCCGACAATACTGTTAAGGAGAGTACAGAGGCCAACAAATCATGAAAAATGTGTCTTAAACGATATTTCTTTTCAATTAATTATTTCTAGGCCCTCAGTAGTAAATGATACTGAACTTTAAAAAAAACTGTCTCTAGTCAACGTAACACTCTCCCTACCTAATTTTGATGTCCGGTGGGTCTCCGTCAACAATATTTACCACTTGAGTAACACTGGCGACTCGAAAATGTCTGTTCACGGTCTTGGCCACAAAAAGCGTGACTGCATACGAAGAGTACGGTTGAAGATTACCAGTGTTTATTCCAATGGAAGATCCACCTTTCATCAAAATTCCTCTTCCAGACCCACTGCAGAACAGTTTTTCATTGAAAATTGGAACGCTTGAAAGAGAAGCTTCACTACTTAATGATGCTATTTCTGTTGGAATCTCCAAGGACGCATTTTGGCAGAGCCAGAAGTATGAAAAACTAGACTGGAATTCGTCAGGATCATGAGAGCCTGAGCCGTCAAATGTGCAAGGTTTGTCAAAGCCTCTTACAATGAGGCTTCCTCCATCGATTAAAGGAATTAAAGGATTACCTACTACCTCAACGAATCCCTCCTGGACACTATACACTCCCATTTGCCCAACCATACTGACATTGCAGGATATCAGATAGACACCATAGGTTAAGGTCCTTTCCTTTATAGTTAATTCCTCGAGCTTTCTGTTATCCGAGTTGAGATCAATGTCATATCCAAGTTTATCCTTAGAGGCTGGTGAAAAGAGCGAAGCAGTCCACTTTATATCCCTTTCATCAGTTGCTCGGCAATCAATTTTAATAAAAACAGTAAAACGAAGTGTCTGTGATGGCGTGAAAACAGGGCGAAAATTGTCTTTGTCAAACTCCGCCACCTTTATTGTTGGCAAATTGCAAGGTATCTTAACAACAATCGCGATGTCATGAATGTCGTAGGCTGAGACCAAGTTCCATGCTTTCAATCTTACAATGTAACGACCCAATGAGGAGTAGTTGTAACGGAAGGGAAAAACCTTCTCATCGAAATGATGGAAAAGGATTGGAATGGTCTCATGACTGCAATGATCGTGACCATACCCCAACACAGTCCCATCTCCAAGATCAAGAATATAACAAGAATTTGTCCCTTTATTTTCAGAGAAGACATTGAACGTCACTGAACGGTCAATCGGTTTAGGACCATCATTCGTAAAAGATACATTCTTTATTGGCTCTTGAACGGCAACTAGCGCTGTTAGAATTGCATGTCCCAAGTTGTTGGAACAGTTCACAACAACATTGAAGACTCCAACGAATTCGTACAGATGGTAAATGGACGACGTGTTGTCGAATGAGGTGGTTTGATTAAAACGTCCATCTCCAAAATCCCAAAGACATTGATAAGGAAATCCCTCAGAGACATTTAAACTCATAAGTGCCATTTCAAAAAAATTAACTGGTGAAATATGAAGAGTACAATTTTTAATACGGTTTATCTTATGTATGTTGATTGTTCTTTTTATTTGAACCGAACTAACATTATTGTAAGCGACAACAGTAATGTTTCGCACGCCACTTTCATCATATTGGTAGAGTAATTCTGTTGATGACTGCGTGACATTGGAACCATCTCCCATGACGAACAGAAACTCTGCATTAGATCCGTTAACTATTTGTACCGTTATGTTAAGCACATCTTTCTGATAGATTTTGACGAAAGGACCGAGATTCTGTACAAGGAGGCAAGAAACAGTCACGGAAATTTCCACGCTGACACTCTCAATAACCGTAATGTTACTTAGTTCATTCCGTGCCAACGCTTTGATGGAATATATGCCCGTTGATTTATAGATGTGAGAATTGTTTCCTTGCATCGTCCCCAATACTCCACTAAAAGCTGCGTTATATGTTGTATTGTCCCCATAATCGAGAGTTATAAAGACAGGAGTACCAAAGTCCAGCTTCCAGTGAAGAACCAACTCATTCCCTAGGATAATCGCCTTACTCATTTTGATTACTTGGAAGCCTTGGACAGGATCTTGAACAAGAATAAGGTGTCGGGTGATAGAATGGTTCTTTGGCTGAAGAATTAATTCTAAAAATCCAGTAACATTATAAATGTGTTCAACGGAGCAAAGAGAAGTGTTTATAACGTTACAGTCTCCAAAATCCAGCTGCATCTTAATTCCAGTGCAATTGTCTATTGTCAAAGCAAACAAAGTGTTTCGTTCGGCAACAGATGGGGTCTTCATTTTGAGTGCTGCAATAAAAATGTGTTAGAGAAGGTGGATTACGTCTTTTCATACTTCTGGACAGTTTCTCCCAATGTCCGTAACGGTCTGGGACCGATGGTAGATGTCTACTTTAAATGTAACGTTTACGTTTCCTTGTTTTCACCTCTAAGTTTCATGTCATGGAATGAAGTTTACGAAGAAAATCATGCATGAATTACATGAAATGAAATGGAATGAAATGGAAAAAGGAGAAACTTATTGTTTAAGCGCAGTTTTATACAATTGCAAAATAGAGTCTTAAAAAATGACTTCACAGGGAGTAGTACCCGTGACTATCGTGACTGACTATCGGCTCGGTGCTCTAACCAACTGAGCTATCATTGGCTGCAGGAAGTCTCACCTGGACAGAGATATGTGTTACAAGGTTCCACTTCTTTATCGATACCAAATAGAGAACAATTCTTCCCACCATTTTGTGGTTTGGGGTTTGTGCAGCTGCGCTCTCTATGTCGAATACCACCTGCGCACGAGACACTACACGCTGACCAAACTGACCATTCGGTGTATCCTCCATTTACAGGTGTGGCTGAACAAAATGTAAAAAGGAAGAAAAGAATAATAAAAACACACAAACAAAGAGGCGTAATAAGTAATTCGTAGTTTTAGGTTAATGAGAGTGTTAAGTAACTTTAGAAAGAGTCAAACGAACACGTTTTCCTGACATTTGGGCTCTTCTTTGTGTAATGCGCATTTTTGAGCTATGCTTTCTCGTGTTCAACGCTTTAACCAGAACCTACAGAATGGGATTTAGCTTTGATTGAAGATTCCACAACGTAATTTGTCAATAACGTAAGTCCTCTCAAGGCTGCTCTTTTCAAGAAACCACAAGAAATATACTTATTCAAAAGAACTAAAGTCGAAATAAGCTCTCAGTTTATATAAACTGATGGAATTCAAGGCAAATATTGAATGTGTAGATAGGGAAAACAGTCACAAGTTCTGCTATTAAAGAAGCGACAAAGCATTCTTCATAGGTGTTTTATCATAAGCCGAAGCTAAGGTATATTTGTTTATTTCTTTTAAGTAAAAAATATCTTCTTTTTTGCTCAAGTAGAGCGAAATACATTTTTTCAAATATAACTCCTCGACTTTTAGCTGGCAGAGAAAAGAGACTATTAGATAGTACATTATATAGTTGATTAAAAGAAGAGTTTCTTTTCACGTTGAAAACATGAACAGCAAATACTTTCTAACAAAACCTCAGCTTTGAGTTTACTCGACCGTTTTTAAAGCATAATTTTTCCTCCACTCTTCATTCTGAAAGCAACTCCAGGCGTAGTGTGATTTCCTTAGTAAATGATTTTAATACACGATGAACACGTCAATTTATTTTGTATCAGCTTGTGCAGCAAGTGTTTCCGCGGGAGTCTCACTTTCTTAACGAACTCGAGTGGAAACGCACTATTCAGTTTACAGAATAAAATGAAGAACACCCCACCTTTACATCCGAGCACTTCCACTCTCATGCAAATTGCTCCATGCCAGGATATCACCACAAATCTGAGAAATCTCATCTTTTTGGGATCTTCAAGCATGTGTTTGACCGCAGTAAACTGGTCACTATTTCCAGTGAAAACCTAGTGTTAAGTCGTCAACAAATAACATACATGCAAATAGAGTTAGCCTTTTTTCTTGGATCTTCTAGGAAAGGTATGGACGCTGTGATTGAGGCAATGAAGGTAGAGTTACCCCAACTACATTTCTAAAATGGCTTTTTAGTGTTTCACTATACCTTAGTTGTTTCACTAGCTGTATATGGAGCCAAAGGGCTGTTACCATGTTGTCGGTACCATAATGTATACTCTGTAACCCAGTTTCCTCTTTGCGCGTGCTCTCCCTGAGTTGCTATTCCAGTCACGTGAAGTTTTTGCACAAGATCGATCTCGAGATATTCTCCTATCGCATTATTTTCTGCACACCAGGCTCCACTGCCAACCACGCGGTTAAGTCGCGCGGCCCAAGGCTTGCTTTCCAAGTTAAAGCTGGAGGCAGAAAAGGACTCATTCCCTAATTGATAATTATTTGCACCGAGCGGAAAACTGCAAACTGAATTGAGAAATATATTAGCTTCGAAAAACATGTTGGCGTCAAAGTACCTGTTTTTGCGAAATAACATCGCCGAAGCTGCAGCACATGTAGGTTCATGAAGCTCAATGTATCATTCTTCATTACACAACAAAAATAACAGTTAAGATGATCACAGTCAGCCTCATCAATTCTTTACAGGATGCGCATTTATTGCCCAGGGAACTGCTTCATGTAAAATGCGGGCTTCTCACACAAATCATGGACATCTGTCCAGTGCACTTTGCTTTCAACTAACTATACTTTCCTGGGGGCTGAAGTAACTGCATGGACATTCAGGTTCATATGACATACACTCAACCCTGATGTTTCAGGTATGATCAAATGCAAGCTAGAGCAGGCGGATTGATTGACTAAGATTGTTGACTTTTATAGCACGTGAAATCAAAAGTCCTTTGTTTGCTTGATGTCATTTTACGAAAGGTGACTCTTGGATTAGCTTTTAAGTGAGTACATTGATATGTTTATCAGATATACAAGATAAGCCCTTTGACAAATTTCTAATACTCATACCTTTATAACCAAATAACTCCACCTTCATGCACACATGATTATACCATGTGACAGGAGTGAGCCGAACGTAACGCGCGTCTATTTCGGGGTTTAGCTCCTGTGTAGATATACTGTGGTCATCAGAGTTTGCAAGGAATGTCTGGGAAAAAGAGCGCAAAATTTATGACGTTAGGCGAGTTTCACAGCACATTTAAATAAATAAGACGATCACTAACATCACCAGTGACTGTGCATGCATGGTTGTGCTTTTAAATTTACTATTTGTAAAATAAGCCGCTTTCAACACTGCGCCGCTGTTTTTGGCTGCAACGTAATTAATTGTGCAATGTACGTTGTATATAATTGTGAGTATGAATTACTTTTCCCTTTTTTCTTTCTTTTTACTATTATTGTTGCTTAAAATTTTGTAATTAATTCTTTATAGTTAATGCAATAAATGTCTTGAAGTGAAAAAAATGGTTGTGCTTTTTTATCTATATAAGGAAATTGGTTTCGAATCTTTTTGTTCGTGTACCGGTGGAAGTTTGAAACAAAGCCTGTAATATTACTTGCGTGCGTACGGTGCAATGTAATGATGTAAAGTTCTGCTAGCACCTGTTCTTGTAACTTGTACCTGTACATGTACAGTACGTGATTTTGTCGTTGTTACGTGAAGAAAGGCGACTTGTCCCGTCAAATTAATTCTTTACATTACCTCAACCTTTTGACTAGAGTTAAAACCAAAGTGGGAACCAGTGGTTAAAACTGTCGAGCTTTTAGCTGGATTTTCACTGTGCAATTATTTTACTTTCGACTTACTGAACGTGACCGAAGAGGCCATTTCCGAGTTACTCCAACCTTCTATTTGAAAACTCAGTATAGTGTGAAGCCTTGTAACAGAATCATTATTTCATTCTTATGCAAATCATATTCATTTTTAGAAGAAACGTTTTGCCCTTGGCCTCGCTTTGAAAGTGGAAGTTATTTAAAACGCGAAAATGGCCTAGCGTGCAATTCTTTGTACTAAATGTGTTTGGGGTTAGCACTTGACTCGGGTCGAACAAAGGAAATGAAACGCAGTACCCTCACTACTGTATCTTCCATGTACAGACCCCAGGTAGACCCATCGAGGCTGTGGGACACATTATAACGCGTCACCCAGCAGCTGCCGCCTGTCATATGTCTCCCTTGTGTGGCTACTTTGGTAATATTGTATTCAATTCCCAAGTCAATCTGTAAGTATTGGTTAATATTGTCTTCTCCGGCGCGCCAAGCTTCGCTCTGAAAGCCAACATCCAATCGCGCCCTGCAAGGCTCGCATCCTGGTCCAGCGTGGCTGGATGCTGTCATGGCCGAATCGTTGAGCTTTAGTTTCTGAATTCCCAGGGGCAAACTGTAACCTAAAATTGCCATCAAATTATTATGATGAACGTCATTTACACTTTGATATTAATTAATTCATTCATTTATTTATTTATACAAGTCTTTTGAATTGCTTATATCTCAGCTTTTTTAGAGTAGATTAGATGCAATTGTGCAGGGATATTAGGGAATGGTGTACGTGTGGAGCGGGTGTTTCTTATCTGGTAAATCGAAGTTTACGACGTCAAATTAGTTCCAAATTGCAACTTGCGGCCAAGTTTGGGGATCACATAGAGGACAAACCTCCGTCAGAACCTCTACTGTGTCATGACAGAAGAAAAAAAGAGCCCAAGGTGTCAATCAGACCTTTAGTCTTAAAGAGGTGTCCGCGTCATTAACTAATTATTTTGAGCGAGCGACATTAATCAATCACTTCACTGGATAATATAATTAAGATTAATTAATTCCACTCATAAATTAATTTATTTGTTAAATTAACCAATTAATTTAAATTGATAAATCGATTACTTTAATAAATAAATTAAATAATTAATTAATAACTTTGATTAATTAATCAATTGATTAATTAATTAAGTGCTAGGACATCGACGGAGTGACTCTTCTTCGGCATTCTGTATCAATTTGAAATTTCGATTTAAGGGAGTGGAAAACCGGAGCACCCGGAGAGGAACCAATACAAACTCCACCCACATAAGGCGGGATTCGAACCCAGGCGAGTCCTCTCACCGCTGCACCACCCTTCCTCCTCAAAGGATCAAAGAAAATGTCTGAAAAACAGCAGGGACTGGCTCAAGGTTCACCGCGGTCAAACTAGAAATTTTCAAAAGTTAAGCAAAGCAATTGAAAGCTAAGGTTGTCATTTCCACAATTCAAAGTTTAAGTTCTTAAACCTTTTGAAAGTTTGTTTAAAGTTTGTTTCAAGTGCCGGCGCCATTTGTCAAGAAAAGGTTTGCTTCGGCGAAAATCCTTTTCAACGAAAAGAAGTTTATTTCTCGGAGAAAAATGCAAAGAGTGTAGTGCAAAGAGTCTAGTTGTTTTATACATCTTTGTCAACGTTTTCACTTTAGGGTGAATAAAGTCCCACTAAATAATTTGACTTTGGTGGGGTCTAAGAGAGGTCAGGGTCAATAGGGAGTTGAACGTAACAAATTTCAGTATTCATGATTGTGATATATGGTGCAATAAAAATTGGTATCTATACCTGCACTAAGCAAATCCACGCGCATGCAAATGTGGCTAGACCAGCTGACCGGGTGAATTCTAATATATCGAGCCAACACTTGTTTTGCGAATTGTTGTCTAACAATAGAAAAGCTGTTGTTATTTCCCTGAAAAACCTAGATGGAAAGGTGAGAAAAGCAAAATAATATTTTGGTTAAAAGAAAAGATTCTGGCCTTTCACGACATTTCAATGATTATGCCTATTTAATCTACAAATTAAAAAAAAAGTGTTTAACTACAAATTGGACAGAGAGGCACCTTTCTTTTACAAATTTATCGCCACATAACAGATATAGATAATTTTCAAGCATTGGAAATCACACCTTCATTCAAATCGTGGGAAACCTGTTATAGGGCAGATCGCTGTCTTTCAAATTTACATGCACATGAATACAGTCCAATCTATTGTTCCATTGTTTTGTCAGTTCGTAGGAAGACAACTCATAGTTAATTGAGTGGAATGGTTATGAAACCCGTCAGACTCCTTTGTTATATGTTTTTGTGGACCTGAAAGTGCACAACGTTCAAAAGAATTCCTATCATTTTGATTGTATTGACCAATAAAAACGTTGCATTAATTTATTCCGTAACAATTTGCCAACAGAAAACAAAGGATTGTGCACTTTCACGGTGCTTTGAACATAAACTGCAGCACTGTTGTTTTTAACATTGATGTTTGCCGCTTTTCATAACCAGTCTCCTCTAATAACTATGGACAACTGTTCTGCAGTGTATGCAAGAAGCCCCCTAAAAGTACAAAGTCTTTTGCTTTTTATTCACAATTTGTGACTTATTAAATTAATGGGACGTTTTTGTTGATAACTAAAGTTCGTTCAAAATGCAACGAATGCTAGATTTTGAACTGGCGCAAGGTCAAGTCCAAAACAGTTAACAAAGAAGTCTGACGGGCCACATAACCACAATTTTAGCTCTTTTATAATTGAAACTGTGTTCAAATGTGCTAGGTTGCAGCTCTATAACATCATGTTCTTGAGTCGATACAGCGTACAACTAACACTTCTCGACTTGAATTTTACCTTGATGACGCTACCTTCCTTATAATTCGTCCACACTTCACCGGAAAATCCGTAACACACAGTAAAGTTCTCTACCCAGGCTTCTTCATTAACAGCACCTTGCACTAATATTTCCGTCACATGACTGCTTTGCTTCAAATCTATTTCAAGGTATTGCATGACGTCATCAAATTCGGCGCACCAGGTCTTGTTACGGCCTAGTAGGCTGTCTTGTGCACTCGTCGGATATCTCGAACTTGAAGCAATGATTGTAAAGTTGGACGCCGCAAGAAACTTGCCCACTTTTTATAGAAAATAACAAAAAAGCAAAAATTTAGTTAATAAGCCTGTATTAGCTTTTCTTCTAATCAACAGGGACCTGGCACCAAAAAGAGCGTCAAAAAGTCTAATGTAATCAATAGTTTTGTATAAAGTTGAAGTTGAAGCGTTGAAACATATTAATGTTTTAACGGTTAGAAAAAGTTTGCAAAATTTAAGTGTTTTTGGCTGAAAAGCAAACACAACGTACCCTTTTGAAAATCTGCAATTAACGTGAGCTTTGTATGATTGGAGGTACAAGCGTCCCTCGTGAGGATCCATAATAAGCTCTCCGCTTTGAGAGATTTTTAAAAGCCAGCCATTGAATTTCCTTCTTTTTCCAAACGCGTTCAAATTTTACAGTCTGAATTTGGATTGAATGATCTCTCATGAGTAGGATTCAAATTTCTTTTCAATCGAATCCAACCATTTTAGGTGTTTTCTTCAAGTCTCCTTGTCGTTTGGAAAATAACAAGCTTGGCGAGCCTGTACTCAACAGTCAATTGGCAACGTCCAATCATGTTACTTTCATTGTTTTCACTTCCACAAAACGATCAATCTGTACTAAGCGATCATCTGGCCATTCCTAAAGGTTGATCAATACCTGTAAATACAGGTTTTGCTGTATGATGTATCGTTAACATAATAAACGGGGCATGAGTAGTTGACGTTGTTACTGGTTCTATTTTAATTCATGTAGGAAGAGTATTTCAGGTCTGCATCATATTATCTCACCTGCTGTTTTGCCGTATATTTCAACTCTGAGCGATGGTCGATGATAATTTCTGACAGATCGAGTTACTTGGAACTTCACGTAACGTGTATAGACAGCCCGCTTAAAGACGTGTTGGACAGGGAGCTTTTGTTCGTTCAGGGTATTACCATGGAAAACCTAATTGAAAACAAATGCTTGGAACATAGTAATGCTGCTTACATTTCTTATGAAACTGAAAATTGATCTGAAAAGAAAAGCTGAAAACGAAACAATTTAGTTCTAAACTAATAGGTTTCATATCATCGTCTGGATCCGAGAGTTTAAACTTAAAAGTCCTGGATAGGACTGTTATTGACACTGGCTGAAGTTTTTACAACCTGTGCGGTAGTCATCTTCAGAGTCCAAGTGAGATGTTTTCAGACCCTAAAACAATGGTTACACTTGTAAATTAGTCTTGTAAAAGTTTTATTAAATCCACCCAAGACTAATAGAACTGCCCCAAGGACGACAATAAGAAATACCTTAGGCTCATTTCCATCTTTGTAGTAATACCATTCAGCTCCATCGTCACTAAATGATAGTTTATATTCCAACACGTATCCATATTCTCTAATCTGTGTATTATAACAACCCTGCGTCGCGACTCCAGTTACTAACATCAAACCGTTGCCCAAGTCCACTTGAAGAAAGTTTTCGGCAGAGGGAAATACCCAACAGCCTTCGGTGTTATCTAATCTCGCCATCCACGGTCCATTAGTCTCAAACACGTCTGAGGCAATGATGCTGTTATCGGGTATTGTATGGTCACTCATTCCCAAAGAGGTTAGAGTGCTTTCGTCAAACACTAGAACAAAAAAGAAAGATCAGTCAATAGAGTTAGAGTATCAAATCAAGCAACGAAGCAGTGAGAAGTCCCTCTGAGTGGCGGAAAATATTAAGGGTCACAAGGTTCGAGTTGTTCATCCGTAGTGTAAATCAAAACGGTAGCTAGTGAAAGTATTTCGGGTAATGATTGGTGGCCTTTCAATTCAGCTATGCCGTTCTTGATTGCATCAGAAAATTCGGCTCCGCAAGAAAACGATACATAAAGTCTTGTCTACTTATAAGATGCCTAGATAACAACAGATGAAATACGTGAAATAAATGCACTATTTACACCGCTTTAGCTACAGAACAGGGTTTTTGAGTCAAAAAATGCAATGGGTGCTAACAACAAAAACATCTTGGACTTTGCGGATGGGAGTCTGGCTGCCTGGAGATCATAATGACTCGATACTAAAATTACGGGCGCTTAGTCTATTTCTTTCTCTCTTCCTCTTTTTATCTCATAGGATTACACGAACAACAAAGTGGAAACAAGAGAGTATAACAAAAGTCATAGCAAAACTGGTAGGTGTAAATATTCTTTGAATTCTTTCTTCAGATAAATGATTTTTCTTTAGCGTCCACCCTCTTTCTCTCTCCACCACTAGAACTATATTCAGAGACTTGGGTGGCGAAAAAACATTATTTTCTCACGCTACAACAAAAGGCGAGGAAAAGCGGAAATCTAGTACTGGCAGTTCCCTACCTTTGCACCCGTACAACTCTAACCTAACGCATGCGCAAATATGCCATGTTTTTGGATGCAAGCGAATGTGTCTTGCATTTGTGATATTCTTCAGTTGGTGTTTTACAACCGACCAGCCGTCAGCATTTGCAGAGAATATCTAAAGAAGAAAAACAGGAAAAAACATCTGATCATTTTGACGTACCCATAAAGGGATATAATAACGTTAAGGGCTATGCTAAGAACAAGCTATGGTGGATCACGACTGCACACCAGTTAGCCAAAGTAAAGGATATGTTTAGTTTATACGAGACAATTAACTCTTTTAACCACGGGTGATTGAGAATATGATTGACAGCTCAACTTAATACAAGACGAGAGATAAGAGTGATCTGAGTGCTCTAGTCTTTGAATAGATGCGTGGCTCAAGGTGACCTTGTTTGTTACAAAGCTTCCTGCTTTTCGCATTTATAAAACTGGTTTGTGCATGCAAAGTACGAACGTTTGTAACACAATAAGGTCATCTCCAGTCTCGCTTCTTTGCAACGGCCAGGACACTGACGGTAAAATGGCGTATTGTTTATTCTTGACAAGTGACATAAATTACCCAAGTGATCCAAAGTACTAGTGCCCGGTTCTCATATGCTCTTAATCTAGCTGCTACATAAGTGATCGCTGGTAATGGCTGGGAAACAGTCCCGACATGGCAGGTCTTAACCGAAGACATGCCAGCGAAGTTGAACTCGAGTCAAAGACAGCATGGCCTCGATCGGTTGCCGGTGACTTCTCTTCTCCTACTGGGACAGTATCCTAGGCAGTATCAGCGGCTGTGTCGTAGGTAGATCAGCCGCATATCAGAGCCAAGCTTAACCTTTCTGTAAATAACATCTCACTAATAAGGTTACTTCCGTTATTCGGATGATCCCCGGGGAAAATAAACTGAGAGGTGTTTCAACGAGAACTTTGACTTACCTTTACAGATTTGTCTTCCACGTACGGTAGCCATGTCGAAAAATCCCCGCGAAAATCCAGTATGTATTCCTGCACCCAACCGCTGTCGATGGTTTTACTGTGAAGTCCTTGAGTAGCAATAAAACGCAGTCTGTAGGGCTTCCCGAGGTCAACCTTTATAGTAAACAGACAGCAAAAACCCCGGGGGGGGTTACTTGGGTCAATTTTTATTCTCCCTTGCCTAAGCAGCGACACTCATAATCTGCAACCCGTTTTTCTTCGTAATTATGACACAAAGGGGGGTCATTGTGCCAGGCGTTCCTAGCGGAGACCGTGAAAACTGGGAATAAGAATCGTTGCGTGACCGAAGCTACGCATGTTTTGCGAAGAAAGCTTAGGAAAGATTAAATTTAGAGCTTTTCCGAAACGCGCACGTGTCGGTCAACGAATTCTATCGCTTGAAAGCGTTGATTACTTTGGAACAAGTGAACACTACTGAGTGGTCGAAAAAAACCGCGCTGGTCGGATGTTGTAAACTTTCATTGTATGCAAATGAATCTTGTGATGAGCATGCGGTTCATTTTCGGCGATAATTGAAATGACGTCCCATGTAAATCACTTTTTGGATCTCTGGCAATGATGCAATTTCTCTGGAATCGAGGCCCCTGAATTTTCGTGAATTTATACACGCATATAGCCTGCGACCGCAGCCGTACTTCCGGTCGTCGCTAACACGCCTACTAAATCAATTCAGAAACAAATAAAAAGTCGATATCCTGAAGAATACTCGACGTCAATAAAAAAGGAAGTAAAAACCCTTCAGCTAGTAAATCCTGTTTCCTGTAGAATTAATCGCCTCCTCATTTCTCGATCTAATCTCCAGGCAAGCGAGACTAAACGTCGCTGTAAGAGCGTTCGTGTTTTACAAGGTATGTGCCGCTGGCCGCCCACGACCCCTACCCCATTATAGTCTATTCTGTGGCCAGTTATAGACCCCATCTTAGTCACTTTTGGGCAAATGCAATTTTCACCATCCCAACTGGTGGAATATTCTTACCCCCAAAATCCCAAAATTGTGCCACCCCATTCTAGTAACTCTGGTGAAAATACAACCCCATTATAGTCAATCCAATCGTAAAAATGTGACCCCATCCAGCGCGTGGCACATCCCTATTAGCCTATCACTAGGACGTACCTCCCCCGGGGGAGCAAAACCAGACAAATGCTACGAAAACTATCAAAATAAATGAATCCGGAAGTTTAAGAAAGACGTTTGGCTCTTTGGTAAGGATCACAATGTTTTGGTGGCAGCATTTAAACGAATGACATCCTGTGCTGCAAAATGTTGCTAAAATGTCGCTAAAATGGTGTGGAATGAGAGTCATTGCAATTACCAAATAATCCTGGTTGTTCCTCCTCTTTTTGTATCAATCAGTTTCGATCCCTTGATCAAGCATATAAGAGCAATTTTAACTAAATTAAACAATTTCAGCGGGCAAAGCGAAATGTTGAACAATATTTGTGAACCTGTGTGTACGAGCAAGAATAAGTTTCCATATAGTATTTCGCAAACTTACATTCAGTTAAGGACCATAAGGACATCAAATGGACCTTAAACTCAGCACCAGGGCCCTCGCCTAGGTATCACTTGTACCAGTTTTAGTCTAAAGGGGCTAAATTGGTATTTCCTATCTCTTTTAGAACTAAAGCTTGTCTTTGCATCCACTGAATTCCAAAATAGTTGTCCAGTTTTGTTATTTAAGACTATATTTAGGTATTGAAACTGTTTTCTGTTGTTTGTTGCTTGGGATGACAAGGATGGATGTAGATTGAAACTTGAAAAAGTTGGCCCAACTTTTCAGGTTTTAAAGCTTTACCGGCAAAAATCACCCAAACAATTTTATCTCTAACAGAGCATTTTTTTAGTGGGAAAAAGGCTCCATACAATGACTTCACCACAGAATTGACCTAAAACAGCAGTTTCCTCATGACAGAGCCCCTTTAAGAAGGTACTGCTGACAGCCATCACCAGAAATAGGTCTGCGGGTAGGAAAAACAATTATGCTTTATTTCAGCAAAATGGGCTAACCTGCAGGAAGGGCTGAGAATCATTTTTATCAGAGCACCAGGCCTCTAGGTTGTGAAGTCTTGCCATCCATGGGTATGATCGAGAGGATTTGTACGTAGAGGCAGAAAAGGCAGGATTTTTTATCGTCCAACTTTCAAATCCAAGTTCATCTGAACAAACTGCAAAATAGGATCTCGAATGGTGAGATTTTTAAGAAAGTACCGTACCACAGGGCACGAAAACTTACTGTTGAAATGGCTAGTATATTTAATTTTGTATAACAAATGAAATATGAAGAAAAAAATTGGGGACATTTAGTTACATTTTCAGTCATGTTCAAACCCGACCATAGTGAAGTAGCTTCACCAGACCATCCATTCTTATTTCAACAGATTACCAATTGAAAGAAAGATGATATGTTCAAATTTGGCGGCATTTTAAGTAATAAAAATAATAACGAGGCTGCTTTACACACACAGAGCAAAACGAAAAGTACGAAGAAGATTGCACGATTTTGTGCTTTTAACAAATTAACATATGCATGTATAGTTTTGCAATTTCGTATTGAAACCAAGTCCTGAATAATGTGAAAAACGATTTTTTTTTCTTCCATTCCTACTTAGATAACAACAACAAACAGACATAACAGTGTTGGCTTAACTATTTATCCAAGAAACAAAAAATTACTACCTTTATCGCAGCCATAAAGTTCAAGTTTTAAGCTTTGATATCCCACCCAATGTTGCGCCCTGAACTTAATGAATCTTGCTTCCAGTTTCTGGTCTGTCGCGATTCTCTTTATCACGTTCCTCATTTCAATCGCTTTGATTTTCTAAAATCAAAAGAAAATATATTTTCTTTTTTTTCGCTTATTGGTAATAGCCTAAAGGAAAGCTTGGTTCTGTATGGGAGGGTGGGCCGTCCATGACCGTATGGCTCCCCTGTAAACTAGCAAAAGAGTGAGCTAGAATAAGAATTTATCCGCCGAATTAATATTCATCATTAATAGTCACGTAATCGAAAGTGAAACTGTACAACTAGTCACGTAAAAAACTTCAACTTTGCATATCATTAGGGGCGTTGTAAATGGCTATTATTTTCAATTTTTCCTAGGGTATTACTGTCTTCCAAAGAGAAATTGAAGAAAATACTTATGCAATATGCGAAGCAGTTTACTCTGGGATAGGGTATATAAATCAGAGAGTTTGGTTCTAGAAGAGGGTATCATTTTCCATTTAAACTATTCAATTGGCTGGAGATTTTAGTCTAGACTAGGGAAACCGGGAATTGCCACTCAAGAATATAAAAAAATCAAATCGGCATTGTTTTGGCTGGACTGTGCTAGTGACCTCAGTTGTTTCTGGAAAACAGCTACTCTAGGATGAGGGGGGGGGACTTGGGGAGTTTAGTCTAGTATAGGGTAGCAAAATTCCTTCAACTAGTTCTGGTATAGGCTAAGGGTTACAGGGTTCTAGCGGCACATCCCTACCCAAAAAGTCCTAAAGTACCGCCCCGGGTCTATTCCTGCCACAGTATAAAATCAATGGGAAATAAATAAGTTAGTGCTTGTGTGAAATAGCCCACCCCTCCATCACCACGAGGTTTGTAATTACTCCAGGGCTCATAACTGTTCATTCTGTAGTCCAGGAGAAAGAAAGTCGACCAGCGATCACTGTCAGGAGCACCCTGAATCTCTATATATGTGATGACCTTCGGCTCTCCAAGATCAATTTCAATATATTCAATAGATGAAGCACTTTCTGGAATCCAGCCATCGCCAGGCCCCAACCGGGCGCGCCAAGGTTCTCCACCAACTTTGAAAGAGGAGGCCGTGATGCTGGAGTCGGGAATGAGACGATTTACCATTCCTAACGGCTCAGCACACGCTGCAAAAGAAACAACTTTTAGCCAGACAATGTATGCGCGTCAATTCAAAGGCTCTCCTTTTGGGAGATCATTTGCGTTCTAGATAAGTGGCTAAAGTAACAATTCATAGAGCAGGCCATGCAGGGTCCGCCGGCTGATAGTCTGACAGAGACCAGCAATTAAACATCAATAGATTAAAAAAGGACGCAGGGGCTCGATTTAAGAGGGCCACTAGTTATCTTGTACCCCCGGACAACATAACAGTCCATCGAAAGGTTTTTAGGAGAGTATCGCCGGTACCCATTTATATACCTGCCGGAGGAGAGCAACAAGGTGTGGAAACAACACAATGGTATGTACACGGCTTCCGCCCGGATATTCTAGTTCCACCGTCAAATGCGTCTACCACCTCACCCTCATGTCTCATGTCACACGATTTCGTGGGGGGATACTAGCTTTGGCTTAGAGTGACCACGCAGAGAAACTAAAACTTGCGGATTTACTAGTCATAAACATCAGCCATAACTGCTTCTGTGTCTAATATTACTGATGGTACTGACCAACGGCCTTAAAAAACCGTTTTCGATTTCCTGGCGAACTACAACGATCCCTTGGGAAGAAAAGGTTGAAGTGGCCACTGACCGTGAAAAATTTATGTGGCGTCTCCAGGAAACGTTTTCAGTGGCAATTAATCCTCTCTTACCGTCACATCCGTACAGCTCCAAGCTCACATAATTGAGAAGCTTCCAAGTTAAAACATGCAGGCGAAGGTAACGTGATGTTATGTTTCTTGGTAGAGGTCTCCGGACAATTTCATATGGTGATGTGCATCCAGCAAAAACCTACAATACAGACACTTGGCATAAGGTTTTTTATGGTTAAGGGCACTGGCCCCGCACCCATAACCTCTTTGCCCTTTCAATCCCTTGCCGAGAAATTATCTATACTGTCAATGGGCTCAATAATATAGACACAAGACAAAACCCTGCTGCCTATACAATTTTAACTCTACCATACATTTTAATACATGAACCGAGTCTCGCGTAAATTATTGGCGTCTTTACAAGTGATACAAATACGGAGTCAGAAAAAATAGCTCTGTAACCTCATACCTCAATTTTCCCTTGAAAGGTATACTCCTGCCATTCCGAGCCGTCCTCGCTTGTGCTTAGGGTAAAAGACATAGCCCAAGCGGACAACGCCTCAAATGCGAGTGCGGTCACGGTTTTACCATAAGGCGTCAGCGTAACCTGAACAAATTCTTGATTGTCCATAGTGTAAGGATTCGTACGCCAAGCGTCATTGTTGTTAAGTCTAAACCTATGAAAGCTTGGATGGGATCCTGATAAATAAGCGTCAGAGATACGTTTATTTTCCAGGCCAAGTGGCTGTGCGCAAGCTGCAGACAAAAGAAAAAATCTGATACTTAAACCCTTTATTGTTGATTAGCAAATGCAAACATCCTTGGTTGTAATTCCAATACATTTTCCAGCCGCGGTGGGAAAAGGTTGTTACATGTATCAGCAGTTACCTCATAAGCATATGCTCATCATTCTCTAATAGAGCTATTAATTATTGCGATTGATCAGTTTTCACAGCTATCCAAACACTCAAAAATTTATCCCAAAATGTTTGCATGACGACCTCATAGAATTTTGGCAATTATTATCAGTATCGCGGCCGAAATTAAGCAGAATATTTTTAAAAACCTCCCAATGCCAAGAAATAATACAGAAACTACAATAGGTTGTGAAAGTCGTTACGCTGCTGTGTCAACTCTGATGTCAATATAAAAACTGTCATAGCAACATTTTCATATCATTTTTTTATCAGCTGTGGTGACGGTTTTCCGGTATCTTTAACAGTAGCGACAAAGTTTTTGTTCAAACTTAGGAGGTATTCTCCCTTAAAAAATTCAGGTAGAGCCATCTGCTTTAGGTCAATTCGAATTTGGCTCACTTTATTCAAGATTCAATCTATGTCCATCCTTGCCATCTGTGGCAACAGATGACAGGAAACAGTTTGAGTGCCTAAATATAGTCTTAAATAACAAATCTGGGCTATTATTTTTGGAATTCATTTGATGCAATGACACGTTTTAGCTTTTTAAAAGGATAACAAATGTTGGGACATGGCCCCTTTAACAACGTACCTTTGCAGCCTACTAGTTCCACTCGCAAACAAATCAGTTGATGCCACTGCTCAGCGTGCAGTCGGATAAAACGCGCGTACAAGGGCGGTGTCAATTCATGGCTTCTCGTCATGTTACTTACGCCGTTACCTTCAAAAACCTAACATTTGGCAATGAAAAGATACCAGTGATCGATCAGCGTGAGTAAAAAACGTTTGCGCAGGTTTCACAATAGGCAGAAATCAAACATCAAAGCTATTACATTAACAGTGAGTAGGATGGTGGATTATCGAGAATTCGATTTGTAGCATGGGGTATTTAAACGGAAAGTGTTTTCTGAGCTTACGTATCACTTTCTGTTATTTCACTTACTATTGTTTTTCCGTTATCAAATGAAAAGGCATCAAAGAGAAAGAGATAAATTAGGAAATACAAGTTATCATGTCATGCTGAGCTAAGAAAAAATGCAAAAAAAAGTAAAATACGAAGACTGATCACTTAAAGCGGTACTAAGCTAACCGATTCTTCTTATTAGTATTATTGGTTTTCAAACTTCGCCATAAAGAAGTGGAACCCACCGATAAACCGTCCTTGAAGTGTTGACTCCAAACTATACCGTCAATACTATAAGTGACCGAAAACGCAATAACCCAGCCTTGTTCTTGGGAGGAGCCCGAGTATTTCCCCTGGAGCACGATCTCAGTTATCTTATGTATTTCATGTAAATCCACTTGAAAATAGTGACTTCTATTTGTGTCACGAGCGCACCAGGCTCCACCGTCAATAACAGTGTTCAGTCTTCCATATCCTGGTTTGTGAAAGCGGTTTAATGTGCTTGAAGCCTGCAAGGACGAATTCAATATTTTTCCATCTCCAAGGCCAAGGGGTGCGAAGGCATCTTTGACTGCAAGAAAATTGATAACCGTAAGGTAACTTTATATTTGCAGTCAAACACAAAGTAATTGGAAATTTCCCTCCGATACACAAACAATAGACGACGTGAAATATAAATGACTTGCGAGGCAACCTCTCCCAATTCTCTTACCCTGACAAAACCAATGTATTGGTAAAGTTGTATTTCTAAAAAGATGAAAAAGCCGTATTGTCAGAGGGAATGATAGTCAGTGATCAAAACATCCATTCTCAATTAACCCGTGTTTGTGATTTGGACAGAGTGCGACCTCTATCACCTATTTGAAATCTTCTTAATTCAGTTAGTTAGTTAGTTAGTTAGTTAGTTCTCGGTACGTTTACTTATAAACTGCTTTGAAGGCATAAGACGTTGAACTAAAAGTATTTTAATTCTGTTACGTATATGCAATACGCTCTGGTTAACAATCATCTTTAAGAGTAAAACAACCCTTAAGCCACTTGAAGACCTGGACTTTGCTGATGACCTGACTCTGGTCTCCCGCACCCACCAACAAAGCTCAGCAGAGAGGCCTGAAGATAAGCCAGAATAAGACAGAGGTGATGACATTGAACACCCCAAACCCCTCACCGGTGCAAGTGAATGGAGAAGATCTACCCAAGACTGAGGAGTTTACCGGCCTAGGCAGCACCGTTAGATGTAATGGAGGAGCAGGCAATAACGTAAAGAACCGTTTCAGAAAGGCCAGGAATGCCTTAAGAATGTTCAACAAGGTTTGGAGGTTCCAGCAGTACAGCACAAAGACCAAGCTGAAGCTGTACCAGAGCTGTGTAAGTTCTATCCTGTTATACGGCTCAGAGTTGAAGGATGACTGCCACTGACCTTAATCTCTCCGTTTACCTCCTAAAGAGCCCCAGAAGGATCCTGAGAATCTTCTGGCCCAACACCATTTCAAATGAACAACTGTTTGCTCGTTGTCGTCAAGACAGCATGGAGATCATCATCATGAGGAGAAGGTGGAGGTGGATTGGGCACTTGCTAAGGAAAGATCTTGGTGACATCACCCGCACAGCCCTACACTAGACACCAGAAAGAGAGCACGAGAGAGGCAGACCGAAGAACACCTGGTGTCGAACGGTAGAAGGAGAGATGAAAACCCTAAACCACATCTGGGGTACCATCCGGAAGCTGGCCAAGAACAGACAGGAGTGGAGGACCTTCGTTGCTGCCCTTAATAACATACCTGCGGGCGTTGCGGACAGTTGTTAAGCGTAACCCAAAAAAGTTTCCTATTAAATCCATACCTTCCCATAACGACTACCTCTCTTTTGCTGAATAGCAGATGGCCCAAAGTATCCAAAGAAGTGTTTAACACAAATAACAATCCAAACGTCCTCTGATCTCTCTCCCCAAGCTGGCCGACGGAGAGGTTCGGTTGCGTTATCATTGTCACTGACTCTGAAGGGGCGTTATTATTGCCTTTGCCCAAAACAAAATGACATTTGCTAAAGAAGAATAATAGAAGCTATGCTAAACTCTCTGGTGATTTTAAACTTACTTTAAGTTTTCACTCGGAGGTCATTTTGTTACACAAAACGCAAACATTTTTCGAAAAATGAAGATTTAAATTTAAAAAACAATTTTTTTTCTGTGAAAGGTTTGAACCCAGCAGTCATTGTAAAAGTAGATTGAGTTTGATCGTCCGTGTGAACGTAGTCCTGAATAGGACTGTTGTTGTTGACAGTGACTGACGTTTCGACAACCTGTGCGGTGGTCATCTTCAGGGTCAAAGTGAGTTGAATCACGTCAGTTGATAATATTATACTCTGGTTATTGACCTGATTGGTCAATTACGTCACGATTTTATTAGTCGTCTGTGTTAAGCCGTGATGTTACTGCCTATGAAGACTCGTGATGTAATTGGTGCGTTTCGATCCGTCTATTGTCACAGTCAAACAGTCGTCTATTGTTAGGCAAATTGTCAGTTGTCCAGTCGTTCTCTTGTAGTTAGTTTTGCTTGATTTCGTCAATAAGTCGTTTGTACTGTGCCAAACTGTTGACTAGAATTCAGTGGCGTTTTTTCTTTGTTTCGTGGGTGACTGAAAAAAAAAATATATAAATATATAAATAATCAAAATGAAAATGATCAAAACAAAATGATCAAAAGATTAGGGTCTAGTTCCTAACGGATAGGATATCTATTGTACTCTTGTACACCCAACATGGCAATCCCTTGTGACGTTAAATGAATACATGTTGTAGGACTTAAAGACATTTACCAGTTGAAGGACAACCATACAACTCCATCTTCATGCACTTGTTTTTGATGTACTGAGTTGGCCTGATCCGAACGTGACGAGCCCTGATGATAAACGCCAACTTGAAAAACGCAGTTTCATCGCTGTCGTAGTTTGCACGTATATTCTGTGTACAAATATTTCAAAGATACAGTGATTTCGTAAGTTCAAAGGTCTAAAACAGTCAACTCCTCCCAACTCTTGACTGTGCATCAAAAAATATCGTTTGAAGAAGGCAGATTCAACCAGTGGGGGAAGGGGGGTTACCAGTTTTTTAATCAAGAAAAGCTGGAGCAGTGGACAACGCCAGGAACGTGATTTACTGACAATAAAAGTAATATAAAGTTCGCTTTATCAGACAGGCTATTTTAAGTGATTATGGGGTGTACATCAAGGTGGGAGCAAATTTTGATTTTAAAGTAGTAGTAATTACAAATTTGGAGTGAGTCCGACACGTAAAAGGGGGACGGGAAAGTGGAATAGATTTTCATTGCCTGATCATTTACCTAATTTAGCGAGCTACTTCCCGTCGAGTGTAATCCCCTGAAAAAATAAATTTGTCGATGTTTTTGGAGGAAAGCGGGGAGTAAAGGTTAGCTAACGTGGCGAGAAACCAGCGAAAAAAATCAATGACAGGCGAAATTAGGATTGTTTTCCTTCATTCGTCAGATGAAGATTTAAAGACAAAACAACAAACAAGCCCGGCTTGGAAGTGTCCTGTTGGGCAAAGGACCTATGTAAAGCTCCCAAAGCTGATATAAAAGTGTTTTATTTGACACAGTGTAGTATTTCTCGAACGAATAAGAACCAAATGAGTAATATTTACATAAAAGCCGGTGAGGTGCATTTGAGGTTGCGCTACCTGTTGCTAGCTCAATAAGCAACCAATTGTATGTCCATAGGCCGTACAGATACGTGGCTCATTGAATAGGGGTTTCTTTTGTAATCCTTCGTTAGACTCCATATGATTCGAACACCATATGGCCAAAAGATATTGCTTTATTTAATGTAACTGTCCAGTGGAAACACAAAATATATACAGAGACAAGACACAATTACATTGCGGCACATGTAGCGAGAATTCGCCCTTTTCCTTAAGGAATTATAGGCGCAAAATATCCGCGAGTGACAGACAACTGTAGAATTTTCCCTCGTCAATGAAAGAATATACTTCTTGTAGTTCACCCTATAAGCAGAAAGAATTTCTCGTCACTGTCTTAGCGAAGAAGACAATGGACAACTTGCATCATTTTTGTAGGAGAACAGTTATCAGTGGAGTTCTTCATGTCAACTAAAAAACTTTCAGGATTTGTCGCGAAATGGAACAAAACCAACAACTAATGCCTTTACACGTGAGTTTTACTATATCTAAATCTTTGTCTGCCGTTGTCACCTGCAAAATAACGTCCTCCAATTAACTGATAAAATTCAAGGATTGGGAAAGCTAAATTGCGGTGACCATTCCAAGGAACGTAAGTGTCTATTGCTTTCAAACCGTAAGCGTTTAGTTTACAAATGTCTACAATTATCTATTATTTTTCCAACGGCTTCAATGTATACGGGCAGAAGTTGTCATCGGTAAATTCAAGGGTACAATTTTTGTTCATTTGAAGACCGTCCTTGCAGTGGAAAGCTTTGCACTGGTGCCCTGTGAGCGGAGACAGTTCCCCGAACTGAAGTTAGTTGTGGACTCACTCGTCCACATTTACGACAGAAGTTATTTCGTAAAATTTGCTTGTAACTCTCCCGAAAATTGGCCGAGAAGAACGGATACACAAATGGTGTGATAGCGCTATTAGAATAAGCCACAACGAATTTTAGGAATTCTATATCAGGATTTCTGCAGACGGCGTTGTCTTTCGATGAATTGCAGATTGTGGAAATAATCCACAGAGGACTCCAGCACAAACAGAATACCAAAATCACCGTTACCATCATTCGAACAACTCGACGTGCAATCAGTTCACTCTGAACAACACTTACTTCCTGTTGATTTCCCGGAGGTCGCCGTTGTCGAAGTTTCACACCAATAGCGGCGTAAAGTGCGACGGTTGTTGCAATCGGAATGCCGATGACAATAATATGTTGCGCGAAGAGAAAATTAAAAAATGCTTTTACCGATGGAAAAACAGCAAGTACATTAGCGTAGCATACTCTAATGCCAAGACGTACTTCTATGTTCATCATTTTCCAGAAAAATGAGAAGAAACAGCCAGGAATTATCCACGTCAAGGCAATGACAAAATACAATAGTTTTCCTTTCATGATCCCCGATAAAGGGAAGAAAACAGCAACGAAACGGTCGAAAGCTATCGCCATGAAGTTTATTGTGGAAACGTACAGCAAAAACGCGATGAAAAAGTTGTAAGCTTTGCAGCTGATTAGTCCAAAAACACCGCCAAAAGGCCACTCAAAGCCAATGTAAGTGAGACCGATCAGCCTCGACAAACTAAATATCGCTAAGAAAAAATCCGCGATACTAAGGTTCACCACAAGGAAATTACTTGCGACACGCATTCGCTTGTTTATGTTCCTGTAAACGGACGCAATAACTAAAGAATTGCCAGAAATGGCTACGGCGATCAAAGACGACAAGACGAAAGTTTTGACGGCTTTGGTAGTTTTCGAGTCGTCCGCAATATTCCCTAGGTTGGTGTTACCGGGGGAAGAAAGGTTTCTTCCCGCATAGCTGTAATTGATGGCCGCCATCTTCATTCAACCCGCTCAGTCTGATACAAGAAACACTGGACTGTTTCTCACTAGAGATTCTAATTTGTGAACAATGAAAACAAAGCTTAATTTTGTTTCATCAGCTTGTTACCAAATAGGAAACAGGAAACTGACAACGAAAGTAGTGAAGCAATTAGACAGAGCAAACACAGCTTTTGTCATTAGTTGTGCGTTTTGGTGATTATTTTGAGCGGGAGGCAGGAGAAAATATACAGCCGAATGAACTAGACAACATAAGTATGAACGATTGCGGTAATTAGCACAGAAGTAAAGAATTTTTTTAACATTTAGAAAGGACAAAAATTGACAAAGAGACGGCTCGACAATGCACAATGTCGGGGACTTGAGAAAATTCTGAGTTATTAAACTAGCACCTTTTCTTCTGCGAAACATGCTAAATACAACATCCTGTCTAAAAGGTGCAAATAAGAAAGCTGACTAAGCTGGTGGAACCAAAAAATTAATTTCCATTGCTTTTTATTGATTCTTCACTTTTTTGTATCCAGCTCCGGACTCTTAATGTGTACGGTAGCAAATATAGGTGCAGCGTTAGAATGGAAATTAAAATGATTAAACGGAATTGAAGTAAATGTTTTTTCTTGTTTTGCCTTTTCTTTTAGTAAGTTATGATGACTATCATCAATTTTGTCGACAGCCATGATTTGCCCGCGTGAAACCCCTTACTCTTGGTTTTTAAAAGAACAATGAAAATTTACGGCAAATATCATTGTAACGTTTACAAAATTGTGTTCTTCGCTTTTCTCAAAATGATTCGTTTGGTTTGTCGTTCGGGTAAATTTTTCTATCAATAAAAAAGAACAATTCGTATTGATAATGCTTTTTTTTATTGTTGGGTCACTTAAGAATCTAAAACCATGATACTAGGTTATATTATTTTAGAAAAAGTATGATTTTATTTGTATAATCATATATTGCTCTTTCTTATGGATAAAAAGGGCTTCAAGTTCGTATAATTATATTGACTTTAATTTTGAACGTTTAGATAATTTTTCCCTTCACACCGTCGGGGAAAAAGAGAATGTGGGAAGTCTAACATGGCGTCCCAAAACATAATACAAAAGGAAGATTATTTAACTCTATAAAAAAATTCTGCTAGTCTGTCTGCGGGATGTCTTCAACCTCCCAGGCACGTTTAGTTTAAGATTTCTATGGTTGTGTTATGAGGTAGTTAGTTAGTTGTTCTAGAACCATTTTTGAATGGAAATCTTGCTTGTGTCAATACACTTACCATGAAATTTTTTACAATAACTGAGCGAATCCTCGCGTGCTGATTGGTCGAGAGCTGTGGTCTATGAGAATAGAGACCATGGAAATGACGTAACATGCCACACAGTGCCGGTTGCTTTGTTTTTGGTTTTTCGTAAAAATAATTTTATTCCTCGACATGGACAAAGAAGAACCACATTTTAGCATATGGGGAGAAATTTCTGACAGTGCGTTGGTGCTTGAAGCTGCAAAGGTAGAGGAAAAATGCGAAAAACAACAAGGAAAGCGTCGCTTCGCGCGTGATTTTCCAAGAAACTTCAAAGGAAACTAAAAATAAATGTTATTGTAAAAAACTCGTTTGATGATTTTTATTCTCCTTTGATATTTTATGGCGTCATTTCTATGGTCTTTGAGAGTGCAGACAATGGAAAATTGTGGCCGATTTGTTAACTGCAAAATAAGAAATTCATATCAACAGAGGGGGCGGGAAGTAGTTAGAGCCAATCGAAGGTATTATCTCAACAGAGCTTCATGCAGTTTCAATAATAAATAATAATAATAAACTATAGCGTCTATATCACAAGCTGTTCTAGACGCTATACAATATTACAATTACACAAAATGTATTAAGATACAGATAAATTACAACAAGAGGAATAAAAATAAGGGTAGGAATAGTGATATCAAAAATAACAAATAACTGTCCAAGCGAATAAATATATGTATAACTCAGAAAATCTAAATCTATTTACAAATTAAGAAAAGGCTTGGTGAAATAAATGTGTCTTTTAAGTGTTTTTTGAAGGAATTCAAGGAATTGGCATTTCTTAAAGATGCTGGTATACTGTTCCATAATTTAGGTCCTGCAATAGGTCCTTCGATAACTATAACACTTTCGCTTAGATCTCGGGACTTGAAGTAACTTATTCGAGCAAGAACGCGAAGAGTAGGAGCTGTTACAAAAACTGGGTAAATTGGATATATAACTTGGTGAAAATCCAATGACAGCCATTTATACCAACAATAAGATTTTATAAATAATAGGGTACTCAACAGGCAACCAATGTAGGTCTATTAAGCTAGGTATTATATGTTCATACTTTTTGCTGAATGTTACGATACGCGCTGCTCTATTCTGAACTAGCTGTAGCCGGTTTAAGAGAACTTTAGGCAGTCCATATAGAATAGCATTACAGTAATCCAAGTTAGTAGTCACGAAAGCGTTGATAATTGCTTCAGTAGGTTCACGATGCAAATATGTTCTTACCTTACTAATATTAGTTAAATGGAAATGACAAGTCTTGCATATCTTCTTAATGTGGTCTTCCATATCAGCACCGGGATAGAGTATCACTCCAAGATTATGAACAGATGACAACGGTTAAATAGTTTCACCCCCAACACGAACAAATTCCAGTGAAGGACTGGGCCGATAAAGTAAACTTAGGAAGCAGCTCGGTTTTTTCCTCATTTAGCTTAAGACCATAAGAATCATCCAATTGTTCATTTCCTGTACACAAATTTCAATGCTAGACACATAGAGCCGAGTGTCATCAACATAGAGATGGTATGTACGATTGTGTCTCTTTAAGACATCAGCCACTGGTGAGGTGAACAAAACATATAAGACAGGCCCAAGAACAGATCCCTGCGGTACACCGCAATTAAGTTCACGTAAAAAGGATCTTTAACATTCAATTTGAACAAATTGTGTACAACATGACAGGTAGGATGCAAACGGTGACAGCAGTGACTTCAGCTGTATACCAGGGCGTAGATGGTCGGACAGTCACGGCTCGTTCTTTCACAGGAGCGTGCTTGTTCAGTAGTGACCGTAAGACTTCATCATAATTATTCACAGCTACATGGAGATCATCCTGATGTTGGAGTAGAACGGAACCTTCAGTATCACTTCGAAAAAAAGTCATATCAATACCACGTAGTTTTCGAGAATCTCGAGAATTTTAATCTCACTACGCATTCAGCCTTAAGTAGTTCTTCTCGTAAATGATGCTAACTGTATTCGCCGTGGGTTTCAGATTACTTAGTTTCTTGCAATAAGACTTTGGGTAAGAATACCCTTTTAGATACTAGATAGTGAGTCGGCGCTCTTTAACTAACAGTGTGCGTCCATTTTCACTAGTGTTTTAGCGAAGCATTCTAATGTTAAATAAAAATGGCATTTTTTGCAACGAGTTGTACGGTTACTATTGACTTCAAACTTGCAGATATAAGACTAGAGAGCTCTGAGGTTATCATGAAGTTAGAGAAAAATCTGTCGCAGGATTTCAATAAATTTATTTCATTTTTTGTGAAAATGTGATTTCGAATAAATGTCAATATCTCACACATTTTTACACCTACAAGAAAATACATAAGGATGCCAAAAATCATAGATATCGGTTAAATCGTTCCCGCTTAAAAACGCGATTACAAAACATAACCATCAGTATATAAATAGGTTCGGGCCACGTTAAAAAATTGGTGGATGTCGTTAGTCAGCCAGTGTATTTATCATGGGTTTTGTAACCCTTTTTTGGGGGTGTTACATGGTATGTTGTTACAATTGCCTCATTAGCGGTAGGCTATACATACTTGAGTTGTTGTCATTTATGTTCATTCGAGTCTTACGACCGTCCCTCCGACCTCAAAATTAAATACCCAGTGGCTAGGTTTCTCAGTTTCTCGTAAAGGTAGTTTTTGCATGCTGCTATATGAGAGGTTTAGGACGTTTACGGTATCATTTTTATACGAACATAGTTTAGATCGTTTTGTAGGGTGGTTTTCTTTCTGTTTTTTAAATTTCCGAGTTTTCAAGCTGTTTGTTGTATCATTCTCATTCATTTTGTTGATGAAGGCCTAATAAAGAGAGTCGCACGCGGATCGTGTTGACACACCCCAATTGTGGTTGCTTATTACATGATAAATGTTTTATATTTGTTTGAGCCGGGTAGCGAATTAGAATATAAATTACATCAAAGCTAGGTATGAAAGCCGGCAAACATCAAAGTTGAAAACAACGGTGCCGCAGTTCTTGTGAATAGCTCACCGGCTGTGCAAAATCCTTTGTTCTTTGTTCACAAATTGTAACTGAATAAATAAGTGCGATATTTCTATTGGTCAATAAGTTCAAATTGATAGGAATGCTATTGAAATTGTGCACAGTCAGGTCCAAACGATGCTAACGAAAACATGTAACAAAGGAGTCTAACGAGTTTCATAACCACTCCACTTGAATAAATATGAGCACATACAGCTTATGTTGTGATGTCGCCGAAAAATAGCATTTGTCAAGCCTGTTTCGCTGAAATTTTTGGCAACAGCTTCAACTAGTATGATTATATACTTTACCCTAAGCACTCACATTTCCAGAGAAAGGATCAAAGTACTGATCATAGCGCAGGGAGTCGAGGCTGTAATGCAGAAAAAATATCCGGACTCTCCCGCAGGCTGCTGTTTCACCTTGGGTAGCGACCCCTGTGATGTCCATCAGGTGACCAAAACTAACTTGGAGAAATTCCCATCCATAGTTAGTCTTGGGACGCCAGATACCTTGGCTATTAAGTCGTCCCCGCCAAGGTTCGTTTCCAGTTCCTTTGTAGGAGGAGGCTGTTATATTATAGAGACCTCTTTCTATTCCAACAGGATCTTCACAGACTAGAGATGAAAAGCAAAGACATACCACGAAATATTAGTACTTACACAATGATCACGGTTTATTTTACTCACTAATATAATTAAGGTGAATCCATTTAGATGTATACAACAAAAACGTGTACATACCGTATGTTATAGGTAAAAAGAAAATAGATTCTAGTAACAATGAACGCGGGGCATTTGGCATCGACTGCCTTCCCGGGATGAGGCATTTGACAACTTTCTCTACCCTGCGTAGTAGGCGTCAAAATGGAAAGGTGAGGATCGAGGAAAAGGAAAGGGGATTGGGGAGAGAGCAAAAGGGACGGCGCTCCCTCTCCCTTTTACCTTTTGCTTTTTTTCCCTCCCCTCCCTCTTCCCTTTTTGCGCCTGACACGCAGGGTAACCTTTCCAACAACTGGCTTATATTAAATATCTTAAAATATTTTTGCATCTATAGCAATATATTAATCTATATTATTTCATCACGCGTTCTAAAGTTTCTTTTCTGAAAGTTAACTTGTTTCTACGACCGACATACCTGAGCATCCATACAGTTCAATTCTGATGCTTGCTTCATAGCCCCAGGTTAGCGGTATAACACGGATGTAGCGAGTGGTGAAGTTTTGTTTGAAATAATGTTTGGATGCAAAGTTCAAGTCTTCTGGTCCTTGAAACACCTAGTAAGAGAAGCAAAAACCATAAGTGCATGGAAAAACCAAACAACTCCGTCTTTCATTGAAAAATCATTATTAATTAAAAAATCTACAGTAACGCAAATGAAAACAAGTAATTTGCACTTCGCGCTACCTGCTTGCGGTCAATGATCATTTGTGTTATTTAGGTAATTTGTGGTCCTGGAACTCTGACGCTCACTGCACGCAAGACCGTAAAATAGCAAACGACCATGTCGAAAGCACCATTCTTAATTAATGCGACAAAAAGTGGACGATTGGTCTATTCAGAGTGGCTCGTTAGCCTCAAATGGTTTTTTTTTTGTTTTAAGGAAATAACGTACCCGTACAACCCCGTTTTCAGCGTAATTAGACCATTGGGGCAAATCTCTCATGTGCTTGACATAAAACGTCCATGGAACACGCCCACGATGTCTTCCCTGTACGGCAACGGCAGTGACCTGCTTTCGCGCTGGTCCAAGGTCGACTTGAACAAATGGTTGCGAAGCAACACCGCTGACGAAGGCATACTTATTATTGAGCCTAGCATTGGACATACTAATATGGTTTGCAGTTGATCTTCTAATTTGACTGTCCTTAATTTGGCCGTCTTCTAATCCCAAGGGTGCAGAGCAAACTAGAAAAACAATAGAACGAGGAATATTGGTTTTTGGCTCATAGAGCGACGAATATTACATTAACAGCGCTCTTTGGCTTATGTCTTGTAGAACGAGGAATATTACTTTTGGAGCCTCCTTGTTTTGCTTTATGTCTTACATAACGAGGAATTTACGATCTGTATCAATCAAGCAAACGGATCGTACGAATCGTAACACACTATACAAGTGACCGCGTGTAATAATAATTAATACTTTAACTCAAAAATTCAATTGGGCTGAAAAGAGTACCCTTACACATGAAATTAGGGGTATCAATAAGGCGCGGCTCGGCCATTTTCCGAGATATTATATAAAGAGTATCATTGAGGCTCAGCTGTACTTTTTGCCGTGAATACTGTAACTCAAAAAGTGCAAACCTGGACATCCTTTGAGCTGGGCCTTCATGCAGATGGCGTCGTGCCACTTAGTAGGAATGATCCGAACAAACCTTGCGTAAAAACTGGTATTTTGTGTCTTGAGAAATAAAGAATCCCTATTTGCTTCATAGGCCTTGAAATATAGAGAATGAAAAATATTCAGTTACCAAATTTATACATTTTATTGGCATTTTCGCCAAATCTTTCAGGGATATAATTTTCAACGTAGCTAGTGGCGTGGTATAAGAGCTAGACCTCCATAATGCGTCCCTTTTCTTGAACATTTTACAATCAGGTAAAACAGAAACCATCATAAGCTACAAAACACTTACATGTACATCAAATGGCTCGGGTAAATACATACTGCAAATTTCCAATAAGCCTCCTATGATTTTATCCTTCAGTTTAGTACTCATGAAGGCGTACGCAGGATATAAAAACTTGAATGAACGGAAAATGGTGTCCCTTTCCTTTACCGGTGATTTAATGTCAGAAACGGTTTGCACTCGCCATTTAAAAACGAGAAGGAGACTGCGCCTAGTAAACTGTGGTAAAGACTGTTACCAGGGACAGAGAAGGGCGGGGAGGGGGAGGTGGGGGGAATGGACAACCACTCTAAATAGCTGACTGGCAAGTCCCAAGCAACAATCACAGAAACAACTGTGGGACAAAATTTGGCTTCAGTTCCCTTCTCGTTTCTAAGTGGCGAACTGACTATTGGACTGTTGAAATGATACTATTTTTTTTTCTTAACAAAAATAAAATAATAAAAAGGGGAAGAAGGGCTTGACGTAATCAGCGGCTTGTAAACTAATTCTAGCGATCAGGGACCTTCTTTTTTGCGTATGACTATTATTAAATTTAAAAAGTACTGCCCAAGACTGAGCAACGTAACCTTGTAATTGCAGCACTTGTTGTTTTTCGACAGGTTAATATGCTGACATTGTTGCTCTTGTTATTGTCATTTACTTGGATCTGGAGAGTGACTTGTGACCACCAAAACTAACTTTGCTTTTTTTACGAGAAAAAAATTAGAATACTTAGAAAATTGCAATTTTGGCAATTTTGAAATAAGGGCCGCACCGACAAGTCGAAAACAATTTGAGCGCTCTACGATTAAATATATTACTGGATATGACTAAGGGCGGAAGAGAATTCTTCAGGCTACATCGAGAGACCTATTTCTCTAAAAATCACGTTGTAAAACTTGAGGCGGCTCAGGAGAATGATATATGACATTGCTGTCAAGAAAACAATGCTCCTTAAAGCTCCGAGGTAAGGCAAAACAAAGGAGACATTTCTTTTCCCCTCAACATACACTGGTAACGTTTTGCTCCTTGTGATCAATCCAAACATCTCCAAATTCACTGTATTGAATTCTGTAGTCCTCTACCCAAGAGTCACTAGCCACGATACCTGCCCGAATACCTCTTGTTGACACTCCTGTAATCTTATGAAGAGCTAGCAAATCAACTTGCAGAAACTGCGTTGAACTTTCATCAGCGCACCATCCGTGTTGTTTACTTGAATTAAGAAGACTTGCTCGCCATGGCTCAAACATAGGGCCCAGAAAGCTAGATGCAGTGTAACCACCCATCTTGGCTTCACTGAGGCTGACGTCTAGACTTTCTTCACAGTCTACAAAATAGCATGCAGTAAAATTTCTTCTTTATGTCTTTCTTTCTTTCAATCCTTTCTTCCTTTTTTTTTACTCTTATTATGGTAGGGGCGATGTGAATGATTCTTTTCCTAATTTATACGTATGGCAAAAGAATTAGAGAATTCAAGGAACACTTTTTCTTTTCTTTTTCCGAAATTTAATAGAACAGCCACTGGCATGAAGTTTTTGGCGACGGCTGGAGTGCAAGATCAGCAGAGGATTAACAATTTTTAAATCCTTTAGTCCTTAAATGACTGACTATACATCTCACAGACGCTGCTTATGTTTCCTTTTTATAAAGAAGGCTAATTTTCTTAACTTAATGAAGTATTGGCATGAGATACGAGCTCGTAGTTAGTCTTCTTAGTTCTTTCGTTCTGGCCATCCCGTTTATTCGGCCATCAGGTACACCTTTCAAACATACACTGAACTATTCCGTTGAAAAACCGTTACATGGCAGAAATATATACATTGTATAGCCACCCCCCCCCCGTTTTTGAAAAGATGTGTTGTTGGGGACCGATTTCACCGAATACCTATGGACGGTACACCAAAGCGGAGAAAAAATATATCCGTTTTCAAAAAAAAACGGATACGTGAGGAAGAGCCCTAAATGGTCATTGTAAACAGCCTGGCTCTCAGTGTGCAACTCTCTTGAAAGCTTTTCAATACGGTTCGCATCTTAGATTTAAAACTGACCTTTGGAGAACATTTCTATCCTCATACAAGGGTAGGTTTTCCAACCAAGGACAATAAGCCTGACCTTCCTAGCCAAGAAAGGACTTGTTAGAACATTCCAAGAGACTTTGCTGTTATTTGACCCAGAGAAACTCTGAAATGTAAATGAAAATACGGGAATAAGGAGATCGAATAGCTTTCTTACTGTGTGCAGAGAAACACTTATGACTTATATATGAGTAACGAAAGTAGCATTTATGACCTTGTAAGTAACTAATCGTCAAAGCGAAGCATTCGTCAGTGGTAGGATAAGCTCAGTCGGCAGAGCGCTTATCATGAGTGCAGAGCGGAAGGTCGTGGGATCGATTCACGGGGTCGGACCAATACTCAGGGTCTTAAAATAACTGAGAAATGAGGGTACTCCCTTTGCACTGCAAGCGGTTAGACCTTAGCGTGGCTCGGATGATCACGTAAAATGGCAGTCTCGACTACAGTAGGAGACGTCAAAATAGTGTCCCGCAATTAGTACTTTCGGCTAAATACCTTGACACTCAAATAAAGTGCTTTTTTTAAGTAAACACCTGGTTTCCATATAATCAAACGGATTCTCTCGATCGGTTGCGATGAATCGGGCGGTAATATAGGAACAAGTATAGAAAATAAATAATTTATGTAGACGGCTTCACTTCTGTCTTCTCTCTTCGCTTCGGTAACAGGTTTAATTTTCTCTCTTCTTTGCCGTTTGATCCTTCGCCTTGCCTTTGAAAAATCTGGAATCTTACAACCTAGATTGGCTAATGATGGTTAATTATATCGTGTTCTTGCTGAGCCTAGTACGAATGAATGAATGAATGAATAAATGAATATCCTTTAGTTAAAATCGATCAGTATTAAAAGCAGTAAAGCCGCATGAGATGTCGTGTTTACTAGTCTAAGATAAAACATTCTTATCTAAGATTTAAATAAAAGATGGGAAAGCTAAACATATACATGAAATTTCAAAAATTAAATTAAGAGTTTGAAATGTAAGATATAAAAAGTTAAATGAAAATTCGGGATTTTAAGAATTTTAATTCTTAAATTAAATGTTAAATTTTAAATTAAATTTTAAATTAAATTTTAAATCTTAAATCTAAAATCTAAAATCTAAAATCTTAAATCTTAAATCTTAAATCTTAAATTAAATCTTAAATCTTAATTAAATCTTAGATCTTAATAAATTTAGGATTTAAAAGATTTACATAAATACTCAGGAATTTAAGACTGAAAAGTTAAAATATATAATTTGACATCATCTTGGGCACCGAATGAACAGATAGACAGTTCTTTAACGTAAATAGGTTGAGTATGATCGTCGGGTTAACGTAGTCCTGAATAGGACTGTTGTTGACAATGATTGACGTTTCGACAACCTGGGCGGTGGTCATCTTCAGAGTCAAAGATGACTACCGCACAGTTTGTCAAAACGTCAGTCACTGCTATCAACACTCCTATCCAGGACTGCGCTCAACAGGACGATCATCCTCAACCTAATTATGAAATGTCTCCTGGGATCAAACCTTTCACAGTTCTTTAAAGGGTCCTTAACAGAGAATTTTTCTTCATAGTTCTTGGCTCTCACCTGAACATCCCCGTGAATCATGTAGTTTTCCCATTGAGCGCCATACTTTGAATACGAAATGCTAAACGAGGTCACACCATACGACTGGATCGAGTCGCCTTGGACGGCTATTTTTGCTACAAAAAGCTGTCTCCCAAGATCTATTTCTAAATATTCTCCAACTTCGTGTCTTGCAGCACACCATGACCCATTTGCGACAGACATTTCTAGCCTAGCTGCATAAGGGTAGTAGCCCGGCTTCCAGCTTGATGCAGTGAATGATGAATTGGCGATCTTGCGATGACTTTTAACCCCCACTGTATTATACGTTTTACTAACTGCGAAAAAAAATCAATGTATGGTTAGTAATAATAATAATAATAACTTATATAGGGCTTCATAGGGCTTTACCATAACTATGCTAACGTAAAACTAAAAGCTAAAAACACACCGAGGTAAATTAATTACAAAGCTTGAAAATATTAATACATGTACAAGATGTATTATCAGCATTCGGCGCAGTGTAGACGAGGTACATCAGTGGGCCCAGTACCGATCCTTGAGGCACCCCACGCAGCAACGGTCGCTTTGATTACATGTCCTCCTCTACCTTAACAAACTGTTTGCGGGAGGTTAAGAAAGACTTAAACCCTGTCAATGCAATTCCCTTCACTCCAAAATGGTTCGAGAGTCGAGATATCAGTATTTCATGATCCACCGTGTTAAATGCTGCAGAAAGGTCTAATAAAAGCAATATGACCAACTTTTTTTCCAGAGAACACAAGATGTCATTTTGCACTCTAAGTAGTGCTGATTCAGTGGAGTTAAATTCTTTGTACGCTGACTGAAACGTCTCATCAAGGTGGCCAGTCATAACATGTTTCGTCAGTTGGAGTGCAGCAGACTTTTCAACCAGCTCAGAAATAAACTTTAAATTTGAAACTGTCCAAAAGTTTGTTAACTGCTTGAAGTCAGCGGTTGGTTTCTTTAATGTGGGTGAAAGCGAAGCAAACTTTAGGGCATCACGCATTACGCCAATATGTTTTTAATGACAAATTAACAATTCTGTTGACAGTAGGTAGGAGTACAGGGAAGCAGCCCTTAAGAACTGATGAAGGCAGAGGATCAAGACAACAGGACTTGCTTAGAGGCTTATAAGCAAATTTCTTGACATCCTCTTGACTGAACTCATTTAGTTATTTAATTCAGCAGCGTTTGCAGGTAATTCATCTTCATCAGCTGGCAATAGATCTCTGTTTCTTGCTACAAGCGCAGTGTGAATCTTTTCAACTTTGGCAGTGGAAAAGTCAGCAAATGAATCAGCAAGCAAAGTATTGCTAGGAGAAGACGGATATAACGTCTCATGAGATCTAGTAAGATCTTAATAGTAAGGGAACAATTTGAAAATACGTGAAGCTTGCTCCAGCGACTAAGATGATTAAGCCAAGGCAAAAAAAAAAACCCTAGAATTGGCCACCAAGTGAGACAACCACCACTGAGACACAGTTAGGTAGATTATCCCGGGGTTATTAAAAAATGAAAAAAATTACAAAACCGCAACGAAGGTGTACGTTCTGGGGGATAAAGCGTGGAATTAATAGCTAAAAAAACGTTAGCATACAGCTTTTAAGGAGTCATAATTGAAAACAACGAGATATTTTCCACCAAGTATTCTGTACAATGAGCCAGGTCAACCTGTGGTCAAACAGAATGGGTAGCGAATAAGAGATGATCAAACCTGTGCATCCGTATAGTTCAAGACGAGAAACTCTACTGCCGAAATAGACACTTGGACGAAAAACCAGGAAGCTGGCCTCTACAGAGTACGGTAGGAACACTCTGTTAATACTGTTGTAATTTGTGAGTCCTGAAAAAACCTAAAATAAAGCGTATGAAAAGGAATTTTTACCTCTAAATTCACTTTATTTACCCCAAAATATGCAAGCTCGAGGTAGTGAAATGGATAGGGCTAGGGCCAGGGTTCTTTGGATCTACAATTACCACTACTGCTTATCCCACGGCCCACACACAAGTTTTTTTTCTGATGTTGAATAATGCTTTTAATCAGTTTAGTTTTTGAGGTATTTCTAATACCGTTCTGTTTAATTCTGAGCAGTAGAAGCACGATTCTTAGTTTAAACCACTCTAACGCTACTGTTAGTAACAAGCAAGCCCCGGTTGTTCAAACGTTGGATAGCGCTATACACCGGATAAATCACTATCCAGCGGGCTGGTATTACGGAAATCAATTACGCTATCCGCTGAATAGCGCTATCCAAAGTTTGAACAACCGGGACCTGGTAGGTAAGAAGGATGGTTAGGAGGTGGGGATGGGTGAGGAGACTGGCAATGTGGGGAGGTGGGTAAGGAGGATGGTTAGGAGGTGGGGTGGGTGAGGAGGTTGGCAATGTGGGGAGGTGGGTAAGGAGGATGGTTAGGAGGGTGGATGGGTGAGGAGGCTGGCAATGTGGGAAGGTGGGGAAGCTGAATAATGGGTGAAGAAGTTGCCAGCTTAGATAAGAGGCTCTTTCAGAAGTTAAAAATTAAAGTTCACATTCCTTGCTCATTCACCTGCGATATTCACTGTAATTTTCACCCTCAATCACTCTCTTTAACAACCTCTCTACATACAATTCCTGTATAAATCAATTCCATTTCGTCATGTATCTGTACAGTTTTATATAAAATATCAGACCTGGGCCAAAAAAAAATTTCCCAACCAATATTGACGTCATTTGTTATCATTAATCCAACAGACACAAGGAACCTATCTGTTAAATAAATTACCCTTATTTAAGGGCGTGCCTAAACGTACCTTTGCAAGTGCGTTGTCTATCCAAGGTTCCACGGACAAACCATCGGGGCTGTAGTATAATTCATAAGTGGAGACATACCCTCCTCCTGACTGTAATGCTATCGCGGTTATCTTCCTTTTCTCAGGCTGGAATCCAATTTTCAAAGTAGCGAGTTCGTCTGTGGCTGTGGGATTCCAACCTCTGCTGTTTAATCGGGCATAATAACCTTGAGTGCTAGAGTAACTTGATGAATATGTGAAGGCTGAGTTAGGTATCTTCATATTTTCCAAACCCAGGGGATCTGAACAGACTAAATGCAGAATTACAAAAGTCAGTAAAAACTAGCAGCATGAATCCACACACTTTGAGTTTTTAGATTACACCATATCACAACACTTTAGCAATAGAATAAGTAACACACTAATACTTCATTTAACAAACGTTCAGAGTCTCACTCTTTGTTGATTAAAAAACGCGTTGTGAGATCTTAAGCAGAGTTCGGCTGTCAGACTAACAGGCGCGTTGCCAAGAAAGGATAATGGAGACACGCATGCCCTCGCACGCACCGTCCTTTTTTGTGCATATTGCTCAATCACACTCTGGCCGTCGGAGATCTGGGTACGAGATTACATATTACATTCATGCGCCTGCTAGCTTAGAAGAGATTGGCGTAACGAGCTTTAGACTGCAAATGGTTCCTACTTTGTTCGGCATTGTTAATCAGGTAGTTGCGACGCAAGAAGTTCAAGAGAGTAAGTAGATCGTCTCCCACAATAAGGTGAGAAAGATCCAACGACCATCCACTCGCCGCGGGAAAATTGGTACTAGCTAAATTAAAAGTTGATCAAACCTTTAGTGCCTTGGAGTTCCACTCGTAGACATGGCCACGTTTTCCACTTTATAGGGTGAACCCGCATCACGCGACCGTTAAAATCCACCAAGTTGGTTTCTCTTCTCAATGTCTGGTCATCGACGCTTAAAAATTTCTACAATGACATTTCGAAGTTGACAATATAAATTTCCGGTTGCATGTTACACTGCACAGACCAAAATACAACTTGGTGGTAATTAAGAAGGGCTTATGTGACATGAAAATGAGGGAAGACTTTTAAGTTATAGTTATAGCTCATTATTTCTGCGAACCAGATGCGGTTTACAATGGCACGATTGGAATTTTTCATAAAAGCATTTTTTTAAGCCACAAAGGATGCATGATATTTAAGGAGAAAAGCGCTCTTGTTATCATTTCCACGCGTCTATCTTTACTTTACCAGCTCTTTTCTTTTCTCCACTACCTTTTCGACAAGAAATAAAAATACCCTACAAACAGGCCAGCTACCCGAATGTCAACGATGAAACGACTTCGTAAATGCTGGAAACCATGCCGCATAGAAACATGGAAAGGTGTTACACCATATCTTTTGACTTTTATCTAACTCGTGGTCTACTCTGAACGTAAAAATTGTCCAAGTTATCATCATTAAGTCGGTAACAACCAACATCTCATCAATAGACACTACAGTATCCACATGAAGCTCTTTGATTTACATGAATATATATTGAACCTTCCCAACCGGCTCTATACCAAAGACTGTTTGCAACCTCCCGACGCACTTTAAAAACAATCAGCGAAAGCGAAGCGCTGGTATTTCTTGCCCCTTTAATTTCGCAGGTTTACTAACCACAATATGAGAAAAAAGGGGGGCTGTGACATATCAGCGGTGAGAAAAAGGACCACCATCTACTGTACTTCATCTGGCATATGACAATTTGGCGGTGTAAGCATTTTACAGTCAGCGAAACCAAACTAAGCCAAAAGCTGTTTTTTATACTAACAATGGGCTGTTGAGTGTTGACATCTTTGACGTAACTCCAGTGCTCTAGCCCTGTGCTATAAGAGATAAAAAAATTCTTTCACCCAAGCCTCTCCGAGGTGATCCTTAGACAGACGATATTTTCCCTCAGTGATTATTTTAGTGATCATATGTTCTATTCCCAGATCAATTTCAAGGAAATGATTTGTGTCGTTCACTGCCGCACACCATGCTCCATGTCCAATGTTTCTCCCCATTCTCCCATAGAATGGCATATGTTCGGAGCTAAGCCAAGAAGAGGCAGTGATCCTTTCATCTGAGATGCGGTCGGATTGCATTCCAAGGCCATCATCTTTTACTGTGGTACAAAGACAAAAATAAGGTGCAGTCGAACCTCCGTAAGAGACCACCCAAAATGCAAAGATTTAGTGGTCGCTCACGGTAATCAAATTACAGGTGATCTCTTCCAAGAAAAGTTCCTGACACAAATTTGTGAACGCAAATTACGATCTGTGTAGTTCCATGTTGTCACTGAAAGTCCTCCGCATAAGTGGCATAGTCATGCGCAGTACATACATTGAACAAAAAGATCACACCACGCGTCATCGCCAAGTGTATGTTCGGCCATTTGTTTCAAAATTATGACACGATATACGTGCGGTTTTTTCCCCACGTATACTTGCAATAATTCCTGCTACACCATATACGTGGGTTTTTTTGCCACGTATACATGTGTTCTTTCCTGCTTTGTGAGGTTTTTATTCCCAAGTATATGACCATTTTCTTATAAACGCGCATATATAGGAGCACAAAAAAGCCCATATATATGCGTTACAAACACGGATGTGGTATATGGGTTCACAGAAAGTCGTCGTATAAGAGGCACCGAATTATACCGTCAGAAAAAAGTCCTTTCACGTACGATGGAGCTGAAAAGTAACTTCAGTTTGAATCAAGCATGGCTCGAGCAAGGGTGGGTCTTAGTCATTGCCCTCACAGTAGTGGTGGTTGTTGGTTCCCCGACAACGGATTTGTTGGAATCTGTGGATTGTCTCTTGAGAGACTCAGACTGTACGCTATTTTACAAATGCTGACCAAAGCAACGATCGATTCAGTTAGAAATGAGCGTCTGACAGGCCAAACACCACTCATAAGCTCGTGTGATAATGTGAAACATGACCTTGAGAGTCTGCTCGAACAAATCGATTTTTCTTCTTTTCTCTCTCTCGCGCGAATTATCACCTTTTCTCCTCCACGAACACATTCTAAGCCTCCTAGTCTCGAAGCTTTGTATTCTTTCCCTCTATTCACTCTATAAATTCCATGTTTCTTGTTTTGTATTCTCACACTTTAATAGCCTTCTACCTGCCTCTCTTTCCTTGCTCCTCCACTTTAATTGTGATTTTCATGATTATCTAACTCATTCTCGTTTAACTTCCATAAGATGTCCCTCAGGAATCAATTTGCTCAGGTATCAGTTTTGCGTACATGAAGGGGTTTTTTACTTGCGGTATAATTTGGTACCTCGTATACGACGACTTTCTACGACCCCATATACCACATGCTTGTTTGTAACGCATATATTATATGGGATTTTTTGTGCGCATATATATCCGCGTTTGTAAGAAAATGGTCATATACTTGGGAATAAAAACCCCACAAAGCAGGAAAGAACGCATATATACGTGCCAAAAAAACGCACGTATATCGTGTAGCAGGAATGATTGCAAGTATACGTGGGAAAAAACCGCACGTATATCATGTCATAATTTTGAAACAAATGGCCGACCATACAAGTGGTCGCTTACAAGAAGTTAAAAGTAATAGAAAATCAAAATTAACCCATCTGCCCAAAAAGTGGTCACGGTAGCTCGCTTACAGGAGGTAGTTGTATACGAAAGGTTTTAACTGTTCCTAATGAGAAAGTCTTCTGTACGATAAGGGGGAAAAATAAACAGAAAGGAGGTGGCAGAGGAAATGTGATCCTAGAAACCTACAAGAGGAATGAATTTCTGTGTAGAATTGACTACTGATTTTATACAACTCTACAGCGGTTTGAGAAACTTTGCTGCACTACGCTTGGATCTTTGACTGACATCAAATAAAAAGCCCCCTCTCGTGTTTCATATAACACATAAAAATATTTGATTTATGACTAGAATGAACGCACATACGATCAGTTTGTGGCTCCAAAACGGTTGTCTCGTTAGGCCTTCATCATTGGTTCAGGGTATAAGCGACCTGGCTAGTAAACAAAACTAGGTACCTTAAGAAAACCGTACCTAGCTTGGCGGTCTCAACTTCCACCTCACATAAGCTGAGAGTGCTGTTGACTTCTGGAGAAAATATGGTAACATACCAACCGGGTTCTACTGGTAAACAGCGGATCATTCTCCCTGAACCTCTTTGGAAACGGTGCGTAGTACCTCCACAGGGTGGGTCCTTAATTCCTAGCTTTTCCGGTCTATAGCCAACTCTAATGCTTAGTTCTGTAATCTCTTGGTAGACGTCATCGCCACGAACCACTATAAATACCCCTGTAACTTTCGCGTCCGCGCCCAAGTGTGTTTGAAACCAGGCGAGCTCGGACACCTCTGTAAGAGAGCATGAACCAAGAGAGAAATTGGATGCCCTGTTACCATCAACTGCTAATCTTGAGTTTTCAGTTTCATTTCCAGACTGCCAAGTTTGTTTCCCAAGAGCTGCGTTCTTCTTGAAGACTCGGTATCCTGTGAGATAAGAGATAATACAATGATTCAAATACCATCAAGACCAGCCTTAGGTTTTATATCATGATGAAAATAATTCCAGGGTTTACACCTACAAAAGAAACAAATGATTTGGTGTTTGTCAAGTAATGACTTGTCTTCAAGTACGCCCATAACCGATGCAGATAATTGCCTTTACCCGGAAACCGTAAGATTTCCAGTCAGAGATCTGTGAGAAGTAATCATACGCACGGACGAAGGCCCTTAAAAAAGAATGCGGTGAGGCATTTTACTTTGGTTGGGCGTACGCCTTCGTCCGCAAAAAATGTGCAAGAGCCGCTTTACTTCACTTTACTCCGCTTTAAAGTTGCGCCTAATTCTACATATTGTTCTGATGACTCAATCAACGTAGATGGAAATTACAAGTTAATTTAACTTACTTTTGCATCCATATAGCTCAAACCTCAATCCACAACTTGACGTAGCATCTTCAATATTTAACCTGACAAAAACAGGAGAGATTTCCCTCCATAACTCGTGCAGTGTTGTCAGTTTGGAATGGTCACCCACACGGAAGGTCTGTCGAAAAAACATAACATATTCATGCATGAAATCTCAATGCTTGCAAGGGCCTTATTGTTTTCCATGCAAATCTAGGTAGTTCTTCCCTCCCAAACAGTAGTTAAAAAGAAAAAGGGATCTTTGATCATAACATTCGTCTGTGATGAATATCTAGCATTCATTAGTTGTTCGTAATAATCTATGGAATACTCAGTAAATCGCCTCCAAAAATTATGAGAAGGGAAAGGCGAAACCAAAAAAGATCTTGCCAGGGAAAATTTAGCGAAAAAAAAATGCGTGCACTCGTGCATGGACTCAGTATAACGAACGATATTCATCGCCCTGGTAATGAAAAAAATATATGGAAAAGAACCTAGACATAACGATAACCTGTAACACCCTTAGTCCTTTGCTATATTTGAGTTCCACTGTGTCCACACTATACTTGGAAAAAAGAGTTATCAAAACTGATCTTTTTACCCCGGACAGGTTTTGCAGAACACTGCTGTTCTCTTCAATGATGACAGTGTCTGCTGTCTGCCGGTAACAGGAGGCTTACCAACACTTCAAAAGCCTCGGTACCGCTGGCTGTTAATACCATCCATATGAAGCGAGAGATCCTGCTTCTGGTATTTATTACATTTATAAAAAAGTGACCACCACAGCGCAATATAAATTGTCCAAAAAAACAACAACAACAAAACTATTTGATGATCTGAGTGTTAAAATTTGCATTTTCGAGGATCTACGAAGAAAGGCTAAATGTTCTAAAAGAGAAATGCCCCAAACTCGACTCCAACACCCCCCCCCCCCCCCCCCCCAGCCCCCTCCTCAATCCAGAAGGTTCAAGCTTCTTCAGCGGAGGAAATTTTGAAATTTTGGTCAAGAAATGGAATGCTGTTCAGCTGCAATGGTGGCAGCCGCCTCCATGCAAACCATGCAACTTTAATGCGTTCCGTTTTTCCTGAGTTATCTTATAATTTCCAGTGAACGGTTTTTAGAAGCGCAAGTCTCGTTCTAGAATCTCTAGAATTTAGTTTATCACCTTGACTTTTCCATCCTCCCTATAGTAGGCCCAGTCTATGCCATCCATACTGTATGATAAGGTAAATGAGTGGACAACGTTATGGTAAAATCCTTGAGTCGCGATTCCAGTCACTGTGTATTCACCGTTACTCTGGACCTTCACTTGAATGAAAGGTTTTCGAAGGCGATTAAAATCGACTATCCACGCACTTTTACCATTCAACCGTGCTTCATATGGGTAATATCCTGTCCTGTAATGACTGGCTTTTATGTCTCCAGACCAGATCTGATTTGATTCCATTCCTAACGGATCGTTGCAAGCTGCAAAGAAGAATAAAAGATTTCTAGAGTGATGAACTGCACTTCAATAGGGGATTTCATGTCTGCCTTCATCTTCCCTTGTTTTTTAACTTAAGATACCGGTTATTTATTGTTTAATTCAAATACGACGGTCTTTCAAACAAAGGAAACTAAAGAAACATTTAACACTAAAACACTGGCGTTAAAAAGAAACAGTAGATCGGCAACCTTCAAGTAGAAATTTGGCCAAAACATCCACCCAATATATAAGAACCAGTTTAGCTTGACACGTGAAGCGAGTTTAGGATTAGACGACACTGGAGCATCAACGGAAAGTAAGTCAACAAGCTTATTTGTTATTAGGCATTCTACATATATGGAAAGCATTAGCATGAAACAGGAAATTGCAGTTCTATTTTGTGGGCGTTTTTTAAAGTAGATAAGTTCCAAGATAATAACAGATAGTTAGGTTAAAGGCTCAAGTCTCATTAGTAATTGGCTCAACTTTTTAACGTACCCTGGCAGAACGCTGCTCGACAGGCTGGAAAATAGCCACCAAACAAAAAGTATTTGGAAGTATTTAGAGCTTTCCAGTGCCCTTGCCCACAATTTACGCGTATCGTAATTTTGTTCACATCGGCGTTAAAGCCCACGAGAATAAACTTTTTTTTCAGGAAAATAAGAGGCATGCATGTTGCGCTTTAGCCTTAAAGGCGAAGTGACAATTGATAGCAAAAATAAGAAAGCTGTTTTTATGTTGCCACTCGCCATTTGAAAACCGAACCGAGAATAAGTAAGATCATTTCATATTGAGCGCGGCCCGAGTCTATCTCGGTCATCAACTTCTGAGTTGAAAACCTGAGAGGATTTGTATACAAGATAAGGCTCAGGATAAACTAAGACAGGTGCGAGGGCAGCAAGGACTGATGGCGCATAATAAGAGCACTCGCCTCTCACGAATATGGTCTGGGTTCAAATCCCAGCGTCGACGCCATATGTGGGTTTAGTTTGTTGTTGGTTCTTTTTCTTGTTCCCAGAAGTTTTTCTCCGGGTTCTGCGGTTTTCCCCTTTCCTCAAAAACCAACATTCCCAAATTCAAATTCGACCACGAATCAGGTACATGTACATGAAGAACCACCATGTGGATATGCTACCTCACAATCGTGTTTTAGTCATTCATTCATTCATTCATTCATTCGCTCACTCATCCGTTTATTCATTTGTTCATTTATCTATCTATTTATTTATTTTCATTTACTTATTTATTTATTTAATACCTTACCTTCACAACCATACAGCTCAATTCGCAAGCAAATGGTCTGGTGCCACGTTACGGGTCGAATTCGAACAAATTTTGCTATAAACGGAGTCAAAAATGCTTTCACTGACACTTCGTCCTCATTAGTATTACCTTCAATATCCTGTGAGAGAAAGAAAAGAAAAAGAAAAAGATTGTGACATTTTGAATACTTAAGAAGAAAAAGAAAAAGAAAAAACATAGAAATCTGCCATCTGCCAAAAAGCGCAAAGACTAAAGCTAGTGCTGCAAACTGTACCACTTGACCAAGTTTTATACTTATCATCGTACCTTTCTACACCAAAAGAATTAGTTTTATGCCAGGTTTGTCCATAAGAATTACTTTAAAAAGTTTTCAGCCCCTCGTATGATACATATATGTAAATTGCTAACTTATAATTGAATCTTAAGTTTGCCGTTTGCTGTAAAGGCGATTCTAAACCTCCCTATTCATGAATACAATAATACAATGGCCGTTTTTATGCTAAAGACGTTAACGTCGATTGGTGTAAACACGGGACGCATGAAATTGATAATATTGAAAAAGCAGAGTTTTGTGGAAAAAACACTGACTCTTCCCTGTCGTCTTTGGACGATTTGGACATTCCCGACGGCCCTGGGGCGAGCACGATTGCGAGGCTAACGCGGGTCAACTTCTTTGCAAAAACAAAACAAACATGGGTAATTTGCCGCTGAGTCGCTGGAAAACGATAGAAATCTTTAAAACAGTAAGATTTTAAAGCTTAAACTTTACCAGTAAGCCAAAGGGATATCTCTTGCAAACAATAAAATTGTGGGAAAAGCTGATAAAAAATTAAGAGCCAGTCTCTGTAAGATCCTCATATCGAGTTTTGCCCACAAAATGGATTTCGCTCATAATTTTCCTTTAGGTTTCTTTTAATAAGTATATAACGAATATGTAACTAGATTGGAGAAATTCGCTTCTGTAAATTTGTCTTAAAGAATTTTCTTTCGGCGCCACACGAGGACCTGAGATGCTTGTGAAACATAGGCGTACGGGCCGGGGGGGCGAGGGGGGCTGCAGCCCCCCCAAATTTTGGGCAACTCAGATTTTTTGGGCAGCGAGAGAAAATTTGGGCAAAGCCAGTTTTTAAAGACGTTTCCATGTTTATTTAATTATTTTAAAGACCTGAATATTAACCTGAAGTCGGCGTAATAATCCAGTTACATTACAGTGGTTGCCTAGCATGTGATGACGGTACTTTACATATTTGCAGCTTTTTTTTGTTGGGCACTATACTGCACTGCACTAGCTGGAATGGGCTATTTCCAGTCGTGAATTGATTAAAATAAACTTTCGAATAACTTTCTAGAATCATCTCTACTCGAAGAACAAAATATGGCAGATAGCATTTACCAGTGGGTATGAAAATGAAGAAGTGGCTGACTAATTCTCAGTTTGAATTACGAGAAGAATTTTAATTCTTTTAAAAAATCTATCGAGCGGTTTAAAAAATTATACGCTAATTTGTTAAAGTAGACCGAAATGTTTACAAAACCGCTAACAAGAGTGTCTCGATACATACTAATCAAATCCTTCTTTCGATTCTAGCAATCAAGCAGAGCTATCTCCACGATCTCTTACACATGTTTTTAAAAAGATTAAAACTACTATGAGATGAAATTGCAGGTCAAAAGCGCTTCGTTTTCTACAGATAACAGCCAAAAATCAAGATTTTCCTGTTCTTACCGTATTTCTAATGCAGTAAAAACTCGCAACTAAGAACCTACATTTTTAGCAGTTAGCCTAAACGGGTTCTTATATAAATGGTAGTTAACAGAATTTTAGGCTTTTTAGGTTCTTAAAATGGGTTCTTAATCCTGGAGAAAAAACAATGCATAATGGTGTGCTGAGGCTACATATTGCTTAGTATGCTTTGTAAGTCTACATATACCTTGTACTCATTTTTCCTTAAAAAACATTTTTACAACAATGGCGATCTGCTTTTTTGCTTCAAATATGATTCTTGCAATACAGCTGTAATGTACTAGTATGATTTTAGAAATAAGAACCTGTTTTAAATTTCTAAGGCTAAATAGGTTCTTGTTTATAGGGGGTATAAATGACCAATTTTAGGCTAACAGGTTCTTAATTTTTACGTTCTTAGTTGCGGGTTTTTACTGTAATAAAAACTTCATTCCAAAATATCTCGATAACGCTCTTAAGGTTTTGCTTAAACTTCACGAACATCGAGGTGACCGTATTGGAGAAAAAAGCTCCTGTGAACGATTTTGTAAGGTTCCTGTGCCGGGAATCATTGCTGACGTAAAATAGGTAATGAGCGGGGGGAGTCATTTCGTTGCTATGACAACTCCGATGTCATTGCAACCCTGGTGATGACAAATTTTCATCTTAATACAACTGTGGTCGCAATTTTTCCAAATGTTTGTTTATGGCGACGTACTTTATGCTCAGACTTGGTATTGACCCTGAAAAACGGTATCGAGCCACCTTCATATTCCAGGAGGGTCTACGTTGTTGCAATAGGGCCCTCATTTCTTTACGATTCTTTCGGAAAAATTTGGGCAACTTGCGAGATTTTTTTGGGCAAATGGTTTACCGCCCCCCCTGGCAAAAAATTTCCCGTACGCCTATGTTGTGAAATATGCAAATTTTGTCAAGATTCAACCGATTGCGCCTTTATCTTTAAAATAATACAGATCAGAATCATCAACACCTTTTCGTTTAGGAAATCTGAGGGAAAACAGTCAGCCCCTTTGACCTACTTAGCGAAACATACGGTTTTAGCCAAATTCAGTGGATTAAATCTCAAAAGTGGCTCACACTTATACAGACTCTCCTGCATATCCTTGTGTAGTTCAATCCTTCAGCTACTGAATCGTGTTAAAAGTTTTGGCGGCCATTCAGTTTCGGTCGAGGGGTGAGTGGCGAAATTTTCCTTACTTTGCCATTTCGCAGGCGTTTCGCCATCGTGAAGTCCAGAAGGATTGTCAGAATAGAAAGCGAGAAATCGGGTATATGTCACTCGAAGATTGTCCATTCCTAAAGACTACATACTTTCAATCACTGTTTTCCATGTGGCTATGGTTTTAACCCAAAGAAGAATGGGTAGAAGACGGTGGAACGTGAACTTACTGTCCGCTATGTTTTTGTAGGGTTTGTGGAAGGTAGGAATCTGGAATCCGGAATGCGGAATTCGCAACCCTTTCAACGTCACCTGTTGGAGCATATTGTATAGTTTTATACTTTCTCTATTAGCCGAAACTCAATTCGTATTACAATAATTATTTCATCTTTAACTTAACAGGATATTGAACAGAATGTCTCAGAAACCTCGGCCTGCTATTCAAACGTGTCCTCAGCTGCTACATAAATAATTATAGAAAATAAGTTGTCAAAACAGCAAACAACTAGGTATAGTTCCATTATTCAGCTTCTGAATCATTCTCATACATTTATTTGTCATCCAGTTTCAACAGTTTCGTCGGAAACCGAGGGTTGAAAGTTGCGATACTTAGCACGTCACAGCTGACGCTCTGCCCCGCTTAGATTACAAACTTAGAAATGACTACGGTATAGTCTGTTTTCCACAAGAACTGACTCCCCCTCCGACCCGCTCTATCTCAATAACAGATTTTGACCGCTCTCAATTACTGAAGAACTTTCAGTCACTCTTCAAAGCGGTCAATAGCCCACTGACCACCTAAATCGCAGTTTATGCTACTGGCAAACAACCAAAATGGCACATGCACCTGCGAATTGTTCCTTTGCCGGGATAGCAAATATTACTTGTGGTTCGATAAAGACAATTTTTGTTTACTAAATAAGTGCGTTGTCCAAGTAAAGAACCATCTAAGAAGCTGTAACCTTTCACGTACGAAGGTCACCGAATAGGATCTAATTTTGGCAAGGGCGGGAAAATTTAATCGTTCGCATGAATAAGTAGAAAAAGATGGTGGTTTGCTTTGCCTGTAGGCACAGTCTCAGTATAATTATACTAGTGGCCACGTAAAACTGTCGTTATCCTTATCCAGGCCATGAAAGGAAAAAAGATTGCCCTTCACTGTAAAAAAAAACCAATTAACTGGAAAATGACGCATTCAAGAAATCCGCGAGATTTTTGTTACCCTTGTTCTTGTGAGGTCACGTAAGTATTTTCAATTGTTCTGTTTTAACTCCTGTCCTTTTTTTCTTTTATCACAGAACCGGTTGGGCATAAATAGATGGGAAAAAGGATAAAAAGGAAAATTCAAATTTTGCTTCGTTTTGTACGTCAAATAAAAGAAAATAAATATACAAATAAGGAAACGTGTACAGAATAAAAAAGAAAAAAAAACATCCTTTCTAAGAACATAGAATTATTTCATAAATGGAACTGGTTGATGTAAAAGCTTATTTGCATTTTTTCACGTCTAGGGTTTATTTGTGCTCTAGTAATTCAATTAACATTCTGTGAGCGTAATAAAAGAAAAGCAAGAGCCTGAATATCTGCCAGGCTTGATGTTCTAACAGAACAGAACAGAACATGTTATGTTATATAACATGGCATGTGTCATGTTATGTTATATAACATCATATGTTATATAACATGTGTCATGTTATGTTATATAACATTTGTCATGTTATGTAATAGGGTTTATTTGTGCTGTAGTAATTCAAGTAAAATTCAGTGAGTGAATTAAAAGAAAAAAAAGAGCTTGAATATCTGCCAGGCTTGATGTTCTAACAGAACAGAACAGAATATGTTATGTTGTATAACAGGATATGTGTCATGCCACGTACACATGTTATATAACATAATATGTTATATAACATGTGTCACGTTATGTTATATAATGAGTCGTGTTATGTTATATAACATGTGCCATGTTATGTTATATAATGAGTCGTGTTATGTTATAGAACATGTGTTTTGTTATGTTATATAACATGTGTCATATTATGTTATAAAACATGTGTCATGTTAAGTTATATCATGTTATGTTATATAACATGTCTAATGTGTTATGTTATAAAACGTGTCATGTTATGTTATATGACATATGTCATGTTATGTTATATAACATCTGTCATGTTATGTATGTTATATAACATGTGTCATGTCATGTTATATAACACGTTTCATGTTATGTTATATAACATGTGTCATGTTATGTTATATAACATGTGTCATATGTTATGTTATATAACATTTCTCATGTTGTGTTATATAACACATGTCATGTTATGTTATATAACATCTGTCAAGTGTTATGTTATATAACACGTTTCATGTTATGTTATATGACATATGTCATGTTAAGTTATATAAAATGTGTCATGCTATGTATGTTATATAACATGTGTCATGTGTTATGTTATGTTATACAACATGTGTCATGTTGTGTTATATAACAAATGTCATGTTATGTTATATAACATCTGTCATGTGTTATGTTATATAACATGTGTAATGTGCTGTGTTATATAAGATATGTCATGTTAAGTTATATAACATGTGTCATGTTATGCTATATAACATGTGTCATGTGTTATCTTATATAGCAAGTGTCATGTTCTGTTATATAAAAGGTGTCATATTATGTTATATAACATGTGTCCTGTTATGTTATATAACATGTGTCGTGTTGTGTTATATAACAAATGTCATGTTATGTTATATAACACATGTCATGTTATATTATATAACATCTGTCATGTGTTATGTTATATAACACGTGTCACGTTATGTTATATAACATGTGTAATGTGCTGTGTTATATAAGATATGTCATGTTAAGTTATATAACATGTGTCATGTTATGCTATATAACATGTGTCATGTGTTATGTTATATAACATGTGTCATGTTACGTTAAAAAACATGTGTCATGTTATGTTATATCAAATGTGTCATACTATGATATATAACATGTGTCATGTTATGTTATATAACGTATGTCATGTTATGTTATATAACATGTGTTATGTGTTATGTTATATAGCATGTGCCATGTGATGTTATATAACACGTGTCATGTTATGCTATATAACATGTGTAATGTGTTATGGTATATAACATGCGTCAAGTTATGTTAAATAACATATGTCATGTTATGTTACATAACATGTGTCAAGTTAAGTTACATAAAATATGTCATGTTATGTTATATAACATGTGTCATATTATGTTATATAACATGTGTCATATAACATGTGTCATGTTATGTTAGATAACATGTCATGTTATGTTATATAACATGTGTCATGTTATTTATGTTATATAAGATATGTCATGTTAACTTATATAACATGTGTCATGTTACGTTATAAAACATGTGTCATGTTATGTTATATCAAATGTGTCATGTTATGTTATATAACATGTGTCATGTTATATTATATAACATATGTCATGTTATGTTATATAACATGTGTTATGTCTTATGTTATACAGCATATGCCATGTTATGTTACATAACATGTGTCAAGTGATGTTACATAACATATGTCATGTTATGTTATATAACATGTGTCATGTTATGTTATATAACATGTGTCATGTTATGTTATATAACATGTGTAATGTGTCATGTTATATAACATTTGTCAAGTTATGTTAGATAACATATGTCATGTTATGTTATATAACATGGTCATGTGTTATGTTATATATTATGTGCCATGTTATGTTATATAACATATGTCATGTTATGTTATATAACATGTGTCATGTTATATAACATGTCTCATGTTATGTTATGTTATATAAGATATGTCATGGTAAGTTATATAACATGTGTCATCTTATGTTATATAACATGTGTCATGTTATGTTATATAACGTAAAACATCTTATGTTATATAAAATATGGTATGTTATGTTATATAACATAAAATATGTTATGTTATGTTATGACATCTAAATGGTATTTCATTTCAATGCAATTGTGAAAATTCCGTTTTATTTGCTTTGGGTGAGAAATATAAAACTGCGCTTATTTATTAAGCAGATCATAAACTTCTCAGTTGAAGAAACCCTCTCGCCCATACAAAGAAGAGTTTCAGGTATCAAGAATAAGTCATAAAGGGTGTCAAGGGCATTTACCCAGCACTCTTGCAAAGTTTTCCAGTGTTTCAACATTGAAGATTTTCTGAGTCGTATCATCGAATGAACTTCATCAAAAATAGCCAGGCCACTTAGCGCAGTTTAGATTTTTGCATGACGCAAAAAAAACTGTCTCCCTTATCACCTACTTGCCTTTTGACGGCAACCTCATGTGAGGGACTTAATGTTTCAATTCAGATTGTTGAAATGTTTTCCACAGCAAAGAAATTTTGCTAAAAAAGCACAGTATACAAGAGCTGGGACAGCAGTGTTATAAGGGGGCAGCTGCACCTGGGAAAGAGGGCGTTCCCCATCACATACTAAAGCTTGTTCAGTCACCCCCGTTAACTTTGTGAGTCATTCTGAGGCTATTCAAAGACATTCACAAGTCGATTTCTTGGAGTGCGAAGAAGAGACAACTTACAGGTAATATTATTATTAGGCCAAGATGGTTCGTTTCTCACTGTGCCCGAAAATCACACTTAGAAAGGAGAAGACGAGGAAAAATAGCGAGAGCAAGGAAAATAATATAAGCATTAAATGACGTATTGACACTGCAAATTTGCACTCTTCAGCTGTTCTTGAATCATAGTTTATCAATTTTGAACTTCAGATATCTCCTCTTAAGAAGTAAAATATTTAAATTGAGACATTTTCAACAGCAGCGACAGATTGGATAGGGAATCCCCCTAGTGTCTAGAGCAGGCTAAGAAGACCTTTGAGACTTCCTGCTTAATATTCTATAATTTTAAAAAAAGAGAAACAAAAAAATATTGTAAATGCGAAATGATTTTCCACAAATAACGAAGGAAAAGGGTTGCTAATTCCGTATTCCGGATTCAAAATCCCACGCGTTCCACAAACCCTACAAAAACATGGCCGACAGTAAATAAGCTCACGTTCACCGCCTTCTCTCTCTTCTTCGTTTGGTTAAAACCACAGCCACATGGAAAACAGTGATTGAAAGTATGCAGTCTTTAGGAATGGACAATTTTCGAGTGACATATACCCGATTTCTCGCTTTCTATTCTGACAATCCTTCTGGACTTCACGATGGCGAAACGCCTGCGAAATGGCAAAGTAAGGAAAATTTCGCCACTCACCCCTCGACCGAAACTGAATGGCCGCCAAAACTTTTAACACGATTCAGTAGCTGAAGAGAGGGTAACAAGAGTAACAAGAGTAACAAGAGTAACAAGGGGTAACAAGGGGTAACAATGGTAACAAGGGCTAACAAGCGTAACAAGGAGTAACAAGGGGCTAACAAGAGGTATCAAGAGGTAACAAGGGGTAACAAGGATAACAAGGGGTAACAAGCGTAACAAGGAGTAACAAGGGGATAACAAGAGCTATCACAGGGGTAACAAGGGGCAACAAGGGCAACAAGGGGTAACAATGGCAACAAGGGGTAACCAGGGGTAACAAGAGGGCAACAAGGGGTAACAAGCGGTATTAAGGGTTAACAACGGTAACATGAGGTAACAAGGGCTAACAAGGATAACAGGGGGTAACAAGGGTAACAAGGGGTAGCAAGGGGTAACAAGGGTGACAAGGGAAAAGAAGGGTAACCAGGGTAACAAGGGTTACAAGAGGTAACAAGGGGTAGCAAGCGTAACAAGGAGTAGCAAGGGGGTAACAAGAGGTGTCAAGGGGTAACAAGGGGTAACAAGGGGTAACAAGCGGTAACAAGGGGTAACAAGGGTTAACAAGGATAACAGGGGGTAACAAGGGTAACAAGGGGTAGCAAGGGGTAACAAGGGTGACAAGGGGAAAGAAGGGTAACCAGGGTAACAATGGTTACAAGAGGTAACAAGGGGTAACAAGCGTAACAAGGAGTAGCAAGGGGGTAACAAGAGATATCAAGGGGTAACAAGGGGTAACAAGCGGTAACAAGGGGTAAAAAGGGTTAACAAGGGGGAACAAGAGGGAACAAGGGGTAACAAGGGGTAACAAAGGCAGCAAGAAATAACAAGGGGTAACAATGGTAACAAGTGGTAACAAGAGGGAACATGAGGTTAAAAGGGTAACAAGAGGTAACAAGGGGTAACTACAGTAACAACGGTAACAGGGGTTAACAAGGGTAACAAGGGGTAACAAGGGTAACAAGGGGTAACAAGGGATGACAATGGTAACAAGGGGTAACAAGGGGTAACAAGGGTAACAAGGGTAACATGGGGTACCAAGGGTATCAAGGAGTACCAAGGGGATAACAAAGGGTAACAAGAGTAACAAGGGTTAACAAGGGGTAACAAGAGGGAACAAGGGGTAACAAGGGTAACAAGGGATAACAAGAGTAACATGGGGTAACAAGGGTAACAAGGGGTAACAAGGGGGTAACAAGGGTAACAAGGGGAAAAAAGGGTAACAGGGGGTAACAAGGGGATAACAAGGGGTAACAAGGGGTAACAAGGGTAACAAGGGGTAGCAAGGGGTAACAAGGGTAACAAGGGGAAACAAGGGTAACAAGGGTAAGAAGAGGTAACAAGGGGTAACAAGCGTAACAAGGAGTAGCAAGGGCGTAACAAGAGGTAACAAGGGGTAACGAGGGTAACAAGGGGGAACAAGAGGTAACAAGCGGTAACAAGGGGTAACAAGGGTTAACAAGAGGGAACAAGGGGTAACAAGGGTAACAAGGGGTAACAAAGGTAACAAGAAATGACAAGGGGTAACAATGGTAACAAGGGGTAACAAGAGGGAACATGAGGTAAGAGGGGTAACAAGAGGTTACAAGGGGTAACTACGGTAACAAAGGGTAACAGGGGTTAACAAGAGGTAACAAGGGTAACAAGGGGTAACAAGGGGTGACAATGGTAACAAGGGGTAAAAAGGGGTAACAAGGGGAACATGAGGTAACGGGTAACAAGGAGTAACAAGGAGATAACAAGGGGTAACAAAGGGTAACAAGAGGAACAAGGGGTAACAAGGGTAACTAGTGGTAACAAGAAGGAACAAGGGGTAACAAGGGTAACAAGGGGTAACAAAGGGTAACAAGGGTAACATGGGGTAACAACGGTAACAAAGGGTAACAAGAGGATAACAAGGGGTAACAAATGTTACAAGGGTTGACAAGGGTAACAAGGGTAACAAGGGATAACAAAGGGTAACAAGGGGTAACAAGGGTAACAAGGGTAACAAGGGGTAACAACGGTAACAAGGGTAACAAGGGGTAACAACGGGTAACAAGGGTAACAAGAGTAACAAAGGGTAACTTGGTGTCATATTTGATGAATGCTGTAATATGGTAGAACTTGTAAATAAGATCTACTAAACGTCGTACTACCACTTGAGGAACATTTCTAAAATTAGGAAGTACCTCACTGAGGAAACTACGGAAATTCTTGTTCATGCGTTTGTTACTTCTAAACTAGACTATTGTAACTCTTTATTGTATGGCCTCCCTAAGCATATGATAGGTAGTTTGCAGTCTGTGCAAAACACGGCTGCTCGTATCGTTACTTCAACCTAGAAATTTGATCATATCACCCCTGTATTGATTCAACTGCATTGGTTACCTGTTCACTTTCGGATTCTTTTTAAAGTTTTATTGTTAGTTTATAAGGCGCTAAATGGTATGGCACCATTATATATCACGGAATTACTTAGTTATCGTACATGTTCACGTACGCTACGCTCTACTGATCAAAAACTTCTGGCAGTTCCGAGGTCAAGACTTAAAACATACGGAGACAGGGCCTTTTCTGTTGCTGCACCTAAACTCTGGAATGAGCTGCCATTAGATCTTAGAAGTTTAGTTACAATTAATTTATTGAAGAAACACTTAAGGACTGATCTTTTTAAAAAAGCATATAATGTTTAACTTTTTGATAATTTAGAATAGGATTTATTGTGATATTTTTATAAATAAGACTGCTAATAGGTTTTTAATTTATTCATATTTTATTACCAGTGGGATCTTTTTAATTATTTTAATATTATGAATTGTAAAGCGCTTTGGTCAATTAGTGGAGTTAGCGCTATATAAATTATGTTATTATTATTATTATTATTATTATTAACTAGGGGTAACAATGGTAACAAGGGCTAATAAGCGTAACAAGGAGTAACAGGGGGGTAACAAGAGGTATCAAGGGGTAATAAGGGGTAGCAAGGATAACAAAGGGTAACAAGCGTAACAAGGAGTAACAAGGGGGTAACAAGAAGTATCACAGGGGTAACAAGGGGCAACAAGGGTAACAAGGGCAACAAGGGGTAACCAGGGGTAACAAGAGGGCAACAAGGGGTAACAAGCGGTATTAAGGGGTAACAACGGTAACATGAGGTAACAAGGGGTAACAAGGGGTAACAAGGGGTAACAAGGATAACAGGGGGTAAAAAAGGTAACAAGGGGTAGCAAGGGGTAACAAGGGTAACAAGGGGAAACAAGGGTAACAAGGGTTACAAGAGGTAACAAGGGGTAACAAGCGTAACTAGGAGTAGCAAGGGGGTAACAAGAGGTATCAAGGGGTAACAAGGGGTAACGAGGGTAACAAGGGGTAACAAGGGGTAACAAGCGGTAACAAGGGGTAACAAGGGTTAACAAGAGGGAACAAGAGGGAACAAGGAGTAACAAGGGTAACAACGGGTAACAACGGGTAACAATGGTAACAAGGAGTAACAAGGGTAACAACGGGAAACATGAGGTAAGAAGGGTAACAAGAGGTAACAAGCGGTAACTAGGGCAACAAAGGGTAACAAGGGTTAACAAGGGGTAACAAGGGGTAACAAGCGTAACAAGGAGTAACAAGGGGGTAACAAGAGGTATCAAGGGGTAACAAGGGGTAACAAGCGTAACAAGGGGGTAACAAGAGGTAGAAAGGGGTAACAAGGGGTAACAAGAGGTAACAAGGGTGACAAGGGGTAACAAGCGTAACAAGGAGTAACAAGGGGTAACAAGCGTAACAAGGAGTAACAAGGGGGGTAAAAAGAGGTATCAAGGGGTAACAAGGGGTAACAAGCGTAACAAGGGGGTAACAAGAGGTAGAAAGGGGTAACAAGGGGTAACAAGAGGTAACAAGGGTGACAAGGGGTAACAAGCGTAACAAGGAGTAACAAGGGGGTAACAAGAGGTAACAAGGGGTAACAAGAGGGTAACAAGGGGTAACAAGGGGTATTAAGAAGTAACAAGGGTAACAGGTTTTTAATTTATTCATATTTTATTACCAGTGGGATCTTTTTAATTATTTTAATATTATGAATTGTAAAGCGCTTTGGTCAATTAGTGGAGTTAGCGCTATATAAATTATGTTATTATTATTATTATTATTATTAACTAGGGGTAACAATGGTAACAAGGGCTAACAAGCGTAACAAGGAGTAACAGGGGGGTAACAAGAGGTATCAAGGGGTAACAAGGGGTAGCAAGGATAACAAAGGGTAACAAGCGTAACAAGGAGTAACAAGGGGGTAACAAGAGGTATCACAGGGGTAACAAGGGGCAACAAGGGTAACAAGGGCAACAAGGGGTAACCAGGGGTAACAAGAGGGCAACAAGGGGTAACAAGCAGTATTAAGGGGTTACAACGGTAACATGAGGTAACAAGGGGAAACAAGGGATAACAAGGATAACAGGGGGTAACAAAGGTAACAAGGGGTAGCAAGGGGTAACAAGGGTAACAAGGGGAAACAAGGGTAACAAGGGTTACAAGAGGTAACAAGGGGTAACAAGCGTAACTAGGAGTAGCAAGGGGGTAACAAGACGTATCAAGGGGTAACAAGGGGTAACGAGGGTAACAAGGGGTAACAAGGGGTAACAAGCGGTAACAAGGGGTAACAAGGGTTAACAAGGGGCAACAAGGGGTAACAATGGTAACAAGGGATAACAAGCGTAACAAGGAGTAACAAGGGGGTAACAAGAGGTATCAAGGGGTAACAAGGGGTAACAAGCGTAACAAGGGGGTAACAAGAGGTAGAAAGGGGTAACAAGGGGTAACAAGAGGGTAACAAGGGGTAACAAGGAGTATTAAGAAGTAACAAGGGTAACAGTGGGTAACAAGGGTAACAAGGGGTTACAAGGGGTAACAAGGGGTTACAAGGGGTAACAAGGGGTAACAAGGGTAACAAGAGGTAACAAGAGATAACAAGGGTAACAAGGGGTAACAAAGGTAACAGGGGGTAACAAGGGGTAACAAGGGGTAACGAGGGTCACAAGGGGTAACAAGGGTAACAAGGGGTAACAAGGGGTAACGAGGGTAACAGGGGGTAACAAGGGGTAACAAGGGTAACAAGGGGTATAATGGGTAACAAGGCGTAACGAGGGTAACAAGAGTGACAAGGGTAACAAGGGGTAAAAAGGGCAACAAGGGGGTAACAAGGGGTAAGAAATGCAGTCGACCTAAATGACGAACAAGAAGCCTCCAAATCTTGGGAAACGGTGCAGCCAAAGAAGAAGAAAAATCTTGCTGGCTACAAAGGTGTAGCCTCTGGTAACAACATCACAAGTCAGAGTAAACAGGTTTTAAACAAACCTGCAGATGTGGTTGTCATTGGTAATTCTATTACCAAAAACATCATTGGTAAGAAATTGTCAAGAAACCAAAATGTTAATGCTGTTTCTTTTTCTGGGGCCACCATTGATGACATGGTTGATTTTACAAAACCGGTTATCAAGCGGAAACCGAAGAAAATTATCCTACATGTCGGCACCAAGAATTTGAAGATGGATCAACCAAAGAAAATAAAAAACAAAGTGGCTGGTTTAGTGGATAGTATCAAAGCGAAACATCCATCCATCGACGTCGCAGTTTCTTCAATCATCTTCAGCTCTGATGATCAATCTCTTAATTCCAAGATTGATGAGGTAAATCGCCGGCTCTCTTCTTTTTCTGAGTAAGAACTGGGTTTTTATTGATAACAGTAACATCAAAGAGGACTCTCTTAATAGAAGTGGGTTGCATTTAAATCGGAAAGGCGTTTACCGCCTTTCGTCTAATTTTAGGGAATATATTAATGGAGGTTGAAATTTGACCTGTGTAGATAGTAATCGACGACCTAATGATCACTGTTCTACCAAACCAATGTCATTTGATAAGATTATTTCTGAAATTAGAGGTTTCAAAAATTGCCTTGCTCAACGTAAACAGTCTTACTAAACACATATATGAATTAAAAGTCTTTCTGGCAAATAAGCCCTTGGATGTTTTGGCTATTAATGAATCAAAATTGGATCTGGTAGATAGTGATCGCATAGTTAATCTAGAAGGTTATAATATTGTTCGCAGGGATAGAAACAAACACGGTGGTGGAGTTTGTTTTTACCTGCGTAATACAATAACATTTTCTGGGCAGTATCAACTTGAAAATGATGATCTTGAATTAATTGCCTTAGAAATTCAGAAACCAAATTCATGTCCATTTTTTATTGCTACCTGGTACCGGCCACCAAACACACCTTTAGATTATTTTAAAAAATTCGAAATGTTTTTGAAGGAGGCAGATGCCAGGTATTCAGAAATTTACATACTGGGAGATTTCAACCGTAATATTCTTTCAAATCCACCAGAGGTTCACACTACCCATTTATTGGACTTGATGGTTGATTATCAATTGGCACAATTAATCAAAGAACCTACTAGAGTTAAGCAACCTCTTATTGATGTATTTATTACGAACAAGGAAGAAAATATTTCTCATTCGGGAGTATACACACTTTCCATTAGCGACCACAATTTAATTTATGCTGTTAGAAAAATTGGTTTACCCAGGGGACAACCAAAGTCTATTCAATCGAGGAATTTTAAACATTTCAGAGAGGAAAATTTCTTAACAGATCTGAAAAATGCCTCATGGCCTGTTATCAAAAGCGGTATGGAAATGAATAGTGCGTAGAATGCAGAGAAAGATATATTTTTGAATATATTTGATAAGCATGCTCCGAGAAGAGTCATGCGAGTCAGAAATAAACCCGCTCCTTGGTTAGATTCTCAGTTAAAAGAGGAAATGTATGAACGTGACTGGCTAAAGAAAAAAGCTTCAGAAACGCAGCGGCCAGATGTTTGGAAGGCATATAAAACTAAAAAGTTAACGGTTAACAAAAAAGTAAAAAAGACCAGGAAGGATTATTACAAACATCAAATAGAAGGAGCCTCTGGTAACCTGAAAGCAACTTGGAATATTCTTAACGACCTAATGGGTAAGAAATCGGACAGCACACAGATTAATGATTTAAAGACAGAAAATTCTGGGCCTCTATAAGATCCCGAGAAAATGGCTGAATACTTGAATATTCACTTTACAAACGTTAGGCCGAAAATTGCATCTGAAATCCCTACGGTGGATTGTGATGTAAATCCAGCTGATTCCCAACAGCGTGTAAATTCTTCTTTTGAACTGAAGGAAGTCACGATCTCTGACGTGTTTAAAAAAACTGCAGGAAGTAAATGTTGCAAAGGCGACTGGTCATGATAACATCCCAAACAAGATTTTATAAATAGCGGCTCCAGTTATTTCTATATCGTTAGCTGACCTTTTCAACCTCTCGATTACTACAAATACTTTTCCAGATGATTGGAAAGTTGCAAAGGTCTTTCCGCTATTTAAATCAGGTGAACGTAATGACCCAAATAACTTTAGACCGATTTCTGTCTTACCAACTATGGCCAGAGGTTTTGAATGATTAGTTTATGAGCAGATATACGCCTATTTTACGGAAAATAACCTTATTCAGCCTCGTCAATCTGGGTTTAGATCTCTTCATTCAACTGTAACTGCGCTTCTAGATATGACAGATCAGTGGTGTCTTAATATTGACAAAGGTATGGTCAGTGGTGTTATTTTCCGTGATCTTAAGAAGGCATTTGACACTGTTGACCATGCTATCTTGTTGAAAAAACTGTCTGACTATGGAGTGCAGGGTCAAACCGCTTCTTGGTTCAAGTCTTACCTAAAAGACAGACAGCAATTTTGCGTGGTAAATGGATTGTCCTCTGTAAAAAATCGTATTGTATGTGGCGTTCCACACGGTTCTTTATTAGGCCCACTCTTGTTTCTTATTTACAATACTGACTTACCAAATTGCTTAGATCATAGTATAGGAAGGTCATTTGCTGATGATACAAATTTAACGTTCTCTGCCGTGGATTTATCAGTCCTTAAGACTGAAATGAGCAACTACCTTAACAGAATTTTTAATTGGCTCAGCTCAAATAAACTCACATTGAATATTCTAAAAACAGATTTTATGATGAAAGGTTCTCGGCAGAGAATTGCAACATTAGCTGGAAATATTTCATTAAGTGTGAATAGTTTAACGTTACAACAGGTCGAAACTACAAGGTGTCTTGGCCTCACTATCGACCAATTTCTTACTTTGAGAAATCATTTACAAAGTGTCAGACAAAAGGTGGGGTGTGGCATTAGAATTCTTAACAGGATTAGGCCTTTTGTTGGTTTGAAGCACCTCATAAACGTATACAGGTCAATAGTTGAGCGTTATTTTACTTATTGTTGTATTGTTTGGGATAGTATTGGCGAAACGTTGGTAGACAGTCTTCAAAAGTTGCAAAATAGGGCCGCTCTTTTTATTACAGGTGCTTCATACTCGAAACTAACTTAACTTACACTATTTTAGTCATCTTCGTTAAAACCGATTTAACTTCCTCACAGTGCGGGGAATCAATGCAGAACGTCTGCCCCGTCGGTTAATTTAAAGATTTTGCAGTCGCTCCGTTAGAAAAAAAGTCAACTAAAAATAAGGTTTCAGTTTAAATTGCAGGCTTTCGACAAGTACATCCACTCCAATGGAAGGTATGGCTTTAAGAACTTTTAACCATCAGTGTTATCACTGAAATAACATTAAATTACCTTCAGTGCCTAAGGATTTTGAAAAAATCTTCCATTTTTATTGAACACCATTTCGGTCGATTTCTGGTTAGGCTCGTTGTTTTTCTCAGTAATGACGAGCTGATTTCTCTTTTCCTGTTTGAAACAATGATTTCTCAAACCTGTAAGTCAGTTTTGAGGCCTCCGGAACCTTTCAACGTTTCAAATTTTCCTTTTTTTCGGCAACTCAAACGCAGTTTTCTCAGTTTTGTTTGTCTTCTTGTTGAGAAGTGACCCGCATTAGCCTCGCTTTCGCGCAAAAACAAGCACTCGTCCTAGGCCGCCCGGGGAATTCGAAACTCGCCTATTTACGGGGTCCCGTTTTTATACTAGATGCATCCAACGTCTGAGACGTTTAAGTCGTCTGTTAAGAGCGTCTAATCGAAGCACTTAACAGAAGACGTTAAAGTTATCAGACGATTAATGCGTCTATCTTATTTACCGTTTTTATACTAGACGTTAAGTGTTAACAGAAACTCATAAGGAGTTGAAAACCCTTTATGGGTTTCTGGTGTTAATTATTGTGGTTAAAGTCGATCTGTCAAACACGTGCTTAACACGGCTGATCCGAGCTAAACTTTAGAAGCAGGAAGAAACTGTTTAAACGATAAACTCGTGAAAAGTAAGGCTCGAGTCGAAAGTCACGACTATGTCTTAAACGACGTGCGCCGGTATTAGTTCTTTTCCTAAAAGGGAGAGACGGATTTCCGCAGATTTTGTAAACTTTGCAACTTCCATAAACAATAAGCTTAGTTTTATCAGGATTCAGGAGAAGACGATTTTCGAAACACCATTTTCGAATATGTAAGAGGTCAACGTTCAAATCAGCAACAGCCTTAGCCCAGTCGTGGCCTAAGAAGGAAATGTGAATTCAACCATGTAGAATAACCCGTAACTACCTTTGGCTCCCGCTTTGAGCAACTTGCAAGCTTTTCACCTGGTTAGTGACTTCCAGGGTTTTGTTTACCTAACTTTCGCCGACATTTGGTCTTCCATTACAAGAAAAACAAGAACATGAAGAATACGATTTACTATAAGGTGTAAAACCTATTGGCAAATACGCGTTGCTAAATTCATATCTGGTTTCAGCGAACAAAGACACCCAGGAAAGGACAGTATTCTGTACCCTCAAATAAGAACATGTCAATGTGTTTAGTTACTGAATATTTTCAAACTCAAAAGCCTTCAAAGTTCATCCTCTGCAAGACTGATGTCATTCCGTCATTTGGAGCAAAACTTATTGAAAGAGTGACTTTTAGACCACTTATGTTTCCCGTCAATTGACGAAATGGCGTAACGCATAGGAGGAGTCTAGGAAGACAAGAATAATAAGCATTATTCAAAATGACGGCCAACATCGAAGAATTGAATAGTGCAAATTTTTAAAAGAGTCTTTGAACGGTCAGTAACCAAACACGCTTCAATCTTTTCTTATGAAAATGAAATTATTGAAGTCTTGTTTGGAAGGGATCATGTGATACGATCTAATCGCATGGTGTCATTGTGATCACATGACATCCCATGACACCACATAGTGTCATTGTGATCACATATAATTATGTGATCACATTAGTTACCTGTCCCAGATTGTCGTATGTTGCCCACGTCTCGCCATATTCGCTATATTCTAGCTTGTACGCCTTAACCCAAGCTTTCTTGGCGACAGATCCCTGAATCCTCAATTCACGAATCAGCCGAATTTGAGCAAACTGAATCTGAAGGAACTGGTGCTCGTCAGTTGTGGCTGAGCACCAGGCCCCGTCCGGATTAAACAAACGAGCAAGCCAAGGTTGATAGCCTGGGCCCAAGAAAGTAGACGCTGTCATTGCCTTGTTGGGGAGGTGCCCTGAGCCGGCCCCAAGAGCGTCTGTACATTCTATGAAAAAAAATAACACAACAATACCGTCCTTAGTTCGCGCAGACGAGGACATTATTTTTTCATGACAAATATAAAAGAGTGACAAACGTTTTACTTTCTAACTGCGCTCAGTGCCGGCTTTGAAAGACCATTTGATATTAACAAAATTTTCATCCAACAAACTGAACCGCAATTTTGGATCATACATGATCCAAAGCGAAATTGACCGGATTAAATGGCTGGAACGCTCAACATAGTTGCCATTTTATTTTTTCCCGCATCTTTCATCTACAAACCTTACTAGCAAAAAATGAAATGCCAAAATGCCAAAATTTCTGGCCAACTGGCCGCCAATTTTACGTTGGATGTGGAACACGTACATAACGGCTCACAATGCCGAAGTTTCACAATCTTTCACAATCCTTGGGGAAAAATTTCTTTAGGATCAAATGTAAATTGAAGGTTCAGAGCGGTTTGCGACTAAACAATGCGTGATTTCCTTATTTTTCGTGATAAGAAAACTTTCCTTTCCGGAGTAACCTTGCCTGATGTCTGCTAAAAAAATATCTCGGAGCCGATCAACCAGACGGGGCCATGGGTTCCAGGAAACATTTATTGCCTTTTCGGACAAAAGGCACGGTAGCTCTCCTTTTTAAAGGGGTTAGCACAAAAAATTAATGCTCACACGTTTTTGAATAGTTCACGTAACAAAGGCAAAGGTAAAGGGTATTTAGAACCATTGGCGATGCAAGACAATGTTCAGGTTTCGCAAGATCTTTTGCCGTCTCCTACAACCTAGAACTGTTCAGAAGTGTGCAATTCATTTGTCTAAGGTATTAAAATACACTGAATGAGAAAGGGCGACGAAGCTATATCATAGCAGATAAACCATCATATATCATACTATACCTTTGCACCCATAAATTTCGACTCGCAAACATGGTCGAAATTTATATGTCACAGGATGTATTCTAATATATCGAGCGGTCAGCCCCAAACTTCTCACTTCAATAGTAGATGTATCGGTACTTCCTTCAAATTCCTAGCAAACCGGAATCGCACTCATTGATTAATATCGTACAAAATATAAAGAAAGGAAATGAACAAGAGGAAATGTCCCTACAAACATGAATTTTACCTGCCTAAATAAACTAGAGGCGATATAGGAGGGGACGAGCAGAGACGTAAACGTTTAGCGGGGTTCAACTTGGAAATGCACCATAAAAAAAACAATGCACAAAAAGTCGCGCGTGAACGTGAAGGTTGAAATTCCTCAACTTTCACATATATGCGCGCGTTTTCCGTCCTAATACGCACGTTAGATTTAACCCACTTTTTAATCTACCTTTAGGCAGGATAGGACAAGGAAAGGGTAAGAAAGCGTAATTAGACGGAGACGGGAGTCCCTCCCCTTCTCAACACTCCACGCTGCACTCCCTCTCCTCCTCCAACCACAATCGATAGTCTGTTCAAAGAAACCAAACTTAAGTACAGTTCCCTCAGTCTCCTAGACAGCGCTTCATCATCTCGTCACGCAACAATCAGGAAAAGCGTTGCGTGACTAGACAAGGATAGTCGAGCTACAGTACCAATGGCCACCTCATCCTCGAAATACAGCTGCACGAGACAGACGTTAATGTTTTTGACCTGAAAGACTGATAGATTCTGAATAAACTGACGTCATCATTACGGAATATTAAGTGGCTAAAACACCCACGTCTCTATCACTCACGAAACGTCCCAAAGTGGCGAAGTGGCGGGCAGCAATGAGGGCGGCTGAATTACCACTGTGCTCACATTGGTATAACAAGTGATACATTTGCAAGGTTAAACGGCAGGTTAAACGGGTTCTTGGTTCACAGAACCGCGTGCCAATAGCATGTAAAATGAATAAACATACCTTCACTTTCCCCCCTTCGTGATAGTAACTCCACTGCTCGCTGTTGTCGCTGTACGATAACTTAAACATTATTACAAATGCTCTCCTTCGAATTTCGAGGATTTCTTGACAGGGTGGACGTTCTGCTTCGTTAAGCGTAGCATTACTGGTATTTTTATTAAATTCAGTGACATTGAGCGCGTCCGTAGAAGAATTTTGCCCCACTGCAATGTTTGTAATCGTGATATTCCCAGAGGAATTGTTAGTCAATGTGACATCTGCAAGCGTGATATTCCCTGAAGAATTGTTAGCCAATGTGACATTTGTAAGCGTAATATTTCCTGAAGAATTACTGGCCATAGTAGCATTTACAATAGAATTATTTCCGACGGAACTGTTTCCAACCGTGATATTTTCAGTCGAGCTCAGCGAAGAACTTTGATTTGACTCCCCTCTGTGTATTAAAGCCATAGAAAAAAGACTATGTTACATTGATGATCTTAAAGTCACGCCACATAGTTAGTAACCACAAACCAAGGTCACGCGTTACTCTCCTGGAAAGCGTAACGAAGAAAAAAATTGGCGAGCTTTAGCGTGGATTTCCACTGTCGCGTAACTTTTACGTGCGTAATAGAATAGAGGCGATATATAAAAAGTCGCGCGTGACGTAAAAATTGAGCGAGATTACGAGCGACCTTCCACACATTGCCTCTATTTCATTTACGCGCGAAAAATTTAAGTGCGTACGCATGCACGGTGGTGTTATGAACCCAAGCCTCCCGGTCAGCAGACTTCCAGTATTAAAATGTAAAGATCCCTGTCATAAATTGACATACTGGTAGCGGGCTTAGAAAGGTAAAGAAACAAAATCACCATGATATATATTTAAATGGTTAAACCCCACCAATTAACGTATACCTGCAAATTTCTTGCACCCATTCGTAGAGTTCATTTCCTTGTATAGCAATCATGGAGACCTGAAACCTGTCTCCAAGATCAATTTGTAGATATGGATCCAAATCAGAAGATTTACCGCACCATGAACCATTTCCTGACATGCCCCTCAGACGACCATGGAAGGGCTCGAACCCAACGCCCATTGTAGTTGAGGAGATCATGGCTTTGTCAGAAATGATCCTCTCTCCAATACCAAATGAATCCAAACAAGCTAAAGAAAAAAAATTTATAATTGCAATACACAAGAAAAGTAGAGAGGAATGATATTTTATTCTATCTTTTAGCACCATTTGTTTTCATCTGTAACAAGAGATAATCGAAACTAGCAAACTATTTAAGGTATGATTGTTTTATTGCTTAACCAAACTTTTAGAGAGCGAAGCTAGCTTCTCTTGCATGCGAGCCAAAGCTGATATACAGCTTCGTTCGCTATATTTTAAAAAGTTAACAATAAGTCGGGTAAAGTAAAACATACGTACTGCTTTTCAGATCTGTATTTGAGGATTCGTTACTTTTTGTTGTGTACTAATTCCCGTTATCCCTTTGAGCAGAACAGTCAGTAGCAATCGATTTTCAAGTTATTCGTGAAAACAAGCTGAGACTCAAAACTCTTAAAATAGAGACAACTTTGAAAAGGGAATGAGAGCCCTGACCTATTTCTCTTTCTCTCCCCTGAAGCAACTTCTTTTTAGATTGCTTAAGTTTGAAAAAGAACATCCGGAACGTTTACCTAGACAGCCGTAGATTTCTAGTCTCATGCAAACGTCATCAATAGCTCTTTTGGGGTAGATTCGCATCACCGTTGCTCTTACTGGAAACGACAGGTTGTGTATTGAAACTGTACGGAAGAAGTCCAATGTGTTGCGACGGAATTTCTGCAGAGATAAAATATATACAAAAGGAATGATTAATCATAATGACATCACAAATAAAACAAGAAGATGATAAAAAAAGTGAGGCTAACATTCTGACCTGGAATGGCTTTAAAACAGCGTTATAAGACAAACGACACAAGAAGATGAGTTCAAACTGAGACAGCCACAAGGACAATCGCATATAACAATAGTTTAGACACCATTTATCCGGAGAAGGTCGGAGAAAACTTGTCCCAGGAAGAAGGGACATTCGCCTGCCCGAGCTACCCCGGGCGAGCCAATGTTACCTCCACTTCTTTACAAAATCTGCGAACCGTTTGCATGAAAAACAAAACATTTACTCGGCTAGGGATAAGAGTTACCCGCCTGGCGGGGTTACCCTTTTAGCCCGGCCGACGTTTTCCACATACACACTTTTGCTCGCCTATCCGCGAATCCGGGGCAACACGGTCAAGAGGAGACATCAGAGCATGCGCACTGGCGCTGTTGTCAGTTCTTGCTCGGGCAAAGGGAACTACTTTTTTATAACGCTCGCTAAAGTTGACTCGGCGAGAGAGATGACCCTCTTTCAGGACAGCTTTGCTAAAAAAAACCGGGCTTTCATAACTTAACATTTTACTAGGTATGAGGTGTCAACCTGAATTTGGAGTATCCATTCTAGTCACTATATCATAGTATTACAAATTTCTCGAATACTTCTGTACGCGATTTTATTACAGTCGGCCTCGGTCAGAGAGATCATAATATTTCATACCTTGATAGTTCCATTTTCCTTGTAGTCGAACCAACCAAGACCTCGGCTGAAAGCCAGAGAGAACTCGTACACAAACCCCCTGGGTGTTCCTTGATTTGCAACAGCAGTAATGTAATGTTCAGCGTCAAGCGTGATCTGGTACCATTCGCGGTCAGTTGAATATCCCACACACCACCCGCTGACGTTATCATTTATTCTTGCATTCCATCTCTCCCAGTATGCTGTGTCTCTAGAAGCATGTAGATTATGGCTTGGGATTTTGAAGTTGGACATTCCCAACGGTGTGTTGCACAGGTCTAATTAGGAAGAGAAGACAATCCGCGATTTTCTCCTTCACCTTCAGTATTAATAGTAATTTTTTTTGTCATATAGTTTGTCTAAATGAAATAAAACGTTCGTCCGATACAATTAAGTAAGACTATTAAGACAGAATCCACCAGGAAATTGGGTCATTTTAATTTTCAGCGGACAAAAATCTTGTACCAGAATAATTTAAAGCATATTGCATTCTTTTTTACGTTTTTCAAGGCCTAAAGATGTAATTAGTCATCTGTAATAGCACCAAGGAAAATCTCTTATGGGAGACCCAGAAAATGAATGTCAAATTTCACAAATGATATCTTACACATGAAATTTTCAGAATTTTACCTGTGTTTTTACAATTCTTGTAAAATTTGACATTCATTTTCTCGGGCTCCCATGAGAAATAGTCTTTGGTGTTATTACAGAAGACTAAGTACCTTGAAAAATGTAAAAAAAGGTTGCAATATTCTTTAAATTATTTTGGTACAAGGTTTTTGTCCACTGAGAATTAAGTGCTCAATTTCCTCGTGGATTCCGTCTTAATCTCCCAACAAGTTTCTAGGGGAATCTGTTGAAGAAGTGCCGTTATTACTCCCCAGTAATATGGAAACAAGGAATGGAAAGTATTGTTTTTTTCTTTCGGGACAAGTTCAAAAGCCGGGCCATCAGAAAATATTCAGATGATTGTTGTCGGAGATATTTGAGAGTAAAGCAATTCGAAAAGGTTTAAGGGGCTGTTTACTTGATACTGGAATGATTTTGAATAATGAGTTTCGTCCCAGAGAGAAGTTAGCACTGCATTCAGATGATAAAATCGACCGGCTCAGCCTAAGGCGTTAGCTCTCGTTCGCAGGAAATGAGCCAGATCAGATGCTCATGCACCACCATACTACACGGTTTGCGATTTTCAATCCGGAGCGAAGTCCATTCTCAGTTTACAATATACTAGAATGAAATTTTATACCAGAATAAGAATTTCATTCGGACTGAAAACCAGTATCAGATCAACGAACAAATTCAGACACGTGGCGATGGAATGAGCCCGTTCCAGAATGAATCAAAGTAATTCCGGTATCTTGGAAATAGCCGTTGAGAGCGGTTAAGGAACCAACTCTACATGACTGGTTTAGGGAGCGTTCGTCTTTTAGATATACCCGCAGAGAGGGACAGTTGACATATAGGAGAAATTTGTGGAAGGAATGCTTTTACAACTAACTATATCACCCAAGGGTCAATTCAATGAACATTTTGCAAGTATAATTTACAAGTGTATAGCTATTAGAATGGGACAGACGGAAAATTGTTACCGCTGTACATCAGTACGATGCCATCAATGCAATTAGGCTTCATTATCCTTGCCAATATTTCTTGAAACAGTTCAGTTCACTTGTAAGTTACATGCAACTATAACAGTTGTATTAAATTGACCCAGGAAGAAAAGAAATGCTTACCCCTAAAAGGTAGAGATTTTCCGCTTGTAATAATCTGCGAAATCATACAAAAAGACAATTTTGGATTTTCTTAATAAACAGAATGGGAAGAACAGGAGGGCATTTTGCATGCGCATGCGTGAATCCGCTGAACGACAATAGCGTGGGCGCATCAAATCTGATGGCGGGAAATCGAAAACTCGCACGTAAAGTTACAGTCCTTTTAAAAGCCATTTCGTTGGTGCTTTGAATACCGTACTTTCCTACAAAAAATATTCTCCATGACAAAAACCGGACGTTTTCTACGCGGGTTTTCACTTGTAGATTTTTCAGCAGTAGGTTTTCTTGGCCTTTTAAGGACTTTCAAGACTCAACGCCAAAAAGCCATTTTCCTGTATAAGTCTGATTTTCACTGGCAAAGCAATGCATTTCTATGGTTTGATTTCCAAACTCGTGGTTTTACTTATCAGGGAGAAAAAAATGGTAGCAATGTTCAGCTGCTTTAAGACAAAAAGCGAAAAAAAAATTTACCACGCGAGGTTTATTTATTAGCGCGATGTCTCATGTTAAACTGATCGCGGAGACACGCGTTTATATATGCCACAAAAACATGAAATCTATGGGGTTTTTACAGTTTTTCGAAAGTTTTCGCGGAAAAATTTATAAAAAATATCCTATAGGAAATGAAGAGTGGATTGAGTTTGAGACAGCAACAATTACAAGTGATTGTGTAGTACATAATCACTTGAGCATTTCATAAGATCAGTTGCAGACAAAACGAATGCACATACTCCGACAAAACGAACAGTACTTTTATTTTTCTTTAACTCTACAGAGATTTTTCCTAAGCTACTATTTTGAAGCGATTCTTGAGTGACTGCTCCTGTGTTTCACAATCGATTTCTTGTTATTAATTTTTTTGATGACGGCAGTAGTGATCCATTCAAAAAGGAGAATGCCCATCACTCCATAAATCTAACTGACGATGTTGTTCACCTTCAAAGCCTGTTTAAACATATATGACAGGAAGTTTGTTAAAGGGGTGCATATAATGCTGTTTCCTCAAAAAATAAATGCTTCTGCTAAAGGACCCAGATGAGCTGGGACGCGACAACAAACATGACACAAATGGATGGATGAATTTGTCTGTTATTAATGTTTCTGTTGAGAGCTTTCTTTTTACTGTATCAAGATGAACCCCTTATGTAAGTTGTACATCATGGAAGAATTATCAAGCAGAAACTGATGCATTAAACAAGAATGTGGTTCAATACAGAGGAGAAGCTGGTCTCAGTCAACATCCTTCGTGAATGAAATGTCTCACAAATTAGCATATCGACAAATGTAGTATCCACAAAATGGTATCATTTAGGAATAAATGCGATTTTTTTGCAACAGAAGCCAGGATTTATTTAAAAGGTGTATTGATAACGTTTCATTTCGTGCTATTTTGGGGTTGGGGAGTTAGGCTAGATTTTCTTTAAAACGCCAAAATGTTATATTTATTTGCATAATGAAATGTAAACAAACAGTGTGCCATCAAAACAAAGTGGAAAAAATCAGAATTCAAACCGATTGCTGTAATTTTTTTCCTTTGTATAACTAAATGATAGAATATTCTTATTTTCAAAACATAATCTTCCCGGCATCATTATATTGATTTAAATTTATAGTTGAAGTGCGTGTATTTTATTTCTCAACGAAGACGTACCGAAGAAGAAAGCTAAAAGTACCGCAGAAGGCGATTTTTCACAGCCTTCATCAAAGCGCCATTCATTCGGAGAAGTATTCTTAGTTTCATTAATCATTAACTTAATCTGGGGAGAAAGGCAAGATTTCGAGATAAACAAGCCGGAGAAAGGGGGAAAAACAGTTTCACGGCAGAATGGACACTTAATTAACCACTGTATTCCTAAAACGATTAAGTTCGATTTTAGAGTTATACTATTGAGAAGAATGAAGTATCTATAGGATAGTTGTTTAACAAAAAACTATCATACTGACCTTTTCCTCCTGCTCAAAAAATGTGCGCGAAATGTTAGGTGATAAGAACATTCAGCCGCCATCTTGTCTTCGATGCACTATTTTACGAAAGGAAAGACTGTCCTCTCAAGGGCGACAGCGAGGCTACAATAAACTCACTTTCATCGTAGAAATACCTCGATACCTTAAAGAACATGTTTGTGGAACGTAGTACCCAATACACGTCATTAAGCTCCAGAAAACAGCCTGCAAATGCTGGTACTGAACGTAAACAATTCACAGAAAATGCTTCTGTGGCCCTTCAACAGCCCATATTGACGCATGCGCATACAAAATGCCCTCCTGTTAATGGGAAGAGTATGTCTAAATGTCGCGGATCGCGACTCGCGGGTAGAGGTCGCGGGTGCGGGTGAAGGTAAAGGTCGCGGGTGCGGGTAAGTGTCGCGGGTAAAAATAAATCACAAAATTTAACAGAAAGATAAAATGAACAACAAAAAAATTGGTTTTTTTTAATTTTTTAAAGAAGACTAGTTACAGGGGTGGATCTAGGGGGAGCGCTAATCGTATGGCCCCCAAAAACTCAACGAAACTATCGGACTCCATCAGGATAAAGAATCGATCGAAGTAAACCTGCAAATGTTCTTCCTTGTTGTCAGTGTGAAATCAGATCTATGAAAGTTTTACCCACTTGCACGGGTATTGTTGCCGTGATCAAGCCGCCAGTAATGTGGGAAAAATTCTATTTACCAGGATGGCAAATTCTTTCGTGCTACCGCCCCAAAACTGAGCACGAACGACGAATGACAACTCTCAATTCATACTTTTTGCTGAGGAATTAAGTACACCCAAGTCTCATTTAGTGCAAAAAAAAGTCAAAGCTATATTTTCGATGAAGTGAATTGTGTCTTCTGAATCATACATACATAGGGTAAAAACCATTTCTTTTAAGTGGACAAGTCACGTAAGCTGACACTGCGGACCCCTACACTGAATAAAGAAGGGTTCAAGAATGTCGTTCAAGGGGAGGGGAGAATTCTTACTTCAAAGAAGTAGCCACCTTTGTAAGATCTTGCTAGAGGTCTTAATCATTTCTTTTTATTTAATTTCAAGAGCTCGTAGTTGAAAAACAAAAAAAGTTCTAATTGAAGTATTATAAGGTCTTCTTAAATGTAATAGCTATTTCTAACTCTTTCCCGTCTAATCTATCACTGCGCTACACCCTGGTTTCACTTGCCTTTTTCAGGTCTCGGGGCGGGGAGGGGGGGTCTTGACGAAATTTTGATTTTTCCATTTTTCCTCACTGAAAAATGAAGATAGAAATGTACTAGGCATGGAGGAAACAAGATTTAAGACTGATCACTCGCAACATGGTAATGATAAAAAAACCTACTGGGAGATTACCCATTTATGCGACCAAAATTAATTTTATTTGTCTTGATTTTGCAGAAAAAATACAAAGAAGAAGTATTAGTTAAAGTTAGTTTTTCATTCCGATAGGGTTACGGCTGTTTAAGGCGGGCACTGAATTTTTACACTCCCTTTTCAATACACTTCGCTGCTACATATAGGTAATATAGAGGTCAGCAAAGGGCCAACTACGTTTTTGTAATATTACAAATTAGTACCCTAAACCCTTGGGCGTACAAGGTAGGGGAGTGGATGAAATCCCCGGAAGGTTTTTTGAATCAACCACCAAGACAAGTCATCACATATCCACTAATACTTTTCTTTTCTCTATCAGAACTTTAACCTCCTCCCCAACAAATCCCAAACGCATGTAGCTCGGTTACTTAGTGCAATTTTACCTAGCCAATGTTATATAGTTTTAATCATGTGGATTTTTCTTTAGTGAATTTTTCCTTTGTATCGCCCTTAGTTAGCTTTAAAGTATTGCAAATCGTCTTTGAAAGATAATCAAATTTTCCTTTATTTTATTAACAATTTAATGTTAAATTTGGTTATTTATGTTTACCCGCGACCTCTACCCGCGAGTCGCGACCCGCGACATTTAGACATACTCGAATGGGAATGATCGATGTAAGTACATGTATAATGGTGAATAGAAAATTCCTAAATAAACAATTTAAGGACAAAAAGTAAGTTTAGCTGTTTTTCAATGGATATTTTGCGGTCCAAAGCATAGGTGCGGTGGCTCCGAAATGGTCATTGGTAAGTAAAAACCTGTGTATCTTATTAGACGGTTTAGTTTGTGGTGTCGTGGGATATTTTTCTCTCGTACTTTGACTCCTCCGTAAGAAACAGTATGATGGACTTGGACTAGGTTGACACCAGAGGAGATTTTACTGAACGCGTCAAAAGTCCGATAATTTTGGTATCGGATTCGTTACATGGTAGATGCGTGAATCCGAAATAACAAGGTCCGGGTTTGGTGGCGTGTCCGGAGATTCTGAATTTGAAATCTAAAGTGAACAGTTTTTATCAAAGTACAGTAAATGATTTTGGATTTTTACTGACGTGTGAAAACACCTGCAAATCCCAATACCCTAAAAGTAAATAAATCCGGAAACAACAATAATCAGGAAACATCGCTTCGGGTGTAAACATAGCCTTGATATTGCGAATAGTGGGATCACCAAGGACGCAATACAAAAGAAAGCAAATGATGCCCACTCCAGAACATATTACTCAACTCTGGAACAATGGTTTCCGAAAAAACCCAATGATTGCCTAACATGAACTCCTTAACTTATTTCAACTTCACAGCCTAACGTAATAAATGGAGACTAGGCCACCACTGTCCGATAAACAAACATTAATACTCGGCTATAGCTTGGGAGTCGAATTGAGATGCAAGGATGAATGATCATGAATAATTCATTCGAAAAGTTTTTCGTTCCATTACTCTAACGAGCGACCTATGAACGTCATGATTCATCAAAACTGGCAAATTAAATGATGAACTCAACAATTAATCATCTATTCAGTATACTACTCTATGATAACATAATAACTAGAGACTGGGAGAAAATGCACCTCAATTAATCTTACCGTCAGCAAAACTGCGACGGACACAAAGGCTTTCTTCTTCCATAAAACACTTGGATCACATTCAGCTGCCATGGCTACCGCAAGTGGTCTTGAGATTGGGATTAACTTTCAACTCCTTTCCTTAAATTACTTTAGGTAAAGGTTTTCCTAGGGAAACTATAAGTACGGGAGAAAAAGAGAAACGGATGAGCAAATGTTTTAACGTACGTAATACCAAAAGCTCCCACCAAGTTTTGGTAAACTGAGTAGCATACGTACTAAACTTGCCTTCCTTAAACTGACTAAGGTTCTCGATATGTGAACAGCTTTTTACTTCCCTAACCTCGGTGTTACATTTATCTTGTCCAGTATCTCGGATAATTTAGATTAAGGTGCAGTTTAACTGTTTCAGTGACTCGAGAATGGAACGTTACATCCTTAGGCTGAAGGCGGTCTCCCTTAGCTAGACAGTGTCTTTTACGCCTTTGTTTCAAGAAATATTTAAGTGAAAATCACTTCACTGAGTTTTCGGTTGGGGCTTAAAAATTCCGATACTTCATGTAAGATATCAGTATAAAAAGGCAAATTCCTGCAATCTTAACCATGAAAAGAAAGTAAACTTTAAATTCTTGCTTCTGTGGAAACTAACTTTCCAGTTCAAAATTTTGACTCGCGATTAAGTCGTCTTTATATGGTTACTATACCCTACGACTTGATCTAGACGTTGCCAACTGTAACTTCTGGACTGCTAGCCATGGAAGCAAAGGGAAAAGTATTCGATCTACTTACAGTTTAAAAGCACTTTTTGATATATTCCAACCCAAGCCGAGTGTAGGATAATTTAAGATCCTTCCCCTGTCTTAACGGAACAGACTTATGCCTAAATGTTTAATAAAGTTTGTGATAAAAAATGCATTATGTTTTGGTTAGGACTATACGCAATTGTGATTTCTCTTGTATTGTGTAACACTCTTGTACCTTCAAACATTTCTCAAGCACTAAGCATGACTAACAAGTTTAGTTAGCGCTTATCTACTAATAGCGAAAGAAGAGTTGTTGAATGACGTTTATAAAATATATGTAGCAGGAAATATAAAAAAGAAATTCAAAGACTCTCTGATAGAAAATTCCACTTTTGTCACTTATGAAAATAATTAATTTAAGACTATTAATTATGATTATAGAGAATCCCTACAGATGGTTAATTAAACTTAACAAACGATGTTTACACAACGGTTACACAGGTCGTTTGTGATAAGTCAAGAACTGTTTTTTGTTGTGATTGAATGGTACGATGATACAGCAACCTTGACCCAGCAGTCTTAAACAATTTTCTTCGCTTAATAGAATTATTTTCTCGTCCGTTTAATTTCAAGTCTGCTATATTGCTTATGAAGAACATCCCCAAAAGCTTTTAAAAGTACTGAAAATTTCTAAACTTTGCAAGATATACGACATACAGGAGTGCCTAATCCCAAGAATTGACGAATGATTTTCAGGTATTCAATGCCAACTATAATACGAGAATGCGTGGTCTGGTACACAATTGCAGGAGGACTGCATGAGAAACAAATCCAAAGCGAAGTTTAATGAACCCTGGCCGACTGCGTTGATGTTCAGCGGACTAAACTAGTTAGCCATGCTCTTCATACAGCAAAACTCGCTTCCCGCCTTGCTGTCTGATCGAGACAGGGCCAGTTGTTTTTTCATTAACATTGAAGAAACCGTGATCACGGCAGTTCAGGGTAAATGGTAAGTAAAACTCGGGACTGGCAAATTCCGTCCTGGATTCTTACCTACCCGAAGTTTACACAAATCAGTCGCGGTTACCAAAAATTGGCCGCAGAAAACTGAATCTGGTAACAATAATAGGTTGAAGAAATTTTGAAGAAAAAAAGGAACAGGAATTTCCGGGAGGAATATTCCGATCGGAAACCAGGCCATTTTTTGAGACGTTCCGTCTTCTCCAGGAACTTTCACCCTAACGAGCCTTAAATTCGACTTTCATTTACATTTTGACCAGGTAGAAGTCGTATTCACGATAAAAAAAAAAAAAAGCACCGGAGTACTTTATGTAGCTTTCGAGTGTCCAGAAGTCCAATTTTGCAAACTTTTGCAAAAGAAAAGGGCCAGAATGCTTTGCGGTACAAGTCACTAAGTCGATATTGAACGCAGTACAATATCGCCTACAAAAGTTTTTGTTTTTTTAGACGAAATATTTGAAACGTTTAGCAACAATGCGGAGTGCAATTGAAATACTTTTCCTTTCGGCGCTTTTTCAACAAACCGGTAAGTACTTCGGCAATTATTTCTCACAACAACACTCTTGCGCATGGAAATAACCGGGAACCAAAGGAAGCTGTCAGGAATTTTAATGGCCCCTCTAACTGCTTTCAGGAAGCCATTTTGAAAGTCCTCTAATTCGGCCTTAAGTCAGCCGACATCATTGAAAAGCTTTTAAAAAATCCGTTCCGAAAGACACCCAGCTTTTGGCAATCGAGGAAGACTGCCATCGATAAATTACTTGAGATCTGGTAACCTACTAATGACATCCTCATTTTGCAGCTAGCAAAGCTGCTACTTGTGATGTATATATGCCATATATTGAGAGCTGTGCGGCATAAACAATTTTCAAAGGCAATGGTTAGAGTTCGTTTGGTCAACCCCTGACTAATGTTCATGGATTCTAGGATGGAAAATTAACAATGAAATCCCGAAAGCCGGTTGTATTAGCGGTTAAATAGAATGCACACAAAATGTCCGAAAAACTGCAAAGTCACGAACAAGACTTTAAAAAGACAAAAAAGCAAGTAAGAGCTAGATGAATGGCAAATGCAGATTTTGTTACTGAAGGTTCACTCGAAAAAAGTGAGCGTTGGTGCATACTAACGACGCGATATTGCAACTTGCATTTACAAACTAATGGCTCACATACAAAATAGCAACTGGTTCAATAGGCTCTTTGGTCAACTTAATACCATATTCTCTCATCTATTATTGCGAACCTTATTTCAGTCAAAGTTATCAATTCCTTTCAGCTTTTAAAGAAGAAATTCAAGAGAAAACAGCAAAATTTTTGCTGAGCAAATTGAATTATTCGTAGTAGCTTTTCCAACGTGTTGTCAAAAGATAACAGGTGGCCGTTTTTATGGCGAACGAGCACTGTTGACAAAAAGCACTTATTCATCATCTACAGAAAAAGACATGCGAGATTATCAAATGATCAACAAAGAAAAATGCTTTCAACTGATCTTTTATCAAATTCTCTCAACTAATCATTGAGGAAATATTTGGAGATCAGCATGGAGAATTTGTATGTAGATATTGGCGCTTAAAAGGTTATTAAGCGGAAAACAATTTAGCAAAACATTTATCACCCTGCGATGAAAGCCTCCTTTTTTTTCTAGAGTGAGACTCCGCCTGAATCACATCAAGCGTTTGAAGTTGCCGAGGCCCGAACATCTGGACTAGTCATTCTTGTTCTCTCACGGTTTTTACTGAGTGCAAGCGTCCGTTAATTGGTAAATCCATGGTCATAACTGAGCTCGCTAAACCATACGCACTGAAATAAGGCCTGGGTTTGAAAGTGTATCCTAGCAACAAGCAGCACTCTTACTCTCATGCAAAGTCTTTTCCCCCAGTTGCCAAAATCGAGCAGGTGAAAGAAAGACTCTTATCAAGTGATTACAAAAACGCGCTTGGCTTTTGGATGGATCAGCGAACGTTCTAAAAATTACGGACAGGTCGCTTTGACATCATTCGTTAAAAAAATCAGTAATTTGATTGGACAATCAAACGATGCTTTATTCACTTTTCCATCTTAGTGTCTACGGTTTGATTTTCTCATCAGCTATTGGCTGATAAAACAAATACCGTAAAATTCCGAAAATAAGCCCCTCCATGTATAAGCCCCTCCAAATATAAGCCCCCCAAACAGGTAAAGCAAAAAACCCTCCGTTAAATCGCCCCTCCAAATATAAGCCCCCCCGGGGGCTTGTACTTGGAAAATTGCCCTCAAATACAAAGTAAAACAAAGCAAAACCGGTAAATTTACTTCCAGCTATAAGGCTAGCCCAGTCGATTTTGAAACGCAAATTTCGCTCCGTAGATAAGCCCCTCCAAAAATAAGCCCCTCAAAAAGGGCCTTTGAAAAATATATGCTCCGGGGCTTATTTTCGGAATTTTACGGTAACAGACACGTTCGAAACCTTATTTCAAGCAAACCCCATGACAATATTGGAGTGACTGGATTGAAAGACCCTAATGAGCGTTTTCTTATGTTTTCAGCTGTATCCTTGACGTGTTATACCTGTTACTCAAAAGTAAACTGGACTGACTGTGACCAGCAGAGAAGTCGAGTGATTTGTGCGCCATGGTTGGACGTCTGTGCCAAAACCCGCGTTTATTTCGACGCCTGGGGGAAACAATTTGACGTCTACGAACGTGGATGTTTTGCAAACGATTTTTGTACCCCTCGAGCTTGCAAGTACATCAGCGGCGGCGAAAACTGTACTGTAAATTGCTGTGATCTGGAACTCTGTAATGGAACCGTTTTAACAACTCACACCGGCAAGTTCCTTGTTTGGCTATCTGTGGCTTTCGCAGTTTTCCAACAAGTGTTGTTGGACTAAAATGGTTGTGCGGATCCCTACTGAATCCAAATATGAAGTGAATTTTCTAAAGCAGTAAAAAAAGGGCTCAGTGTTCCGTCGTAAATGTTTCTGAGACGCAACCTGGGTTGTAATCCATTAATTTATCCCCACCATCCATAAAAACGATCCAGTTAGCAGAGCCATTGGGTAAATAAGCGGAGCAAATATACTCCAAACTGCGTTCCATTCCTTGTAAAATGATAAATAAAATTACATTTGTAGGTCTTTCAAGCAGATTCTGATCTACCGCGACTCCTCTTAACGACGAAAGTGCTGTCAATGGAAAATTTGTGAAACGATGAGAAAGACATGTCAAAAAATCCACTTTTCCTGTGCAAGGTTTCATTCGTCTGGTCTCTTTAGGGTAACTGTCCTCTACAGCATATCGAAATTTTTTTCTAAAATAAACATTGATAACTTTGATAGAAACCATTTCATATATCCTTTCTCGTGTTTTTAATCTTAAGTTGGCTCGACCCAGTATTTTTGTAGGTGCACCTTCCATCTTTGAATCTCTTACTTAAACAAATTGATACATGTTGATCTTTGTTATAACTGACATCATGACACAAATGTTACATGATCATTATTTTTTCGATTATTTCAAGTCTCCCAGTCACTTAAAAAAGTAGGGAAATTAGGTCAGGGGCACCCAACGACAATTTTTGGAAAATATCTGTTCGGAAGACGATTTGAGATCTAGAATTTTCGGAACAACTTTTGTTAAATTTTCTTGCTTGCATGCCTCTCCTAGGATTTTCGAACCTCCCAAGCATGGTATAATTGCCCATTTTTAACGGATGTTTAGCGTAAAAAGGTCACCTAGATTTTCGGAAGCCTTTTTTCTGGCTGAAATTTTAGAAAAGGTAGTTTTGATCCCTATAATTTTCGGATCACTAGACCTTCAGCTAGGAAATCCGAACAGATGAAAAATTTTTAGGGGATAAAAATAGGCCTATATCTACCGTTTAAATACTAAAATACGTTCAACAATGCTATGTTTAAGTGGTTTTTAACTATATTCTCGTTGAGTGCCCCTGGTAGGTCGGACCTACTGAAAGGGACCGCGTCGATGTGAATGTAAAATTTATCGCATTGCCATTCCCGTTGTCGAGTAAATTTATAGTGGCCATGTCACGAGGATATTGCTGTGTTAGGTCAACTCAGTGTCATTATTTAGGCTTTAAAGTCCCACGACAAATTCTCCTGTAGAGTATGAAGACGGTATCAAGAAAAAATAAATTCATCGGAGAATACAAAGCAAATTATTTTTTGATGATTTTTTGTGGGCATAAGTTTAAAATTTAAAAAAAGTTGGCCCAACTTTTCAAATTCCAATCCATATCCATCCTTGCCATCGGTAGCAACAAACAACAGGAAACAGTCTCGATGCCTAATAAATATAGTATGAAGTAACAAAACTGGACCATTATTTTTTATACGAATTGAAGGCACGTTTTAGTTTTTTAAAAGAGAGCCACCAAGTAGCGTGACGTTGGCCCTTTAATGATTTGGTCAGTTCACATCTTGATCATGCAGTTGACAAAATAACGTGATGCACGTTTTGCTTTTAGATGTTCCTGTCGCCGTCGAGTGGTTAGGGGCGGTTAGCAAGGACGTTCTTAGGCGACTAACGTCAACAGGAAGTGGACGTTTTGCATTCTTAGGCAGGGGTTTACCCCTTAACTTTTGGGACAAATCGTCTCCATACAAGAAGAGACACTTAGAAGCCTTAAAAGGGCACATTTAAAAATGCGGCGTCCAAAAATATCTTATTTCTTAAATTGCATTTTTACTGTTTAGAGTCTTCAACCATAAATCCAAGCTTAAATTTTACCTAAATGGTTAACTAAGAATCGTCTTATCACTATAATGACAACAGTATAGGCTATACTGTTGTCATCAGGGGGCGGATCCTGGATTTTTTTTAGGAGGGGGTGCACTCGTCTCTTGCGTCTACTTCAACACCAATAAACCACATAGTTGCAGAATACCAGTTGTATTAGAAAACCGCAGGTCATCTCGGGGGGGGGGGGGTGCGCACCCCCTGCACCCTCCCCCTAGATCCGCCCCTGGTCATTATTACAATCATCAAAGTTTGTATCTATTCACTCATTTATTTATTCGTACTTTTAATAACCATAACTATTTCTTTTGGAGAGTTTTAACATATGGATAATCCTATAACTTCCCTTTTAAGATGCGTTACTTTAAATCGCGTATCTGTTTCAACACTAGCCTGCGAAAACATCCTTTTCTCCTCGCTCTTCGCCGCTGGGGACGTTTCGACACAATCTAGCTATTTTAATTTTTCCGGGTCTATGAGCACGCCTACACACGAACCTTTTGCAAATTCGGTCAAGCGATCAAAGAGAATCATACAACATATGACGTACTCTGTTGCTGGCAGAAAAATTTCCTTAGAGCTAGCGAAGTTCGAAAGAAAAACCATCACTCGCCAGGAGGAGACTGATATGGCAGGGGAATTAATCCTGTGCGTGTTTTATACATTGCTTGCAATCCTCATTACCAGTGTCAACGTTCTTATCATCGTAATATTTTTTAGAGAGAAACTTCGTCGAAAGCGAAGTAATTATCTTCTAATCAGTCTGGCCGTGGCTGATCTTCTGGTGGGAGTACTAGTTCTTCCCCTTTTCATTACAGTCACTTTGACTCGACCGTCGCCGCAAGTCGCATCGCTAAGTTATCTTTTGGACATCATAACTGGTTTGGCATCAATCTTTACTCTCGGCGTGATTTCGTTGGAGAGAATGTACGCCGTTTGCTGGCCTTTCCTTCACCAAAAGCTCAGCCAGTGTTCTTACGTTTTTGCCTCGTGTATGCCATGGGCCTTGGTTGTTTCTGGGCCTGTGATAGGGAGACTTATCGCAGATCATTACTTAAGTGACGTCCTCATTATCACCTCACTCCTACTGCCACTTACAATTATTTGCTCTTCATACGTTGCCATTTGGAGAAAGCTCGGTAATTCTGTGCAGCGTAATCATCGCCCTGCACTACAACTTGCTCAAGAAAAGAAGTTGGCGAAAACTCTCTTAATGATAATCGGTGTATTTGTCGTAACATGGCTGCCCTTTGAGGTCATAAACATCTATATCATAGCATGTAGACGAACTTCCTGCAATCAACCCCACGTAAATCCTGTAATAATTCCAATACTGTACGTGACAGTATTTTTACGAATAAGCAACTCCTTCATGAACTTTATAGTGTATTCACTGAGAATGCCTGACTTCAAACAGCAACTCTGCAAAACGCTACAACCTTGCAGTAATTTCTGCATAAGTCGACAAGACACTTCACCTGAAGAATGATTCAGTTTCTAATTTAGGAGAACACCAAAAGAGAATGAGAGCAGGGTTCTGCTGCCTGCAGTATAAGAAGAGCAAAAGACAGTCTTAACGAGCGCGAAAGAGAAGTTGCTCAGGTCGACACCTTAACTTTCAAAACAGGCGAACTCTTCTAAAAACTCTCCAGTCGGTGAAACGCAACCTTTTGCACATTTCCCTTTGATGAATCAGGGGCACCCAACGACGGTTTCCTCCTAAAGACATTGAAACACTTTGTAGGCTTTCTAAGCGGCGCTAAACTGAAAATTTGTATCTGTTCGGTCATCCTAGGGGAACTAGAGTCATCGAAATTACAAAGGCTTGAGTATTATTTTCCCGAAAATTTTAGATGCAATTTGACGTATTACGAAAGTGAGACGATTCCTCTCTCCATGGCATTTTTGAATCCGAAAGTCTTAGGTTTCCTTTTTTACTTCAGAAAATCGTAGGGAATTTATTAGATAAGCTTCGAAAATTGTACATGAATGGAAAAGTCATCTAGACCTTTTAAGCCATCTTCAAGTAATCGGAAAATTCTAGGCAATATTTGCTTCTCCGAACCGATAATTTACAGAAAACACTCGTTGCGTGCCCGGCCCCGACGAATGCATATATTTGTTATTTTATTTGATAATTAGGTTAGTTTGACTTATTTGCTCAGAGTTTTCAAACATTCATTATTGTTTAGTCCTACTGGCGTTAATATAATTATAAATTAGGCTTCTCTCAGTGGTAGTGGGAGAGGATCATATAGTCAAACCGGCCGTATATCGGCCATGCGGTTACCCTGCATATTACGGTCACAGGACTGAACTTTCCGAAAATTTTGCCTTCTCAGTATTCTGTTAGCTTGACCTTTTCACAACGGTCACCAGTGAATAAAACGGACGCGGTCTCCGACCCTTTTAAAAGACTTTCCGCCGAATGCATGATTTTTTATTATTTTTTACCTGTATATAAAGGTCAACGAATTGGATTGCCATTAATCCATTAGCGAATCATAACCAAAGCTTATATTCAACAGCTCACAACATTGTAGCTACCAGTGAGGAGTCTCTCTTCCCCAAATACAAATATCATACTTAACTACACGACTACAAACAAGCGAGGAACTTCTCCAAAGCAAGCTAGGAGATTGGAAATCAGCCAATAGCGAAACAAGATTTATGAATTATTGCTCCGTCTACATATGGGTTCTGAATGCCTCCTGTCCTTTTTTTCCCTTTTGGAGTAAAAACAGGACCCGTAGTGACTATGTAAGCAAAACGTGATTGTCTGCAAATTTTCACTAACTAGCAGGTTCTCTTATTGCCCTTTCGGATCATTCCTTCTTTCGCAAATTGAAATCAAGCCAATTGTATCACATCATTCACATTTCGTCGGGATATGATTTCAAGCCTGAGGGAGAATCATGCGGAGGCGTTCCATAAAGCCCGAAAATTGAAAAATTAAAAGGAAGACAACAGTAAAAACAAAACAAAAGCCAGTTCGAAACTGAAAACAGAAACACCCTGAACACAGAAGAGAGTAAATAAACAATGTAAATAAGAAAACAGCCACGCTCGGTCTTCGCCGTCTCCGGAGTTCGGTCACTGATTCTCCCCAAGGGAATGCCTTAATCAGTCTTATTCGAGTAACTATGGTAACAAAATGAAGTAGACAGCCGTGACACAGCCACTTTAATAGGGAGCTTAAGCAACGACGACGGCGACGGCAACGAGAACGGCAAAAAAGCAATAGAGTGTTTCACTCACGTGGCCAGCATCTATGAAAATTTATTGGAACAAAAGAAAGCGTTTGCATAAGAAAAGAGTTCAACCCCCAGAGGATTGGTTTGGGACACCAACATGGCCGCCGTTTAACACTAATATGGCCACCGTGACGTCATGTGAAAACACTCTATAGGTTTAGATTAGCAAAACAACAACTTTTTGTACAATTCTTAGCAGTCGCTGCACGACCACAACGTGAAAGTGCCTCATTTCACGTTTCGTCGAGGGCGGGAACACAAATCAACAACCTTCTTTTCTTTTCCTGAACTTTGATACAGTCTTTTAGAATTCAACTCCAGCAAAAAATTACCAACATTTGATGACTGAACGGGATGGAAGAAACGCGATAAAGTCTGAAACAGCGCGACTTCACTTTTTAAGTGACTTCTTCGAAGCCGTCGCCGTCGAAGTGTTACTTAAGTTATTGTTGGCGTTAGCATGACGTTTAAGGTCATGCCAAATGTTATCACGCTTAAGAGTTTATTACACATTTAAGGCCAAATGTTATTACATTTAGGACTTTATTACACTTTTTTAGGGTAACATTTTATTACATTTCGGACTTTATTACATTTGGGGTCGTTTATTACATTAAGGCCTTCTACATTTAGGACGCCTGGAAATTCAACTAAACTACTGTGGTAATTTAACATTCAATTTGTTTAAGCCTTCCACCGGATGGGATGGGAGTTCCGATGACAAATCGATAAGTGAGTGTCCCTGGTGAGCGGAAGAACTTACACATGACCGACTGACCGATATAAACACTAATCAAGGAGACCCGACTACACACAATTTTTACAAACTATTTTTATTCAATATGATTCAAAGCTCTTTACAAATGCATTAGTGGTAAGTTTGTGATCAAAATGATACGGGGGTTACTCCAGAGGCGCGTCAGTGACTCTCACAACCAAATAAGTACTTTGTTATATACTTTATATCTGTGTGATTTACTCGTTCACTTCACAATTCTTCAACTTCCTTAGCAACGTCCTTCCTCAAATTAACCTTCTTCTTGGTAGTTCTCTTGCTTACTCTTTTTCTATAACTGCTTAGTCCTTCTTCTAAAAGATAAGTATTTTCCGAGGGACATCAAGTCAGGAGACATGATGTCCCATTCTCAAAAACCTTATTTACTCAAGAACACACGAAATGGGAAAGTCTTAACTTAGTTACAGTCCTAAAGTCATGGAATGCAGAAAGAGTGATTTAAAGGTACATGGGGGTGTAGATGGGAGTTACCCTTGGTTAGTAACCAACTAAAGAACGACGCACATGTTCTGATTCCGTGCGTGATGCAGGGAAGCACACTTTTTAATATTTATTCTTCTAAATAAAGAGTTCATTAGCAAATGTGTTTTATATCTTATTTCATACTTATAATGAACAGTTAAAATGTTCCAGAACCTAAAAAGCTTCCTACAACGATATATGTCAATATTCATTTCAACTTGATCAGATAACACCAGGAGCCGAAATCGGCTCCAGCTGGTGGCCACTAGGTTTTCTTTTCGCCTGGCGCCGGGCGCAGCCCGGATCCAGGCCAGTCCGGTGTCCAAAAAAGTAGGGGGCTTGACGTCTTGGTCGGTACCGGCTGGATAGCCCAGGGACTGCCCTAACAGTGGGTGAGTGGATCGGGCCTTGGGTTCAAAAGTAGTGGGGTAGGGAGGGGGCTGTTTTGACACAACCCCTTCAGTAAGCAGCAGTGTTCAGTGGAGGCTTTGACTAGCGTATACCTTGGTCTTAATTTGCCCTAGCCAGCTGAATCAGGCCTCTGCTGAGAATGATTATCATGATAATTGCAGAGCACAGTGGGAGGTGCAGACAGTCACTCATTGTCCTGGGTGGGGAGGGTCAAAGTTTTGGTACCAAGGACACCCTTAGCATAGGACCTTTAGCCACTCACTGAAGCCATGTTTTCATAAATCCAGACAGATATATATTCCGAAAAGACGCTTGGGCTTTTCCTTTTAACAGTGTTCCGGTTTTCTGGCGTATTCCGCGTTATCGAAATATGTGATCCGATGATCTTGTGGTTCGTATTTTCATTTATCTCGTTTTTTTGTTAAATGACATTCAGTTGAGTGGAATTAAGATAGATATAAATACACGCCAATAGACTTTGCGAATCAAATCTAAATTCACGCAATCAGGAAGTCGAATATCATTTACATGAATTTGCATTTGCTTTCGCCAAAATACGATTCTGGAAGCCATCGTTAGGCGTTAAAACCTCAAGACACAACTCGCTTGCCTTTCAAGTCATATACAGCAGAGATGGAAGGAATAGTAGTTCTGTGTTTCTTTTACGCTTTACTTGCGGTGCTAGTAACTGCTGTTAGCATTCTTACAATCGCAGTATTTTCAAGGAAGAAACTTCGTCGAAGGTCAACTAGCTTTCTCCTCATCGGCTTAACCGTGGCGGATCTGTTAATAGGAACGCTAGTTCTCCCTCTTTTCATAACAATCACCTTGACTCACCAGTCGCCTGAAGTGAGACTTGCCAGCTATTACTTGGACATCATAACTGGGTTGGCATCGATCTTTACTATCGCCGTGATTTCCTTGGAGAGAATGTGTGCCGTCTGTTTTCCTTTCCGCCACCAAATGCTCAGCCGTTGCACCTACATCGTTGCCGTCTGCGTACCATGGATTCTAGCGATTAGTGGTTTAATTATGGTCAAGGTTCTTGTCAAGGATCACCGCTTTACTAGCGTCTTTTTCATATCGTCACTCGTTTTGCCACTTGTAATAATCTTCACCTCGTATTCTGTCATTTGGGTAACGCGACACCGGTCTTCTCTACAAGAAGAACAGGAGCGAAAACTGGCAAAAACTTTGTTGATTATAATTGGCGCTTTCGTTGTAACATGGCTGCCATTTCAGGTCATAAACACTTACATAATCGCCTGTAGATATTCGGATTCTTGCGAATATCCTCCAGTGGTAATCATATACATTGCAGTGTTCTTACGACTAAGCAACTCATTTTTGAACTTTATGGTATATTCACTGAGAATGCCCGACTTCAGAGAACAGCTTCGGAAACTTTGCCCGACTATGCAGGGAAAGAATTTACTAAGACGCGCGTCTGAAAATGAAAATAGGGAGTCTGACGGGCAGGAGGGCGGAAGGAAGCGTTATGACGAAACGCAAACAGTCAATTTTGAGCTGACCCAACTGTAGACAATCAATAGACAGGGGCACTCAACGTCAATTTTCGGAAAATATATATCTGTTCGGAAGACGATTTGAGATCTAGAATTTTCGGAACATTTGTTGTAAAATTTCTTGCTTGCCTGCCTCTCCTAGGATTTTCGAACATCTACAAAATGGTTTAATTGCCCATTTTTAACGGATTTTTACCCTAAAAAGGTCACCTAGAATTTTCGGGAGCCTTTTTTCTGCCTGAAATTTTCGAAAGGGTAAGTTTTGATCCCTATAATTTTCGGATCACTAGACTTTCAGCTAGGAAATCCGAACAGAGGAAAAATTTTTAGGGGATAAAAGTAAGCATATATTTACCGTTTAAATACTAAAATACGTTTAACAGTGCTATGTTTAAACGGTTTTGAATTATGTTCTCGTTGGGTGCCCCCGCTATAGAGCTGCGACCGAGGATGATGCTAAGCTACCCACAGTAGGTATTCAGAGAAACAAACTTTTAATCTTACCAGCAGTCTCGCTTTCACAAAATTGCTTCAATTTTGCCACTCAGTTCAGAAATACAACGGGCTGAGCAACCCACGAGTAAACAGAGGCCGAGGCAGTGTCCTGGTCATCAGAATTCAGTTTATGTACTCAGCGATGTTAAAGCAATTGTAAAGGTATAACGATTCCTATTTTAACAGCTTTTACCTCATCAGATACATTTTGGACGGTGATATCGTTAAACAGCTTTGTATAGAATGAAGAGTTCATAAGCGCTATAATGCAACCCAAAATCGCAGTGGAGTTTTCTGGTTCCAGTTTAATTCGTCTTTCTTCCGCTGCAATATACTGAACCGTGAATGCGTAGCCTAGAAGAGATTTCCCCAGTTCCTTCGACCTAAGAATTCAATTCGCACTTGTACACTGAGATGCCTTGTCTTAGGCGCATTCCCATTTGTCAGAACTGAACTGTTTGAAAATGAAATAGGCTTTTTCCAAGAGTTTTTGCTGACAAACGTTCTCCTTCGTGCATACTATTTAGGATTTCACTGATCTGGCTGAAGAGTTTTGTTGAAAAGGCAATTCAACATTGCGACTGGAACAGCCTGGCCGGTCAGTTCTGACAAATGGAAAGCGCCTTTAGTGAATGCGGTGTCGTCGATTGCTAATGAATTAGAAAGTGGTGTAAATAACGATTAACTAACTACCGGGAGCCCGTTCATAATAGGCGGACAATACGACAATACAATGCAATGTTTTACAAATCATATTTTAAAAGTAATTAGAAGTAAAACAAGTGAGAATATAGACAGAAAAGAAAAAGAGTACATAAGTCCTGATTCCTGGTAATACATGGACAAAAAAATTAAGCTGTGCATGATCATAGTTAGTAGACATGATTGGCATGATTTATCTTCTTTTAGTGTTTAGAAATTGTAAATAATGGCGCGAGACCTTTTAAGATCATGAACTAGATGCAGGGGCGGATCCAGGATTTTTTTAGGAGGGGGTGCACTCGTGTCTTGCTCTACTTCAACACCAATATTAACCACAGAGTTTTTTTCTTTGGAAGAATACCAGTTGTATTAGAAAACCGCAGGTCATCTCGGGTGGTGGGGGGGAGCGCACCCCCTGCACCCTCCCCCTAGATCCGCCCCTGAGATGACTGACATAATTGAGACAATAAGAGCTGTTTGAGAGAATGTATGTATGTATAAAGTTATTTTGCAGTTGTTTTGATTTACGCATGGCTACGCAATATGATTGGCTGAGCCAACCAGACTATTTTCCGAGTTGCTCCTAAACGAGGTTAAGTACGAAGTCATTCATATGACAAAGAATGATAAAGTATTTCACTCTTCTGCAAATAAAAATTGTTTTCACTTAACAGGTTTCGCACTTGGTTTCATAGTTTTAAGGGTAAACTAGAACCACTACGTGGAACTTACCGGGGCCCAGTGGGATACGGGATTGCATAGATATAGTTTACCTCTCGCACCCCTCCCCCCTCCTCTGTGGAGGCTAATACTTAGTCTGAATTAACTCATGCAGAAGAAAAGCAACAAAATGCATGAGAAAGGAGGATGTTGTTGTAAGTTTGTTCAGTGTTATTACAGCTAACGGTCTGTGTTATAGTAGTGTTTTTAGTAACACTGTGATGTCAATAAGTGTGATCTGTATAAGGTTTTCATTTGTTTTTAAGTTTGAGTGAAAAAGCAAAAATCACTGACAGTTTTGGGTTGAATGGTAATGACAAAGTTTGCAAAGAAGTTTGTTACAGAATTATCACAATTTCACATTTTCTCAAGTACGTTATCATCAGGTTTATCATTGAGATTTATTAATCACATTTATCTATTTTTTGCGAAAACACTGTGAATTTGAAATGATAACAGACATAAGACATTTTTGAAATAGATCTTTGTGGTCATGGATTGTTGTCTTGCACTGTAAAAAATGTCATCCAGTGTTATATACAGACATAATAAAATGCTTATTTATTGATGACTGAGTATCATTTGTTAATTCATTGCACATTGAAATGGAGGCACTTGATTGTAAGGCAGTGGTTGATACATAGTGGCATTCATCAATATGGCCTATAGTAATTATTGTAGAGGAAGTATTTCTTTCCTGAACTGGGTAAACAGTAGTATATCTGCAACTGCTTGAATGATAAGTGCATCAGCCCATGTACCTTGAATACACATATTATTCAGATATCTTATCCATGAATTTTCGGTATTGCTCTCAATAAATCTCTCAGGATTGTCTCTCATAAATTGAACCCCAGCAGTACGTATATGCATGTGATGGTTGCTTTTGCGATATAATTGATGTGATACAGATCTAAAGAAACAATCACCTGCACCGCCAACATCTATTGATTGTAAACAAAGTGCACCTAATCTTGACTGCATCAAATTCTCAGAGGAAATAGGAGAGTTCAACTGCATTGGTTGAGGTCACACTAGAGAAAGTTTACTATAGTAAACTCAAGTTTACCATAGTAAACGGCGCCGTAAGTGTGACGGGCATTTTTCAGTTTACAATGGTAAACTCTACCCTGGTTAATTTCCATGACTACCGCGGAAAGAACAAAGATGACCCATCACCGATAACCATCTGGTTACCCAAAAAAATAGGTGGGTATATCTTTAGTCTATCTAAACTTTGTTTGTTTTGTTGACAGTTTGTCATGATTTTTGAGGAAAGTAGTTTCAAAAAGGGTCACATAACAGAATAGCTTTAGAACATCGGTGATTGCTTTTTCCACAGTGCTTGAAGGTTTCTGTTTCTGTACATTTCTTCAAACCATTCCTGGGGTCGAGGTTAAACCCACGCTTGCCTTCGCAATGCCGCTCTTTCTCCAAGAATACGTCTTCGATGAGTAATCAATAAACCTGTCACTAAAACATCTTCACTAACTTTGTATTCGAAACCAAGGTAGGTAATAAGGGAGCGCATTCTTCTTGCTCGTCTGAGCAGCAGAATTAAAAGCAAAATGCTCACAACAGAAAACAATACTCTCTCACATTGAAGCATCTTTGTACACTTGTGAGGGTCACGCTCAGGAAGTTACAGTTCAGTAATTTCAATTTAGTCAGCTCTCATAGCAGGTCATCATTTGTTTTACTTTTCACTCTCACGTTACCGATCACGCGAGAAAAAAACGCCTGGAAAGTTTCAAATGCCTTTTTAAGTGGACCTGTCAGGTTTACTACGGTAAAGAAGACGTTGCGAGACTTACCATAGTAAAGCCCTTTTTTACCATAGTAAAGTCTCTAGTGTGACCTCAACCAATGTTGAGCTGTGATTTTGCATAGAAGGTCTAATTATGACTTCATGATGATCAGTGTTGTATTGAGTAGGTCCTGGATTCTTCTCAACATCTTTACTTAGTTTGAAATTCACATAATTGGTCATATGACTCACACAATTGCAAGAAAACAATGATAAAGATCGACGTGCTTTACATTATTTTTAGTTTCATTATCCTGTGATAATGCCTGCTAAAGAAAGACAACAAATAAGCTTTCTTGGGTATAGCCATTTTATTTAAGTTAATTATCTTTGGATCGCGTTTGTTATTACATTTATATCGTGCATGATAAAGTTTTCTCACCTTATTAACATAGCGATGGAGCTTTGAAGTCTTCGGTATGTCAATCATTGAAATCTTTTTGAAGACAAATTTTGATAAGTGTTCGCTTTGATTCTCGATAAATTTCACGATGGAAGGTTCACTCAATTTCTCGATAAGTTTCACGATGGAAGGTTCAGTCTCAGAAGTGATCGCTCGTAAATTTGTCTCTCCAAATATTCACTCTTAAATTTTCGCTCATAAACTAGTTGGGTTGGGGGAACGTGTCGTTCCCCAAAAAAGCTATAATCTTTCTCTTGACTGTCCTCCATGCCTCTTCTTTTCAAAATGGCGGATAAGATTTCAATGAGCCAGCGATATATCTCAGTCAGCGATATATCCCTAACAACGTAACGTTGAAAAAACGGACGGTCTGCATTTTAAGACCGGTGCCAGCCTTCGGCTGGGCCCCGGTAATAAGTTACACTGGTGAGTCAGATCCCTAAGGGACTAACACGCTGAATTATAACCATTCCACACGTTTGTTTATATTTATTTGGCTTTATTTCTTACTAAGGTTAAAAAAATCACTCATTTTCACTGTAACATTAAAAAATACATCACCACGGTCCATGTTCTAGGAACTGTTACTGATCTTCTGATTTAACACGGTTTCTTTTCGACTTTCTCGAGAGCAACCGGGAAAAAAGCACACACACAAATTATTTATGCTTGAATCATGGCCTAACAATAGTCAAAATGGGTCCAGGTAAACACCAGTGCTTCATTTCAACCCCTCCGAGAAGAGATGAAGACGCAGAACTCTTGAAACATATGTTGCCGTTAATTCTTTTTTATTATTTCAGTTAATTTTTGTTTTTCCTTTGTTTTAAATTCATTAGCATACAGTACCATACCCAAAAACAATGGAAAAATAAAACGTAACCGAAATAAAAAAACTAACCACAACATGTAAGTGAAGAAAGAGACAGAGCCTGGCCAACCATTCTTTGTTGAAGAAAAGACCAATCTTCGGAACTCCAACCTTCAGATCTGAACCACCAGACCAAACACTTCAAGTTATTACTTTAACCCTAGCCCCATAGAAAAAGTCAAAGAAGGTTCAGAACCAGCTTTCTCATAGAACATGTAGACTTAAGTGGCATTGAAGTCCACACCCAAACCCAGAAAACGATAATTGTCGATGTCTCTAAAGGCTAAACGACGATATGATTTTCAAGCATTACATGTAGTGACAGCATCATAAATTGCCTTGGCAACGTAATCCACATTGGCAGAAGTGATTCCACAAATGTTGATCCGTCCGCTATTCAGCAGATAGATGTGGTACTTGCTGGCCAGAAACTCTACTTGCTTGACTGAGGAGAAAATAAGACGAAAATGGCACATCAGGATTTAGTCCCCACCAAGTAAGTGTCCACACAAGTAAAAAGAAGGCTTTTTACAGTGGTTTCCGCATTGTTTTAAGAATCGTATAATGCTTGCTGTAATAGGGACAAAGAAAAAGAATGAGCCCAACGTGTCGTTCATGACTTGCCAAATCTGAGACGCCAAGGAAAAAACAGACAGGGGTCGTGGATCAAAATTCAAAATTCATTCACACTCATTTGAAAGGAACAAGCAACGAACTACAGGGTAGCAAAGCATTTGTGCTGGATAAAACTTTTAAATATGTTTTTGAAAGTCTTTAGCACTTTGCAACTGCCTTGTAAGGGATAATACATGTACACCTTGCCCGATAATCCATAATGCAAAAATGTGAGAACTGCTCACTATAATAACAAAGATTTCAAAGTAACAAAACTTTCAATGCGAACGAGGTATGCCTGAGTGACAACCCACTAGAGATGAGCACTGGTATTTGTCACAACATCATGAATGGCTCGGCCAACATAATCGACATTTTTGTGGGTTATGCCACAAACGTTAATACGACCACTGTTCAGAAGATAGATGTGATGCTTTTGGGTCAAAAGCCTCACTTGATCAACTGAAAAGGATGTAAAACTAAGTGACTGACTGATTTTGTTGGTTTACACCTGCGCAATTCCTTGTCCAAATGTTAGAAATAACTGAACCGCTTGTCGGGAACAAACTCTTTTTGATAGGCTTCACCAGGAAGTTCACTCTTTCTTCAGTTAAACAAATTTTATATTTCATTCAAAAGCACAACTTAACGGGAAGAGCTCTAACCTAATCTCTCACTCGAATGTCTCTCTCACAAACGTATGTTGTAATCCATGGATTCGAAGGCTGTCAATCTTGATCATTTTAAAATTTTAGCCTTACATCAGTAAAAATCCGATTAGTTAATATGGAGAGTATGAACGTATTTTCATTTGGGGTCGTGGCGAAATCAGAAAATCAGCTTAAACTCCAAAATTCATCGCAGTCCAGTTAATGTCCAGTCAAAACAAAATAGTCAGAGAGGTATAACTATTAAAAATAGAGTTACCAATGTACAATATCGTTATTTCAAAATGATAAAAGCACAATTTTTCAACTTTCGCATATATGGCATGGCAAGCTCTGGTGCCAGTTCATAATTGTAGCCCCGTAATATTCAGCTGTATTTCTTCTTCTTACTACAAAAGACCGATGCTCTGATTCAATAACAACAACGGCCACACAAACAGAGGGTGGTCTGCCTGTGGTCCCATATCATGGTGATAAATGCGTCTACAATGATGCGCAAACAAAGCGTGAAAAAATTGACCGGCGGATTGCTTGGTACGGAGCTAAACAAAGTGGCAATGAACGCACGTGAGCCGTTATGGTGTTAATTGACTCAACTGTTGTAAGGTATAAAAGGTTTGACAGTTGGAACGGATTCATCTCAGCTCTCGAACTTTCAACTTTTATTTTTTGTATCTTACTTTAGTTATCTATTATTTTACCTTTAACCCCAGCAGAGGTTGTGCGACTGCATTGGTTTGGGAATACGTTGCCAATTTTTCCCATTGGGTTTTTGGGTTTTCGAATATTTGTATACCATTCGTTAGTTATGATGTTGAACTTTTTTATGTTATTCGGACAGCAATAAACACTCAGGCTCACAGTCCGAGCTGTACACCCATTCCCGTCTTGTAGTCGTGAATATAAATAGGAAATAACCGTTAAATGGACACAAATATCTCCCCCTTAATAGCGATAAGTGCGAATGCTGCGCGAAAAAAAAAAACAGAAGAGAGCACGATAGCGTTACGTTCTATTAATAGGGAATATACGATCCGACGAGGCGACGGCAACGAGAACGTCAAAAATAGCAACAGGTTTAATAGACAATACAACAGCTATGCACGTGCATCTCACATTTTTGTACATTTCTTTGCCGTTTTTGCACGACTACGACGTGAAATTGCCTGATTTTACCTTTTAGGGAGGACGTAAACGAGCGACGGCGAAATTTTATTCGCTCTCTAAACTTGAATATAGTTCTTACAAATTCAACTCCGGAAGGGTTCGCCTACATTTGACTAAGTAAGTGAGTTGGAATAATCGTGATAAAGACCGAAAAAACGAAAATTCATTTTAGAAGCGACGTTTTCGCTGCCGTCGCGTCGTCCGATCGTAAAGGTGATATTACACGGGAGGATTCGCAACGAAGATTTTTAGTGCAACACAGCGTTGCAATGTTGGAACAATGTTGTAACCACTCGAAAAAATGTCGGTCGCAACAATGTTGCAACGCTTTGTTGAGCTAAAAATCGTCGTTGCGAATGGTCTCGTGTAACACCACCTTTAAGTCCCCACTGTCTTTAACGCGACGTGACCAAAGGTTGCCTTGTAGGAAATAACCTTTCTAGTGATCATTGTTCGTCCAAGTCTGCGCTCGGACGAAAAGTGAGCACGACAGCAAAACATGTTGGTTGTTTTTACAGTTTTCAATATAACATGAGAGAAATACCTAATAATAATAACACTTCTTATTACCCATTTCGCGTGCGCCTCAATTACTAGTTACTCACCACTTAAGCCTGTGAATCCAAACATTCCTTTCTGATCTTCCAAATGATTCCATGAGCCTGGTGTTCCCAGTAATCTCAGTTTCTCGTGAAGGAGTTTTCGGCAATTGAGAATGCGTCCAGCCATTGACTTCAATGTTTCACGCCTACAAATCAGTAAGACAAGAGTCTTAAGCTGTGTTCACTCTACTCCGGATAGCTTTTGCGCCTGATTCGAAAGTAAGACCGGATAGGGCTTCTGACCACACAAAAGAACGGTGATTTCGGCGCTATTTTTGAAACCGAGCGAAGCTGCACCGCGTCAATGTCTAAAGTAGAGAGTCACATTTCGGATGGGTGTAGATAAAGCTTTTTTCGTGTGGGCAAGAAAAACTATGCGGTATGGTGCAAACATAGCCTTGGGACGCTCTCCATTCATCAGAACTGACCGGCCACACCCTTACCGTCGTAATGAGAATTTCACTCTTAATCAAAACTATCCGGCCAGATTATTAGTCAAATCCTAAATAGTGTGCAGGAAGGAGATGGGTTATCAGTGAAAACCCCTGGAAGAAGCCGATTTCATCGTCAAAATGACTGGTCCGGTTATGGTCCGACCAGCTAGTTCTGACAAATAAAAAGCCCCGTAAGAAAGCACTTCACTTTCAACTGTGATCTTGCATCACGTCGGCAGAACTGCAAATTCGTTTTTCAAAACGAGACTAAGAGCAAAACTTACTCGAGAAAATGAGTTTCATTTGCTGTCAATGACTTTGCACTTAGCCTCGCCATGAAGCAGAGGCTTGAGACAATTCTGAGATACCCAAAATATCTAGCACTGCTGTAAGTCGCCTTCATTCCTTTTTCGCGCGTTTTCGCGTTCTCACCTCACGTTGGTTGTCCAATTTGCTTAACATACCTATTCTGATGAAGGGCAAACGTTCATATCGTCTGTTTCTGAACTCTCAAAGCGGCAAATTAACTTTTAATTATTAACTCAGGTAATAATCTTTCACTCGCAAAGTCAATTACAGATGACCCCTACACAGCCATAAATAGCCTGCGAACTGCCGACGCACTTCGGGTCGTCGCTGCTCACCCTTCTCCTTTCCGAGGGAGAAAAGCGACGACCGGAAGTACGTCTGCAGTTCGCTGGCTAAATCATAAAGGGACATCACTGGGAAAACAGCTACTCATTCTGTTGTCGTGTAACACTCCTTTACGAAGAATGGGGAGCGTAATCAACGACAATGGCGATGGGAACGTGAAAGTAAAAAAAGCAATAAATTAACGATAGTAGAATAATATTTTGACAAAACAACAAATCTTTATGCATTTCTTTGCTGTGACTGCAAGAACACGATTAGAAATTTCCGATGTCTTGAGCCAGAGGTCGCTGGTTGGATGATGCTGGGTCAGTATTGTACATGTAAGAGTGATGACATTCAACATTTTCCAATATTTCCTGTGCTTAATGCACAATGCCGCAACGTGTTAGCCATGTTTGAACAGCCATCAGATCAATGTTTGGACTCGCGGTGGGGATTTGAAAAGGCTTCCTCGTTTCGTTTCTTTTTTCTCCCCATCCCTCTTTCAGAAAAGCCTGGTGCTTAGATTGACCACATCAAATAGCCCGACATCTAGACTGTTCACAGTCCCCAACGGTATTTTTCCGTAAGATCGTCGAAATCGAGCACTTTGTATTACGGGCGGCCATCTTTCGCCTACTCCCCCACCTCACCGCTATAAAACCCCCTCGGTACACAAGAAAACATGACGGCCGCTCGTATCGGTTAGCGCTCGATCCTGACGATCTTACGATACAATAAGGGACCGTAAACAGTCCAGCTGACAGTTTACCCGACAGCACTTTGATGAGTCCGTTTTAGTGGGCCTTAAGCCACAAAAAATGCAACTTTAAGTTTTACGTACAACTACCTGGACATGTATGACAGAAGACAGCTTTCACTTCTGATTGATTTAACTTACCATTCAGTATTCAAGGCATCTTGGTTCAGGATAGTTGCTACAATACGAGCTCCATGATTGGTGGATTGGACCACATGGGACGAATGATCGCCTTGAGTTGGCTGCGAATCTTCTCAGCCGTTTCATTATCAGTTGTCACCACACAGAGATTGCCGCACCTTTCATCTGCAATTACGAGAAATGCATTCTTGTTGCTCATAACTTAGCCTGTGTGCAAGACCTCAGGATTAGTGGGTTAGCAAAGGAAAAGAGTGTTGTAGGTAAAATCGATCTCGGTTTAAATCAGTATTTAGCCTAGTTTGATTCAGAATTTCCTATAAATCTAAGTTTAACAATTATTGTTTCCTAGCCTCGATATTATTATACAACGGAAACAAAGGAAAACCCGGACACAAACATTCCACTTGTTAGTAATTATTTTAGAGCGGTTTTCACTTGACTGTCGAAAGGGATTGGTTTTGTTTGGTTTTGGTTTTACTACGCCCTTTGGTTGGCTAGTGTATTTACTTTGGTTTTGGTTTTACGACAGTCAAGTGAAAACCGCTTTTAACAACACAGAGAATCCACACAAAAACGCTACTCACTGTATAGACCAAAATTCTTTGCAAAGGACTGTGCAATTAAGACCTCAAATCCTTGGCTAACAAAGTAACGAGCTGCCCAGGCATCCTTATCAGGATCACCAGTCACAAAACCTTGATAAGCCATGTCAATGAGTGGAAATAGATTTTGTCTCTGAGAGGAAACACACAAAATATATTACAGCATTATCAAGAACACCCCTATAACAACTTATACTACACTAATCATAGCTACCATTAAAAACAGGTTCAAGGAAGTTGAAGTTCTCATGACAATAGAGAGGAGAAGTCGTTACATCACCTTGCCATGTTACCGTCACGTTGCCATGGTAGCGCAATTTCTGGTCGACAACAAACTGAAAACATCACTTCAAAAGTGGATTTGCACTGTTTCAAACTTCACTGATCTCATTCAATTTCATTTAATTTGTCAAATGTTGGCAAAATTTTCTGGGGTTGAATACAAAAGGACCATATCTAGGTTTAGAAAAAGAAATAGAAACATTTGTGTTGTGTTCACCTACTCCATAAAGCGGGCATGTGAAATTAGGAAGTTTCATGGTGCAGTCACGCAACAATGACTAAGAAATGTACAAAAAAGCTTGATGCCATGCAAAGTTGTTGTTTTGCTTATAAACACACTGTAAACCTGTTGCTTGTTTGCCGTTCTTGTTGCTGTCATTGTTTCTTAAGCTCCCTACTTGTGTGATTCAGAAATTTTGCTACCTTGGTAACATGATATCATACTTCTCCTTCTCTATAATAACGAACTTTAGCAAGGATGATGGTGATGGCAGCGAAAGCATCTTTTTAAAATGACACACGACTTGCTCAACAAAGCCCGCTCAACAATCCTAGGCCTGTTTATAGAAGTCTAATAGTTTTATTAAGAAAAAAGGCACACTGAAAGACCAACTTTTGTTACTTGGAGCAAGGATTATTTCGCATACCTTCATAATCTCAGCAATCTCCTTCCACTGGTCCTGGTTAGGGTCCACTCCAGTAGGATTGTGTGCACAAGCATGAAGCAAGACAATAGAGTTTTCTGGAGCGTTCTGAAAATTGATCAAATAATTACACTGGAACCTGGTTTTTAATGCAACTTACAGTACAATTGTAAATTAATGTCTCTGCTCCTTTATGATGCATGCTAAACGCGAAGTGACTTAATTATAAAACAAATAATGACAAGTTGGCGATAATGGGGGAGCACTGCCTTGCGCTAGGTTAGCCTGTGCGACTTCCCGCGATGGCATGGGCAAAGAACCTCACTTATCTCCCCAGCACTACGAGCTGAATGTAATACAGCACGTGCTGGATCGGACAAGAGTATTGGTGAGCAAAGAACCTCACTTATCTCCCCAGCACTACGAGCTGAATGCAATACAGCACGTGCTGGATCAGACAAGAGTATTGGTTTGCAGGCGATGTTAAATGGCAATGCGGCCCAACAAGCCAACCGCACTGCGAGGAGTGTCCCTAGTTTATTTGAAGGCGTAGCACAAAACAAAGCCCAAACCTCGTCTCCAAAGGGAGGGAGGGAGGGAAAAAATTTTACAAGAATAGTATACTGAGCGCTTAAACCTTGCTGAACACTGGAACCCAAGTGAACTCTGAACAGTTGTACTAGGCTTTTATAGCTAGACGCATGTCTGCTGGCATAGCCAGTAGCAAAGGCTGTACTATAAGACAGCTCAGAGTTGCATGTGCAGACTCTTAGCCATGAATAGTGCTTTGAAAATATTGGCCAATGCTGTGGCTCGTACTAGCCTGCTTAAGACAACAAGGCCGGAAGTTCTACGCTAGAATACAATGCATCTTAGAGTTCACTGACCTTGGCAGCTTGACTACACAATTGCTTTGTTGAAAAAGAGCCGCCATGAATGGGTTATTGATAACTAGCGTCACGTTCCATTAACTACATTTTACTGGCGTGACAGTAAAATTGCTTTTGTTTAATAATGCATCCATTTTATCAGTAAAGCAAACCATGCTCTGTTATAGGTGACTTTTGTGGGCTATTCCTGTAAGGTTTCGTTAATACACTTAACATTTTGAACGCAGTTTTTTGTTGTTAAACAGGGCCCAAACTTCTGAAACTTAAGGGTTGTCATGGTTACCTTCTAGACTTGCTTGCAGCTCCCTTCATTTTCACCAGGCACCTTCCCCACACCCATCTATTGTCAATGGGTTTAATGCATCCAGTAATTTTGCAGTTTATGTGCATGATACAATGTTAGTTGCCCTTAATACAGTGACAGCCCCCAAAAAATTACGCTTAACTGTACAACTATAATAATGTTTAAAAAAATTAATGATTTCATGATCACCTTCAAATCTTCACACATTCCACTGAAGTCCAATGATTTTGAAGCACTATCAAAGTAACGGTATTCTTTAATATTTTCAGCTTTGTAGCCAGTACCAAGCAGCATCTTTCTATGGTTTCCTAAACAAGATCACACAAAACTGATGTACACGTACATTAAAGACTGGTTTATATTATTTTACATATTCACATTGACACAAGCATAACAGACATACTGTATGTGTGTACAGGTATATGTATGTTGTAGAACAAAGTAAATTTTATTTACTGGAAGTCTCCTATTAAACATGGGCACTGTCTCCAAGGTTTTTTTCCCACGAAAAGCATTATTAACGATCAAATGCATCCTAAAATTATGAAATAAACAGAATGATTTAACAATAAAATGTAGTTTTTGTTGTTCATGTTAATACAGTCTTATATACATACTCAAGAGTAATGAGGGACACTTGATGGTCAACACAAAATTTCCAATGAAAAAAGGCCATTGGAAGCCCTCTTTTATTGTGTATTATTAAGTTTCAATGAACTGGAGACTTAAAGGCCATGAAAACGATAATACATGTCTCGAGAATTCATATAAAAAAAATTAAAGGTAGACATTCATAATATTTTATTTTAACATGAACCATAGAAAACACTACACCATACATGTACATGCAACTTAGAAGAGCACCTCAACACAATATTACTAAAAATATTAAAAGTACATGCACATGAAAATGTACATGTATTTCAATATCACAACAATTTGGCTAAAGCTGTCTCTCTTCTTGTATAGATGAAATGACTACTACACGGTATGAGATGACGTTGCATTTCCAAACCAAAAGTGCTAATTCCATCATTAATGGCCAATTACTGGGATCAGTCAGATTTTAATATGTGTTGTAGTTAATTTTTCCTTTCTGTTAATTTTTGTTTCTCCTTCGCTTCAAATTCGTTAGCATACAGTCTGTACATGTACATTGCCATATCCAAAAACAAAGGAAAAACAAAATTTAAAGAACATAAAAATTTAACTACAACATATCGATATACATTATTTGCACACTGTTAATATTATAACCTCTTAGAAATTGGCTCAATCCACCTTAATCCTGAGTTAAACTAGGTGCCTTGGGAGTTGTTCTTGTTCTCAAGATTGCAAAAAAAAAAAAAAATCTGCCACAGAAACTTACCCCACGTGGGTTTAGAAAGATACACCACATCTGAGCAATGAAACCTCTTCAAGAACTCCATTCCAAGACGAAGACTCCCAGTACCAGAAATACCTTGAGCTCCACACACCTGTCAACCAAACAATCACCAGCATATGGATAAGAAAGATTAAAATCCATGGCCAACAATAAACTCACAAGTGCTATTCACCATCAGAGGGGTCTAAGAGAATATAATGCTATTAACATCAAGTAGATGTACTGTCCTTGAAAGCCTGGCATGATGCCAAAATGCACAGGTCATGAGTCTTCATGTGTAAACATCATCTAAGGGACTGTTGAATGTATTCAACCTTACTAGTGGGGGACAGGAGTAGGAGAGGACCCTGGGAAATATGAGGTTGTAACGTACATTCTATACAGGTCCGTATATGAATGTATATTTGTCAACATTGTACATTGTAGCTGGTGTAGCTGGAATAAGCATACAGTTTTAAGAACTACCATACATGTACAACATCTGATTATGTTTAAAAAAGAGACAAGTGTTGAACCAGAATTACGTTCTATTTTTCAAGTATAGTATCACGTTCAATATCATGTAGGCATAATACCACATAACAATATACAAAAAAACAAACATGCTATAGACGTCAACAGAACCCAAATACAAGATACACTGCATTGTTGCTCTTGAGCTACACAATGATCCTGCTAATCTTTGTATGTGTTTTTTTGGTTAACTTTTGCAACTTTTTCATTGTGCTGCTTTGTCATTGATTTAAAATGCAATTCAACTAGACAAACACTCGTAAATATACTGTTGTGACTCATTTCCAACTGAAAAAGGTATAACCATTAATGATGTCAGATGTTGTATTCAGAGTCCCAAACACATCTTATTCAAGGATCCAAAACAATATTTGAAATGGCAATGTGCACATCATAAAATATTGAAACCTTCATGGCAGTGCAATTAGCAAATTATCCAGTACGATAAGGCAATGCCTAAATTCCTAGTGCATTTGATTCCTAAAAATAATAAGTATTTTCCAGGATTCCACCAGAATTTTGCAACAAAAGATACCAAACGAACAGGGGTTGGGAGTGGCCTGGGGTAGTTGATTGACTGAGACAATTAACTTAAATACTTGTCCATTGCTTTGCCTCATGGAGGAAGCCTATAATTTCCAACTCAGAACACAATAAAATATCAAGTAAATTATCTGCAAATATGTGTATGTTATCGCTTCTTCCGGAAACACGAGCAACATCAAAATGGGCTATGTTAACCCTTTACACCCTAAGAGTGATCAGCATCGAATTTCTCCTTGTAATATCAATGCTTTGTAAAATGGAGTGGTGATGACAATTACAGACATGATCACAATTTATGAATTTGCTTGATATTTCATCAAATTCTCCCCACTACTTCTGAAGGAAATGAGTAGGGGCAACAAATGAGAATTCAAATTTTGATGTTAGGGTCTAGCCTTACTGGGTTGGCAACCAAGGGAGGAAGTACCTTATTATAGGAAATTAACGCTCCATGAAATTGAGGTATTGGAAATTAACGCAACTTAAATTAACGCAAACTTAATGGAAAAAGACTTTTGAATAGAGAAAATTATCGCAAAAGAGGAGGTAGAATTTCATAATAAAGGAAATTAACGTGATTATCTTGGCCGAAATCATAGGAGAAGATATTGACATGACTTCTGACAGCGACAACGATGAAGATGAACTCGAAATATTGAGAAGATATTGACATGACTTCTGACAGCGACAACCAGACAAGGACGAAGATGAACTCGAAATATTGTAAACCTGCGCCTCAGCTTTTGTGAAAGATGAAAAATAAAGGGTAAATGGAAAGAAAGAAAGCTTGTAGTTAATGTTTTTTAGGTGTCAAGAATGTCTGGACAGGTTCTAAAATTGGGTTAAAATACTGGAAATTAAGAGCGAGGAAATTAACGCTGCACTTAATTAAATTAACGTCGCGGAAATTAACGCTCAACAAAATTAATGCGACTTAAATTAACGCGAATTTTAACGATTCGCGTTAATTTCATGGAGTGTTAATTTCCTATAATAAGGTATGTTATTATGTAACTTTTTAGGTCGGAATATGGCATCTGAGATTTTCCTCGTCAAAGGCTATCGCTATTCACACACGATGAACTTATAAAAATGTAACGTACCCTGTTTTCTGCTATAGCGGGGCTGTCTCCTCCCAGGCAAAGTTTACAGGCAGCCTGAGTAAATGACCCTAAACCGTCGATGGATAAGTATTCATGATTCAACGTTTTGGCTGCGATTTCCTCAGCTAGCTGTTTTTCAACCCTGGATACAACGGACAACACCATGGGATTTCCATCGTCGTCCCGATAGGCTAAAATAGCAGGAGAAAAAGGTAAAAATATGAATTTTGTGAGGTTGGCCACGTCCATTATATCACGGGAGTCTACAAAACGACGACCTAGAAAACGAACACCCACAACCCATAAAACGACGACCTGGAAAACGACGACCTGGAAAACGACAACCTAGAGAACGACGACCTAGAAAGAGATGACCTAGTAAACGACAACCTAGAAAACGACGACATAGTAAAGACTAGTACACGACTGTAAACGAAGACTCCATCACGGGTACTCTACATCGGATCAAATGATCAAATGCGTGACGGTCAGAATTTAAGACCCACTTTCCACAAAAATAAAGAGAAACTTTACCTCCAATCCCCAGATTTACTTTGTTTGGATTTTTGTCGTCCTTGTATTGTTGATTAACGTGAAAGACATGGTCTGTCGGGACAAGGGGAACATCTTTAAATATAGAAACGCCCGGCATCTTGCACTTCTGTTCCACCACTGACGAAACGAAGAGAAAGATTAAATCGATAACTCTTCGGACTTTCTCCGTAAATTTCCGATGCAAAATTGATGTAGTCAATGACGTCAAGATATACACAAGGGCAGGCAAAGGAACTGAAAGAAATGTTGAGTACATGTTCTATTTTGGAATAATTCTGTTATTTTTCTAGATTACAGAATGGGATTATTTGGACAAACTCCTCAAAAGACGCCAAAGGAACAGGTCTGTAGGATTTTTATGAGAGATGACTTGAAATATTACCAGTCGTCGGGTGCATACCGCCAAGCTTGGAACGTACACTTTCGATTTCAACCTTACTTGTAACATATAGGAGCAATTGCCGAATATCCCCGGCCACCTTAAAGCGATTAAACCGTGGCCAGTTTTTGATCGAAAATGGTACGCTGTGTAAAATGATTAGATAAAACTTAACCTTACCGTACTTCGTTTAATAAAGCTTGAATTCATGTCTATCGTAGTCTTCACTGAATTATAACAAAGTTAATCTTTGTCAGGGAGAAATTCAAGCTTTATACAATGTAAGTGCATGCCAAACTGATATTGTAAATTGTTATCACAAATCAAAACTTTAGTCTCCAGACATGACTGCAGACTGGTGAAATCTTATTGAAGGGTCTACTCATACATTCACAGTATACAGTGTACAAAGTAGATGTACATGTACCTATGTACATTTAGGACTTTTTAATCTCTTTCCAGGTTCAAGAATGGTGTAGAGGGCTAAGGAAAGAAAACAGAAATCTCGATAGGCAGATTAGAGGTATATGCAACTGCAAGGTTTGCATTCACTTGGCTCAATCCAGAACCCATTGAGAAGTGGTAGATGACGTCATAATGCACAGCGCATGACGTCGTTCCTCCGAAAAAGTGCGAAAAAGATGTTGCTGGAATTGTAACATTTGACCTGATTAGTTTACGTACCACCAATCATGTTATTGCTTATATATATTTCAGTGGCATGACCGGAGTTTAATGTTCAATGTTAAGAAAATCACTCGAACAATGCAAAATATTTGAAATTTCATTGTCAGAGAGTCAAGTCTACAAGAAATGGCAAACTTTGGCGATTATCCGGGAGATTTCAGACTCTAATCTGGAGAGCGGGAGATACGGTTCAAAATCTGGAGTCTCCCGGATTATCCGGGAGAGTTGACATCACTGAGAACAAAGATAAATGACCATGCAGACGAAACTTCCTGTGTCAGGGAATTCATCTAGTATAAAACTGCACACAGTTGAGCCTGGTTTCCATGTGATTGATAACTGGGAATGTGCATTTTTGTGCAATCTGTGAAATTACGTTCCTTGTTAGTTGGGATCTTGTGTAATTTGTTCACCCCTTGTTTGACACAGTGACTGATTTATTGACCGACACTCGGTCGACATATCGATAGATATATTGACTGAAACGCGACCTATATGTCAGTTGATATATCGACCAACACTTGGTCAACCTGTCGACTGCGTCATGTCGGTCAACATGTCGACCCATATCTAATATCGGGAGAGTATCAATATTTGGCCAGTATATTTGTCAACACTCGGTCGATATGGTGACCTTTAATTGTTGGTGGAATATCGGTTGACTATCAGTGGTATATCAATTGACTGTCATATAATTTTATGTGCCATAGGGTCTTTTTAAAAGCGTTTAGCGTCTTGAAAGCATCTGGTATGGGTGACCGGAAGTGTTATGGACCATACAATCTGACAACGTCAACATCCATTTTCGTGATTATCCCATTTCACCATGTTACTCAAAAGAAGGGAATTTTGTTTGGAGATGAAAGGAGGTGACCACACCCAATTTCAGACATAGATGGTAGAATTTATTGCCTTGCTGATCCATTCCAGTTCTCAAGTAAACTTAAAATTTGGTCATTTCAGGTCATATTTGCAAAGAAAGTTCAAAAAAGGGTGATGCATGTGCAGAGTTGTTGTTTTGCTCATCAAACCTATTACTTTTTCTCGTTGCCGTCACCATCATAGTTTCGTAAGGTCCATATGGTTTTTATTCCCACGAGATACCATAACGAAAGTGGTCAAAATGTCGTTTTTTAATAAACAGAGAATTCGTATTCTGTAAAAACCTGTGAAACTCATGAGTGACGTACAACAGTTAATGTAAAGAAGCCTCTGAGAGATGGGGAGGAGAACAGGGATATCTGTGCTGCTCCACAGACGTTACTAACCTGGGTTAAATTACATCCATGACACAGGTTATAGTCCACTAAGTTTGCAAGGATCAGTGAAGTATCGGCAGAATGTCAGTAACCTATTGATCGACACATCGGCCAACAATTGGACAACCACTATCAACCGACACTCCACCAATATGGCAACTGACATCACTTGGTCAACAGGTCAACCGCGTCGGTCACATTTCGGTCAATATATGTCGACCGAGTGTTGGTCGATATATCGGCCACTATGTCGATCAAGGTCGGGGTGCACATATTACTCAAGATCTGTTAGTTGTAGGTGCTCCTTGAGAAGTCCTTAAAAAATGGTTGCAAATTTTTGTTTGAACCTTGTGTTATTTTTTACACTCTGTAGTGTGCTAAGAATTTGAATCAGTCTGACGTCAGTTTATCTTGTAAATGCACTTTGCAGCCATTCAAAGGGAGGAAGAGAAGGCCACAAGATCTCTGAGAGATGCTGCTAAGAAGGGACAGAAAGATGTATGTATGATCCTTGGCAAAGAAATTGTCCAGTCAAGAAAAGCTGTAAGCAAAATCTATGCTTCCAAGGCACAACTGAACTCTGTGGAGATGAGTATGAAAAATCAGCTTGGTAAGTCATTTGTAGTTTGATTGTTAACAAGGTTTTTGATATTGAAATGAATTCAATTTATTATGGCGTTTTGAAGCTACTTAAGTAAATCAAAAACCAGAATAATGCAAAAGATATTTTAAACTGCAAGCTGGTGTAGCTTACAATGATGTATTTTGAAGCGCTTTTTACCTTGAGTTCTGGGTATAAGCCCCCTCAAATATACACATAAACCCCTCCGTTTCTTAGTCCTCTTAAAACTCCTTACCAAAATGCATAAGTCCATGGGTTGTAAGCGGTGCTTTATAGTCACAGTGATGTCAACTCTCCCTCTTTTGGCGGAGACTTACGCTTTTTTGCCTCGTCTCCCGCTCTCCCGCTTTGGTACATAAATCTCCTGCTTCTTACGTCCACTATAAATATTGAATACTTAGTTAAAAAATAAAGCAGACTTAGTCTGAGATTTAGCCCATTATTAGCTCAAAACTTGATTTTTTCTTATTCGCAGTATGGTTTGTGGGGCATTTTTACACGTATTTAGTCATTGACAAAGATTATTTCTAGCATCTAAACAATGATTTCGAATTTTGATAGTATGTACATCATGTAAGACGTCATAGTGTCCTAAAATTCCCCTTGTCATTCCCTTTGAAATTCGGGGGGTTGTGGAAGACAGTCTCCCGATTTTAGGTCTCCAGAGGTTGGCATCTCTGTAGTCATCAATGTCAATGTAAAGTGTTACATACTGGCTGAGGCAAACATGTTACACCTACCAAGACATTAACATTATTTCAGAGAATTATCCCAAAAAAAACAAATCTAACATTGATTTATTATACATTGTTTGAGGAAGAAAGTAATGGTAAACCGTTACAGCTCTAATAAGCCTTATGTCCTCGCTACTGTGCCAAATCATTGATAAATTGAATTGCCAATTTGACCATACACAGCAACTCTCCGACTAGCTGGTTCACTTGAAAAGAGCAGTGAAGTAATGCGATACATGCAGCAGTTGGTGAAGGTGCCTGAAATTCAAGCAACAATGCAAGAACTGTCCAAAGAGATGATGAAGGTATGCAAATGCTCCATGCATGTTTTCTTACATATTATTGTTGGGAATTGCCTGAGATTTCATAATTAATCATCAGAAATAATCAGATTGACTCATAGGATCAATTGTATTATTGATTACTGTATAACTGAAAATTCTCTTTGTAAGAATTCCATTTTAATAAGATGGCCGTTGTACCATGTTTTAGAACATAACAGAAACATACAAAATTAATGTATCAGAAAAGGGATATCAGTGGATTCAAGTTTTCTCACCATAGAGTTCCAGTAGCTCAGTGGTTAGAGAATCCAATCTAGAACTCAGAGAGTCGTGAGTTTGATTCTCACTTGCAGCTAATGTAGAATTTTTCTGTGCTTTCAGAGCGATCAAATTTTCTTTCTTCTTTTTGAGACCATGCATTAAAAATGCGTCACATATGAGTTTATATTTTGCTAACAACAAATTGTATTTTTTTCCCATAAAAAGTATTTTCCGTAATTGATTTTAGTGCGGCTAAAAGATTTCAATCAATGATTGCATGGTTATAATCAATATGTTTGGCACAACACTCTTACATAATTTTGTATAATTTATTATTTGACTGTTAACATTATTTTTGTGGATGGGCAGAAAGTAATATCACAAAATTAAGTGTACACTTATGTTTTCATTGACCATTGTAATGACACTGCTGTTACAAAATTAATAATCCTTGGAAGGCATGAATTTGACCTGCTGACTGCTCCTGGTTATGTAGCCTGTGCCAGCCTCTCAGATAGTAGCGGTATTGTGAAAACAAGGGCAAGGAAAAACAGGATGGGTGTGACCTGGCATTAAAGGGGGTGGAGTTACCCTTCCCTCCCCAGGCCCCATGCATTTTTCACAATCTCTGCACATACATTACCATCTTGGGGCCTGGAACAGGCTATACTGGTTATCTTAACAAAGTGTGACAATTGAAAAACTTGTTTAAAACTGTAACCCTTCCGTCCTGAAACGTGTATATGTTGTGGTTCAATTTTATCCTTGGTTTAAATTTTATTTCCATTTTTTTTAAACTCATTATCAGACATTACCAAACCCCAAAACAAAGGGAATTAAAATTTAAACCAAGGATAAAATATGACCCACAACAAATATATGCTACTAATTATAAAATGTGGGTTATTTTTCCCCAGAAAGCACAGTTAGGCCTATTTTCGAGCTCTCCTACCCCATCAAAACTATAAGGCTATCATTGAACGAGTTTCAAAATGGCAGAGAATTAAGGTGACTTTGCATCATTTTTCCTTCAAAAATGGGAAGATGTTCATTAAAAAAAATCAAGACCTACAATATACTGAATGATGGAAATGTCAAGCAGCAGAAATTGGATGAAAATGGAGGATTTCGTCCAAACTGACCCCACAAAATTCAGAGATCAAAGGGTCAACCTTAATGTTACATTTTTTCTGGTGTTCCAGAATGCCTTCTTGTAAAAAAATTGATGGGTCCTTGCAAGTTGTTTGGAAGAGCTAGGGCAACCATTTACACTTTAAACTTTTTTACGTTTTTCTTAAAGTCTATTAAATGGGTAAGTTAGGGTGTCGTAGGGTCTCCGAACAATTGAAAAAACTTTCAAATTATACTTGTAAAGTTTAAGTTGAATTTACGTCTGGTAATGCTTGCAGGCCGGTATTATAGAAGAAATGTTAGAAGACACATTTGAAGGATTGGAGGAGGATGATTTAGAGGAAGCTGCACAAGAAGAAGTTGAAAAAGTTTTGTTTGAAGTCACAAAAGGTACTGCGAAACTACAGCTACGTGTAGTATTCTTTACATTTGAGAGTTGCAGCTAGATAGTTAGTCTCTTGTCAGCGTCTGCTGCAGTAGGTAAAGGTAAAGGTGCACACGAGACAAAGTCCCAAATGAACAGAGCTTCCCTGCAATGGGAGTGAAATGTGCTAACCCCATCTTGGTTTCTTTAGCATGAAGCATGCCCTAGGAGTAATATTGCTACTCCCCCTGTCCCTAGATAGGATACTACCAGTAGTCCATCACAGGGTTACCCCCCAGGAGTATGTCACTGGTACCCATTTATACACCTGGGTGAAGAGAGATAAAGTAGAGTAAAGAGTAATAAGGAGTAATAAATAGAGGATATTACATGGCCGAGCGGAGATACGAAATTTCTCTTCGATTGTTGAAAAATATTTCACGAGTGAGCGCAGCTAACGAGTGAAATATTTTCAACACAAGAAGAGACATTTCGTATCTCCAAGCGGCCATGTAATGTTCTATTTATTATATAAACACCAATGAAATACCAAACCATTTCACTGAAACAGTTTTTTCCTGCAAAAGGCGTGATTTATTATGTAACCATAGGAACGGTGATATTTTCACGTGTGAAAATAACATGTTATTTTCATGTGTGAAGATATCATGTTTTCATGCGAAAGCTCACCTGGTATTTTATTGGTGTTTTTATAATAAAGAGTAATAAAGAAGAGTAAATGCAAGGGCGAGGCTAGAACACCAGACCTCCAGATCCAGATGTCGAGGTGTTAACCACTCAGCCACACATGCCTCCACTCCCACAGATTAAGCCTTAAAATGTGAATCTAATGATTCTTGTACCATAAAATGCACTGTTAACTAATTTATTAATAATGAACTAACAACCTTTAGCACTGATAAAAGTTGAACTTTGTGGTATCACTACTTGCATTTATATAGGCCATCCCCAACTTCCAAGATCTCTCTGACTTTTAAAATGAGGCTAAGTGTTAAACCTTTCTTGTGAAAATGAGTTTTATTCTATGAGAGTAAAAAGTCATTTTAATATAAATGGCTTGGCACTTAGCCTCGCTTTGAAACAGAGGTTTGAGACAACTGCCAAATGGCCCATTGGCTTACTTGGCTTATACATGTAGCACAAAGAATATTCACGCCATGTTTTTCTCGTTCACGCACTATCAGTTCTTTACTCTTAGTGATCGACATTTTTGTGCAGTTAATTCACTGCTTAAGTTTGTGTCAAGGCGACTGGTTTCCTTATTTGTGTTATTTTCCCACAGGTGCTCTTGGACAAGCAGGTCACGTGACAGACAAGTTACCGGTGAGTCATCAGGCATAGAGTATTCATGTACCACAATAAATTGGTTTAAAAGACCGACTGCCAAAAAAATTTTTCCCAAAGTTACGTAGTCAGTCTCTGTGGTGTAGTGGTGAGGTGTAGTCGCGCCGAGCCGAGGGTGCCGGGTTCGACTCCTACCGAACTCTCTTTTTCCTTCTTTCTTTTTTTTCTGTTTTTTTTTTGTGTTTTTGTTTTTTATAAATATATAGCTACATAACTAGTACTTAATAAAGTGCAATAAACAGCAAGAAAAGTATCATGTTTCCAGAGAAAAGATAGTACACCCTATGTTAAATATATGGATAAACAATCTGAATTTCTATCATTTCCTACAATTTACTGTGGGAAAACCAGAGTTGATAACCACTTGATCATTTTTTAAACAACGTTCCCACGAGTTCTTTATATAGACTAATAGTAATTATTCTAGTACTTTCCAACAACATCTAAATAGGACATTCAATGTCATTCTTTTAAGTCCCACTGCTTAACTAATGCCAGTATCAACAAAATGTGCCGCAGCATTACTATCTTTTAGATACCTTAGTTACTCTATTATTACTGAAGATTTTACCGAGTTTTAAATAAAGAATCTACCTACCTACCTACCCTTCTTACCCCTTGTTACCATTGTTACCCCTTCTTACCCCTTCTTACCCCTGTTACCCCTTGTTACCCTTGTTGCCTCTTGTTACCTCTTGTTACCCTTGTTACCCTTCTTACCTCTTGTTACCCTTGTTACTCCTGTTACCCCTTATTACCCCTGTTACCCCTTGTTACCCTTGTTACCGCTTGTTAACCCGTGTTACCCCTTGTTACCCCTTGTTACCCTTGTTACCCCTTGTTCCCCTTGTTACCCCTTGTTACCCCTTGTTACCCTTTTTACCCTTGTTACCCTTGTTACCCTTGTTACCCCTTGTTACCCCTTGTTACCCTTGTTACCCCTTTTTACCCCTTGTTACCCTTTGTTCCCCCTGTTTCCCCTTGTTACCCTTGTTACCCTTGTTTCCCCTTGTTACCCCTTTTTACCCTTGTTACCTTTGTTACCCCTTGTTACCCCTGTTACCCTTGTTACCCCTGGTTACCTCTTGTTGCCCTTGTTACCCTTTTTACCTTTTGTTAGCCGTTGTTACCCCCTGTTACCCCTTGTTACCCTTGTTACCCTTGTTACCTGTTGTTGCCTTTGTTACCCTTTGTTACCCCTTGTTACCCTTGTTACCCCTTGTTACCCCTTGTTACCCTTGTTACCCCTGTTACCCTTTTTACCCTTGTTACCCCTTGTTACCCTTGTTACCCCTTGTTACCCTTGTTACCCCTTGTTACCCCTTGTTACCCCTTGTTACCTTGTTACCCCTTGTTACCCCTTGTTACCCCTTGTTACCCTTGTTACCCTTGTTACCCCTTGTTACCCCTTGTTACCCTTGTTACCCCTTGTTACCCTTGTTACCCTTTGTTACCCCTTGTTACCCCTTGTTACCCTTGTTACCCCTTGTTACCCTTGTTACCCTTGTTACCCCTTGTTACCCCTTGTTACCCCTTGTTACCCCTTGTTACCCCTGTTTGCCCCTTTACCCTTGTTACCCTTGTTACCCCTTGTTACCCTTGTTACCCCTTGTTACCCCTTGTTGTTACCCCTTGTTACCCTTGTTGCCCTTGTTACCCTTGTTACCCTTGTTACCCTTGTTACCCCTTGTTACCCCTTGTTACCCCTTTGTTGCCCCTTGTTACCCCTGTTACCCTTGTTACCCTTTTTGCCCTTGTTACCCTTTTACCCCTTGTTACCCTTGTTACCCTTGTTACCCTTGTTACCCCTTGTTACCCCTGTTACCCCCTTGTTACCCTTGTTACCCCTTTGTTACCCTTTTAGCCCCTTGTTGCCCCTTGTTACCCTTGTTTTTTGTTACCCTTGTTACCCCTTGTTACCCCTTGTTACCCCTTGTTACCCTTGTTTTGTTGCCCCTTGTTACCCCTTGTTACCCTTGTTACCCTTGTTACCCTTTGTTACCCTTTGTTACCCTTTTTACCCTTGTTACCCCTTGTTACCCCCTTGTTACCCTTGTTACCCTTGTTACCCCTTTTGTTACCCCTGTTTACCCTTGTTACCCCTTGTTTACCCCTTTACCCCTTGTTACCCTTGTTACCCCTTGTTACCCTTTTTTACCCTTTGTTACCCCTTGTTACCCCTTGTTACCCTTGTTACCCTTGTTACCCCTTGTTACCCTTGTTACCCTTGTTACCCCTTGTTACCCCTTACCTTACCCTTGTTACCCTTGTTGTTACCCCTTGTTACCCCTTGTTACCCCTTGTTGTTTGTTACCCTTGTTACCCTTGTTACCCCTGTTACCCCTTGTTACCCCTTGTTACCCCTTGTTACCCCTTTGTTACCCTTGTTACCCCTTTTTACCCCTTGTTACCCCTTGTTGTTGTTACCCTTTACCCTTGTTACCCCTTGTTACCCTTTGTTACCCTTTGTTACCCTTTTTACCCCTTTTTGTTACCCCTTGTTACCCCTTGTTACCCTTTGTTACCCCTGTTGTTACCCTTGTTACCCTTGTTACCCCTTGTTACCCTTGTTACCCCTTGTTACCCTTGTTACCCTTGTTACCCCTTTGTTACCCTTGTTACCCTTGTTACCCTTGTTACCCTTGTTTACCCTTTTTTGCCCCTGTTACCCTTGTTACCTGTTACCCTTTTACCCTTGTTACCCCTTGTTGTTACCCTTGTTACCCCTTGTTACCCCTTTACCCTTTTTTTTTTACCCCTTTTGTTACCCTTGTTACCCCTTGTTACCCCTTTGTTACCCTTGTTACCCTTGTTGCCCCTTGTTACCCTTGTTACCCCTGTTACCCCTTGTTACCCTTGTTACCCCTTGTTACCCCTTGTTACCCCTTGTTACCCCTGTTACCCTTGTTACCCTTTACCCCTTACCCTTTTACCCCTTGTTACCCCTTTGTTACCCCTTGTTACCCCTTGTTACCCTTGTTACCCCTTGTTTCCCCTTGTTACCCCTTGTTACCCTTGTTACCCTTGTTACCCCTTGTTACCCTTGTTACCCCTGTTACCCCTTGTTACCCCTTGTTACCCTTGTTACCCCTTGTTACCCTTGTTACCCCTTGTTACCCTTGTTACCCCTTGTTACCCCTTGTTACCCTTTGTTACCCCTGTTACCCCTTGTTACCCTTGTTACCCCTTGTTACCCTTGTTACCCCTTGTTACCCTTGTTACCCTTGTTACCCTTGTTCCCGCTTGTTACCGTTTGTTACTCCTTGTTACCCCTGGTTACCCCTTGTTATCTATGTTACCCTTGTTACGCCTTGTTATCCTTTGTTCCCCTTTGTTACCCCTTGTTCCTTTTCTTACCCCTTGTTAGCCCTTGTTACCCTTCTTAACCCATTTACCCCATGTTACGCCTTGTTATCCTTTGTTACGCTTGTTACCTCTTGTTACCCCTTGGTTACCCTTGTTACCCCTGTTACCCTTACCCCTTGTTACCCTTGTTACCCCTTGTTACCCCTTTACCTTGTTACCCTTTGTTACCCCCTTGTTACCCCTTGTTACCCCTTGTTACCCCTTGTTACCCCTTGTTACCCTTTGTTACCCCTTGTTACCCTTTTACTTTTGCCCTTGTTACCCTTTGTTACCCTTGTTACCCTTGTTACCCTTGTTACCCCTTGTTACCCTTGTTACCCCTGTTACCCTTGTTACCCTTGTTACCCCTTTGTTACCCTTGTTACCCCTTTGTTACCCCTTTTACCTTGTTACCCTTGTTACCCTTTGTTACCCTTGTTACCCTTTGTTACCCTTGTTACCCTTGTTACCCCTTGTTACCCCTTGTTACCCCCTTGTTACCCCTTGTTACCCTTTGTTACCCTTTTTACCCTTTTGTTACCCTTGTTACCCCTTGTTACCCTTGTTACCCCTTGTTACCCTTTGTTGCCCTTGTTACCCTTTGTTACCCCTTGTTGTTACCCCCCTTGTTACCCTTGTTACCCCTTGTTGCCCCTTGTTACCCTTTGTTACCCCTTTTACCCCTGTTACCCTTGTTACCCTTATTACCCCTTGTTACCCCTTGTTACCTTGTTACCCTTGTTACCCCTTTACCCTTATTACCCTTGTTACCCTTGTTACCCCTTGTTACCCCTTGTTACCCCTTGTTACCCCTTTGCCCCTGTTACCCTTGTTACCCTTGTTACCCTTGTTACCCCTTGTTACCCCTTTGTTACCCCTTGTTTACCCTTGTTACCTTGTTACCCCTTGGTATCCTTGTTACCCCTTGTTACCTTGTTACCCCTTGTTACCCCTTGTTACCCCTTGTTACCCCTTGTTACCCCTTGTTACCCTTGTTACCCTTGTTACCCCTTGTTACCCTTGTTACCCTTGTTACCCCTTGTTACCCTTGTTACCCCTTCTTACCCTTGTTACCCCTTGTTACCCCTTGTTACCCTTTGTTACCCTTTGTTACCCCTTGTTACCCTTGTTACCCCTTGTTACCCCTTGTTACCCTTGTTACCCTTGTTACCCTTGTTACCCCTTTTTCCCCTTTTTTACCCCTTTGTTACCCTTGTTACCCCTTGTTACCCTTGTTACCCTTGTTACCCTTGTTACCCCTTGTTACCCCTTGTTACCCTTTGTTACCCTTGTTACCCCTTGTTACCCCTTGTTTGTAACCCTTGTTACCCTTGTTACCCCTTGTTTACCCTTGTTACCCCTTGTTACCCCTTGTTACCCTTTTACCCCTGTTACCCCTTGTTACCCCTTGTTACCCTTGTTACCCTTGTTACCCTTGTTACCCTTGTTTACCCTTATTACCCCTTGTTACCCCTTATTGTTTGTTACCTTGTTACCCCTTGTTACCCCTTGTTACCCCTTGTTACCCTTGTTACCCCTTGTTACCCCTTGTTACCCTTGTTACCCTTGTTACCCTTGTTACCCCTTGTTACCCTTGTTACCCTTTGTTACCCTTGTTACCCTTGTTACCCTTGTTACCCCTTGTTCCCCTTGTTACCCCTGGTTACGCTTGTTGCCTTTGTTACCCCTTGTTACATTTGTTACCCCTTGTTACCCTTGTAACCCCTTGTTATCTTTGTTACCCTTGTTACCCCTTGTTACCCTTGTTACCCCTTGTTACCCCTCTTACCCCTTGTTACCCCTCTTTGCCCTTGTTACCCTTGTTATCCATTCTTACCTTTCTTACCCCTTGTTACCCCTGTTACCCCTTGTTAGCCTACCCTTGTTACCCTTGTTACCCCTTGTTGTTACCCTTGTTACCCCTTGTTACCCCTTGTTACCCTTGTTACCCCTTGTTACCCCTTGTTACCCTTGTTACCCTTGTTACCCCTTGTTACCCTTGTTACCCCTTGTTACCCCTTGTTACCCTTGTTACCCCTTGTTACTCCTGTTACCCTTGTTACCCCTTGTTACCCCTTGTTACCCTTGTTACCCCTTGTTACCCTTGTTACCCTTGTTACCCCTTGTTACCCCTTGTTACCCCTTGTTACCCTTGTTACCCCTTGTTTACCTTACCCCTTGTTACCCTTGTTACCCCTCCCCTTTTACCCTTGTTACCCTTGTTACCTTGTTACCCCTTGTTACCCCTTTGTTACCCCTTGTTACCCTTGTTACCCTTGTTACCCTTGTTACCCTTGTTGCCCCTCTTACCCTTGTTACCCTTGTTACCCCTTGTTACCCCTCCCCTGTTACCCTTTTACCTTTGTTACCCCTTGTTACCCCTTGTTACCCCTTTTGTTACCCCTTGTTACCCCTTTGTTGTTACCCTTGTTACCCTTCTTACCCTTGTTACCCTTGTTACCCCTTGTTACCCCTTGTTACCCCTTGTTACCCCTGTTACCCCCTTGTTACCCCTTGTTACTCTTGTTACCCTTGTTACCCTTGTTACCCTTGTTACCCCTTGTTACCCTTTTGTTACCCTTTGTTACCCTTTTGTTACCCCTTGTTACCCCTGTTACCCCTTTACCCTTGTTACTTGTTACCCTTGTTACCCTTGTTACCCCTTGTTACCCTTGTTACCCTTGTTACCCCTTGTTACCCTTGTTACCCTTGTTACCCTTTGTTACCCTTTTTACCCCTTGTTACCCCTTGTTCCCCTTGTTACCCTTGTTACCCCTTGTTACCCTTGTTACCTTGTTTACCCTTGTTACCCTTGTTACCCTTGTTACCCCCTGCCCTGTTACCCTTTGTTACCCTTTTGTTACCCTTGTTACCCTTTGTTACCCCTTGTTACCCTTGTTACCCTTGTTACCCCTTGTTACCCCCTTGTTACCCTTGTTACCCTTTGTTACCCTTTGTTACCCCTTGTTACCCTTGTTACCCCTTGTTACCCCTTTACCCTTGTTACCCTTGTTACCCCCTTGTTACCCCTGTTACCCTTGTTACCCTTGTTACCCCTTGTTGCCCTTGTTACCCTTGTTACCCCAGCAATTGTTACCTTGTTACCCTTGTTACCCTTGTTACCCTTGTTACCCTTGTTACCCCTTTTGTTGTTACCTTTGTTACCCTTTGTTACCCCTTGTTACCCCTTGTTACCCTTTACCCCTTGTTACCCTTGTTACCCTTGTTACCCTTGTTACCCCTTGTTACCCTTGTTACCCCTTGTTACCCCTTGTTACCCTTGTTACCCTTGTTACCCTTGTTACCCCTTGTTACCCCTTGTTACCCTTGTTACCCCTTGTTACCCTTGTTACCCCTTCCTTGTTACCCCTTGTTACCCTTGTTACCCCTTGTTACCCCTTGTTACCCTTGTTACCCCTTGTTACCCTTGTTACCCTTGTTACCCCTTGTTGCCCTTTTTGTTACCCTTGTTACCCCTTGTTACCCTTGTTACCCCTGTTACCCCTTGTTACCCCTTGTTACCCTTGTTACCCCTTGTTACCCTTGTTACCCTTGTTACCCTTGTTACCCCTTGTTACCCTTGTTACCCCTTGTTACCCCTTGTTACCCCTTGTTACCCCTTGTTACCCTTGTTACCCCTTGTTACCCTTGTTACCCTTTGTTACCCCTTGTTACCCTTGTTACCCTTTGTTACCCTTGTTACCCCTTGTTACCCCTGTTACCCCTTGTTACCCCTTGTTACCCTTGTTACCCCTGTTACCCCTTGTTACCCCTTGTTACCCTTATTACCCCTTGTTACGCCTTGTTACCCTTGTTACCCCTTGTTACCCCTGTTACCCCTTGTTACCCCTTGTTACCCCTTGTTACCCCTTTGCCCTACCCCTTGTTACCCCCTGTTACCCTTGTTACCTTGTTACCCTTTGTTACCCTTTGTTACCCCTTGTTACCCCTTGTTACCCTTGTTACCCTTGTTACCCCTTGTTACCCTTGTTTACCCTTGTTACCCCTTTACCCCTGTTACCCTTGTTACCCCTTGTTACCTTTTGTTACCCCCTTGTTACCCTTGTTACCCTTTTTTACCCCTTTACCCTTGTTACCCTTTGTTACCCTTTTGTTACCCCTTACCCTTTACCCCATTGTTACCCTTGTTACCCTTTGTTACCCCATGTTACCCTTGTTACCCCTTGTTACCCTTGTTACCCTTTTTACCCCTTGTTACCCCTTGTTACCCTTGTTACCCCTTGTTACCCTTGTTACCCCTTGTTATCCCTTGTTACCCCTTGTTACCCTTGTTACCCTTGTTACCCTTCTTGCCCATTGTTACCCCTTGTTATCCTTGTTACCCTTGTTGCCCATTGTTACCCTTTGTTACCCCCCTTGTTACCCCTTGTTACCCTTGTTACCCCTTTGTTACCCTTTGTTACCCTTGTTACCCTTGTTACCCTTGTTACCCCTTGTTACCCCCTTGTTTGTTACCCTTTGTTACCCCTTACCCTTGTTACCCCTTGTTACCCTTTGTTTACCCTTGTTTACCCCTTGTTTACCCTTTTACCCCTTGTTACCCTTGTTAACCCTTGTTACCCTTTTACCCCTGTTACCCTTGTTACCCTTGTTACCCCTTGTTACCCTTGTTACCCCTTGTTACCCTTGTTACCCTTGTTACCCCTTGTTACCCTTGTTACCCCTGTTACCCCTGTTACCCTTGTTACCCTTGTTACCCCTGTTACCCCTTGTTACCCTTGTTACCCCTTTTACCCCTTGTTACCCTTGTTACCCCTTGTTTACCCTTGTTACCCTTTTACCCCTTGTTACCCCTTGTTACCCTTGTTGCCCCTTTGTTACCCTTGTTACCCCTTGTTACCCTTTGTTACCCTTGTTACCCTTTGTTACCCCTGTTACCCTTTTACCTTACCCCTTTGTTTGTTACCCCTTGTTACCCTTGTTGCCCTTGTTAACCTTGTTACCCCTTGTTACCCTTGTTACCCCTTTTACCCTTGTTACCCTTGTTACCCCTTGTTACCCATTGTTACCCTTGTTACCCCTTGTTTGTTACCCTTAACTTTCTACCCCCCCCTGTTACCCCTTGTTACCCTTGTTCTCCCTTTTACCCCCTTTTTTACCCCTTGTTACCCTTGTTACCCCTTTTACCATTGTTACCCCTTGTTACCCCTGTTGCCCTTTTTTTTACCCTTGTTCCCCTTTTACCCTTTTGTTTTACCCCTCTTTTTACCCCTTGTTACCCCTTGGTACCCCTATTTCCAGTTCTTAACTGTTGTTACTCTTGTTGCCCTTGTTACCCCTTTTACTCCTTGTTACCCTTGTTACCCCTTGTTACCTCTTATTACCCTTGTTAGCCCTTGTTACCTCTTGTTACCCCTGTTACCCCTTTCTACTCCTTGTTACCCTTGTTGCCCCTTGTTACTCTTGTTACCCCTTGTTACCCCTGTTACCCCTTGTTACCATTGTTACCCCTAGGTACCCCTTGTTACCCCTGTTACCTGTTGTTACCCGTTGTTACCCCCTGTTACCCTTTGTTACCCCTTGTTGCCCTTGTTACCCCTTGTTACCCTTGTTACTCCTTTTTGCCCCTTTTACCCCTTGTTTGTTCATTTTGTAAAACCTGATTAGAAGACGAGGAGCATTTTTTAATGTATTGCATAGCCTATAGGGATCCTAGGAGAGAGCTGTTGAATACACTTAAAAAGGCAAACACGTGTATCTAGGCGCTCTGTTGATAATAAAGCACTTATCCTATCCTTATCCTATCCTGTTACCCCTTGTTACCCCTTGTTACCACTTTTACCCCTTGTTGCCCCTGTTACCCCTTGTTACCCCTTGTTACCCTTGTTCCCCCTGTTACCCTTGTTACCCCTTGTTACCCTAGTTACCCCTTGTTAACCTTGTTACCCCTTGTTACCCCTTGTTACCGCTTGTTACCCCTGTTACCCCTGCTACCTGTTGTTACTCCTTGTTACCCCTTGTTACCCTTGTTACCCTTGTTACCCCTTGTTACCCCTCTTACCCCTTTTTACTATTGTTACCCCTGTTACCCCTTGTTACCCCTGTTACCCCTTGTTACCCCTGTTACCCCTTGCTACCCTCGTTACCCCTTGTTACCCATGTTACCCTTGTCGCCCTTGTTACCCATTTTTTACCCCTGTTACCCCTTGTTACCTCTTGTTACCCTTGTTAGCCCTTGTTACCTTTGTTACCCCTTGTTACCCCTTGTTACCAGTGTTACCCCTTGTAACTCCTTGATTCCCTTGTTGCCCCTCTTACCCCTTGTTACCCCCTGTTACCCTTGTTACCCCTTGTTACCCTTGTTACCTCTTGTTATCCTTGTTACCCCTTGTTACCCTTGTTACCCCTTTTTTACCCCTGTTACCCCTGTTCCCCCTTGTTACTGTTGTTTCCCCTTTTTACCCTTGTTACGTCTTGTTACTTTTTTTACCCCTTGTTACCCCTTGTTATCCTTGTTACCCCTTGTTAACTTTGTTACCCTTGTTACCCCTTGTTACCCTTGTTACCCCTTGTTACCCCTGTTACCCCTTGTTTCCATTGTTACCCCTGTTACCCCTTGTTACCATTGTTACCTCTTGTTGCCCCTGTGACTCCTGTTACTTCTATTTACCCCTGTTACCCGTTGTTACCCCTTGTTACGCCTGGTACACTGCTTGTTGGAAGAGTACTGTTGTGAATTGTTACCGTGGATAAATAAAGTTTTGGTGCTATTTCTACTACTACTACCACTACCACTACCACTACCACTACCATTACCACTACCACTACCACTCCTACGACTTAATTAACGTTAGCGAAATAATCTCGCACTTTATCGAAACGACTTAGGACGTTAGCGAAATGACTCGTTGCTGAAACGGCTGTAAACCCTTGGAAATCTCTCTATTTTTTCTTTCAATGAGAAAGAGAAATTACCAAAGATTATTGTACGTAGAGCTTTTTTTTTTCTCGCCTTAGGGAGAAGAAGAAGGAGCTGCAGCCATGGTTCCGTCTGATGATGAAGGGGAAATGGAAGACATGAAAGCGCGCCTGGAGGCACTCCGTAGCTAATTAACAAAATTAGAAGTTTAGATAGCCTGCGAGAAGGTAGCCTGTGCCAGGCTCCCAGATAGTAGGGACCGAAAACAAGGTCAAGGGGAAAATAGGACGCGCGTGGGGGGGGGCTGGAGAAGCTCCAGCCTCCGTGCGTTTTTCGCGTCAATTTTCTCGAGCTCCTCGCGCTACTATATTGGAGTCTGGAACAGGCTAACGAACAGGGCGGTTTCCTAGCAGTAAATTTATGAGAAAGTCCGTTAACGGCTTTCAGTAACGAGAAAGTTGACGTCATGAACAACAGGAATGACAATGTCTTTGCCCTTTTCTATACATGTGCTTTGCCTAAATTTTTTTAACCAAAAACGGGGGAATGGGAGAAAGGCGCTCTTCAATCCCCTCCTTGGACAGACTGTAATTTTATTATTATCTACTGCATTTTTTTTCTGTTCTTTTTTCCTTTTTCTTTTTTCCTCTTTTTTTACTTGATAATATAAAGTTTCCTGCCCGTACCCATTGGCTGAAACGCTGTATCTTCTCTATTAACCAAAACATACTTTTATTTTGTGTTTTTGGTTTGTAAATAATTAATTATGAGAATAAAAGCGGAACCAAGTTTATGTATTGAGAATCTTTTTCATGACTTACGTTATCAAATCGGGCAGATGTCTGCTATGTGGTTAGCTATCACCTCAAATTTAATTTAAAAATTGTAAAGGACCCTGCAAAATTAACTATTGAGAGTCCCAATAGTAAATTTGTTTCAAACTGTTCAAAAGGCGTCATTTTCCTTAAGATTCATCCGTTTACAGCTTATGTGCACATCAGCCCCAAGCCTTAGTGAAAACAAACTCTGATTTTTTCCCCAAAAATTCATTTGTAAAATATTTCAGTCACCACATACAAAGGTAATCATGCACCGTGAATGAAACCGCTTAGTCCAAGGCCCTTGTCCGGGATCTCCCCAGGCTCTCTTGGACAATTCGCTCGAACCGTGAGACTAGAAGGAATAGGCTGCTTAAACTAATGAGGCCAAGAAACAAGAAAAAAACACTCGAAACGGTGTAAAAATCGTTTAAGTTCCTAGAGGTATAACACCCACTCCCGGGTGTTTGATTCAATCCAATATTACACATTCTCTTCATGTCCTCCATGGAAATATTACCAAAAATAGCCGTAAACAAACAATCCCAAATCAGTATTTCATTTCAACACCTCGATACAACACCCAAGAACATTCAGTTACCTTCCATCAAAAATATTTGACTTGCTTCAAACCAATATTTCTTAACGTCTTTAAAACTGGTTTGCACGTGACGTCACGGCGGCCAAGTTGGTGGCCAAGACCAAGATCATTTTTTACTCTGGGATCTAAACTCCATTGTCATGTAAATTCTCCGAGAAAAAATTTTATAGTATTGACCCCCCAACATAGCCGCCTTGTCACGTGGTTGCAAACCAAGAATACCTTACTTTTCACTTTGCTCAGTTTCCTTTGTTCCTTAGGGGAATACAATCCATAACCGCTTGTTACTATTCACTGTCTGAAAAGTTGATGGCGGCTTCGATTGTAAACAGGGGAGAGTGGGGCTGAAATAATAGCTGATATTAATAACAAAACGATGGAATATATAATCCCCTGCTCATATTCCACTCGTGGTATTCCCCTCATCATATTCCCCTGCTGATACTCTCCTCAACGTGCTTAACCACCCCGCTAAAACAACACAAGTCAAAACTTACCACATTTTCGTGGACTTCATTTACTTCGTCGATCGGTAGTTGTCATAGCGCAATGTTCTTCAAACTAGAGATTCGCATTACCGGCTGCGTCACTTTTAAGGTGGCTCGACTGGATTTTTTTGGGGGGATACCTCCCAAGTTTGAGCATTAACTACGTCGTCATGAGTAAAGATATCGAAAAAAGGTTTCCACAACTGTATTATATAAAGATGAAAAATTCTTATGATTTGGGTTTTATTGCAATCGGAGTCGCCATGGCAACGTAACGACGCCATGACGTTTTTTATTTATCTTTGTGTTTCTCTGTACCAGGAGTTTTTTTAAGAAATCGCTTAAGGGGGTTTGTACCTGCCATGATTGCTTCAATTATTGCAAAGTTTGAACAAATTCTATGAGAGCGTTTTGGAAATATTTTGAAACGAAGTTTTAAGCATCATAAAAACAGTGAAATAGCATGCTATCCACACAATTAGCAAATTTTTTAAGAAAATGATAAGCTTTGGAGACGAGGCTTCATCTCATAGTGGTTTGATTCCGTTGAGCGGTTTTTTCGTTGAGCGGTTTTTTGGAAAATGCGAAATTTGTAGGCGTGGACCAAATGACGTGCAAAAACTGTAACAAAAGCAGCTGAATGCAAGTTAATAAAATTTTTTTTACTCGCGATCGCCCAGAGCAATTCCCTTCTGTTTTTGTACACAGTTTTCAATGGAATCAAACCACTATGAGATGAAGCTGCGTTTCCAGAGCTTATCGTTTTCTTTAAAAATTAGCTAATTGTGTGGATAGCATGCTATTTCACTGTTTTTATGATGCTTAAAACTTCGTTTCAAAATATTTCCAAAACGCTCTCATAAAATTTGTTCAAACTTTGCAATAATTGAGGCAATTATGGCAGGTACAAACTCCCTTAAGCGATTTCTTAAACAAACTCCTGATGCAGAGAATCACAAAGATAAACAAAAAACGTCATGGCGTCGTTACGTTGCCATGGCGACTCCGATTGCAATAAAACCCAGATCATAACAAATTTTCATCTTTATATAAAACAGTTGTGGAAACCTTTTTTCGATATCTTTACTCATGGCGACGTAGTTAATACTCAAACTTTGGAGGTATCCCCCCCAAAAAATCCAGTCGAGCCACCTTAAACGAAACTGACGTAACATCTCCAACATCTACCTGCGAACATCCTGGGTTGCAATATTACTCGTCGGATGACTGACACAAAAATCTGTCGCGGTGGAAGGTCCAAGAGAATTTTCAAAACTGCTCCGCCGTAACGTTAAGAATACATCTTCTGAGTTACTCATCTATTTTGGGTAAAACTACTGTTTGACTACTACACACGAATTGACCAATTTCCATAACCTCAAACAATTCGAGGCTCTAGGGAATAAGTACCGTAAAATTCCGAAAATAAGCCCCGGGGTATGTACGGAGGGAAATTTGCGTTTCAAAATCGATTGGGCTAGCTTGTAGTGGCAAGAAAATTTACCATTTTTGCTTTGTTTCACTTTGTATTCGAGGGCAAATTCCAAGTACAAGCCCCCCGGGCGGCTTATATTCGGAGAGGCGATTTAACGGAGGGCTTTTTGCGTTACGATTTTGGGGGGCTTATATTTGGAGGGGCTTATACATGGAGGGGCTTATTTTCGGAATTTTACGGTATCTCTAGAAAATTGATTTAAAGCTTTTTCCGTGAAGCGTTTTGCTTTACGAAACCTCCCAAGTAAAAAATAAGCATGTTATTCTCCAGTACCTGTCCCTCGGGGGTATGTGATAAATTCACCCGATGCCGCCCCGAGGGGCACCAGGTGAATAGATCACATACCCCCTCGTTCGTGGTAATTAACTCTTACATACCACGTCCAATTCCAACGCTGAAGTATACGCTCTCCTAGAGTCTTGTCAACACCTTGGTTAAGGGTGAACAGACCTCTTTAGCTTGTACGTTTTGCTTTCCCATAGAGGTCCCCGGGGAGCATGGTCCTTTGTCTTTTCATAAATTATTAGTATGTTAATAAGACCAAATTTGAAAGAAACCGTTCTCCAGAGTATTATCTCATGACCTATATTGGGAAAACAAAACACACAACCTAAAGAGTTTTATCCATTGGCTGAGCGGGGCCGTCGCCCTTGGGCATTTTTTGTGTTTGAGCTTGAAAACAATACTCCCACGGTTTTTTTAAAGTTTTTATTAAGATCAGTGAGAGAATATCCATTGACACTGCTGGAAAGAGCGCCTTAAAATTAGGAAACCTGTCAAGTTTAAAAGTGATACGCGGAAAGCGAGCGAATACTGCACAAAGTCGCGAAATTTTACAGACCTTTGTGTGGTAGGGTTCACCAGTTTACCGCCTGCGGAGCCATATCTTCGTGAGTTTTGAACAAATCACATTCAAACTTGGCATCTTTACTTATCTTAAGGCGTCGTTTCCAGGTGTGTTGACGGATTTTTGCAAACCGGTCCCAGTCAAAAGTTACCAAAACCGTGGAATCTAGTACTGCAAACTTGAAACTTTTTTTTCAGATTCCCCCATAAATCTCATAAAAACACGCCGGCCGTCACTTGAGGGAGAAAGAATAACTTAAGAATAAATTGGGTGATTAATTTTTCTTGTACTACTCTTTGCTGCTTGCCTTATCAACCAAAATAGAACTTCGTTTCTTCATTCCATGTATCACCGGCATAGTTTTTTCGCGCGTCACTCTCCGCCTACATGAATTCGTGCGAAGTCCCTGTGCGGTGGCTTCCCATGTCTTCTCTGTCAACGCTTTTCGGTGACCTATTCGCGGCGAACAGCGGGGAGACAAACTCGTTCGGACCCAAGTTCGGACCAAGTGATCCGAAACACACAGGCCGTGAGGAATAAAGAGGCTCAGGGACTAGGTAGCATCAATCCGTCTTAGAGGAACACCTCAACAGATGGACATTTGGACTGAGCGAATATCGGGGACCAAGAGGGTAGGTTTCTGAGATCTTGCCTCACTACCTTGCTTCTACATACTATATTTTAGAAATCAATTTGTTCCTATTAGAACGCAAACTTTAATTACCGGTTGACCTGTCTCGTGTCAATAGTGTTTTAATAAAGCACACATGTACACAGATTCAAGCCCAGATTTAAATACAACTTCAGAAAACTCGATTAACTCAATTGGCGAAACAGGATCATGCGAACGTTAGGCGATAAACAAGCTAAGCTGAGTAAAATACCATCAAAAATTACGTTAACCCTTTCAGCCCCAAACGTAACCAGCATTTAATTTCTCCTAACAACGCTACTGCTTATTCGTAACTATAGGTAATGAGAATACATGAATTAATCAACAAAGATGAAGGGGCTTGATGTTTGAACAAATACTCTCAAGAATAAGTACCAGCAACAAATGTATGAAGAACAGTATGACGAAAATGCGGATAAATTTAGGTTTCTGGGAAACTGCCCACCTACCCCTCCCTTACGCCAACATTTTGCCCTAAGTGAGAGCTAAGTGATAATGTTGACTTAGGGGAGGGGTAGGTGGGCAGTTTCCCAGAAACCTAATTTGATCAGAAACTGGTTGTTGATATTGGGGCTCAGGGGTTTAACACAATGAGCACATTGCCTTTCTGAAGCTCACGGCGGCCATGTTGGTGGTGAAGAACAAAAGCATTTCTCTCCTCTAGGAATTAAACTCTATTTTCAAGTAACATTTTCGAGAAAAAATTCTATTGTTTTGCCCCCCAACATGGCCGCCTTGTCACGTGGTTGCAGACCAAGAAGATGCCTCTCAAAAATACCATAATACTTTTTGTTGTCCCTCCAAAATTTTGCATAAAAATTGTTTTCAATTTCTCTAGGGGCGCGAGTCCCAACGGCCCAAGAGAAATTGAAAGCAATGCTTATGCAAAATTTTGGAGGGACAACAAACAGTATTATGGTATTTTTTTAAAGGCCTATTTAGGTTACAACAAGGAACAATAGACCAAAAAAGCGATGACGATAAATCAAGAGAAATAACGCAAAAAGGACTGGACGACAACCAGTAAAAAATTGTCCGTTTGAAATGTTTCAAAGAGATACATATTCGAATTTCATTAGTCTCCACATTCCACACAACAGAAATTTTTCAGAAAACTAACTAGCCCTTATAAAAATGAAAAACAAAAAACAATAAATTGATTTAAGTGATATCTACAATAATCTTCAATGGTGGTATTTACACTGTAAACAACTATAACAAACTATACAGATAGAAACAAATTCATCAAAACTGCTACATACTAATTACCCTCACTTTGGTAACACGTGTACTCTTATAGAAAGATTTACCACTAGTGTCAATTAGTTTAAAGCCTTATTTACCTTAGTAGACTACAGACTTAAAAAACGTTTACTCGTTAGGATGGTCAAGAAGAGAATACCCACAAGTATAATTAGTTTTTGTCCATACTAGGATCAAAAGATCTACGAGACAGGCAATCAAAAATCACTAAGAAACCTGTCTGTGAAATAACTTCGCCTTTAGGCGCGACTAAAAGTTAGCCGACAGGGCTCTGGAATAAAAGTGGTCAATGACAGGTAAAACCGCATAATCCCGCCCCGCGGGTTTGAGTTAATAACAACAGAGTCAAGCTGTTATTCCCTTGTTTCACTCGATCCCAAAACCTTCCGCATTTGAAATGGCAATGGTCAGTTTTTGTTTGAGGATCTTTCGGCTTTTATACGGTGGAAGACAGAGCTGGTTGAAACATGTATGTGCCATGGGCAACCTGCAAAACAAGAACAAAAACAAAGGTATGAAAAGCCTTCTGAAGAAAACAACAATACCAACCTTATGAGAGGATTCTCAGCTGCTTAAAACTTGAACTATTATTTCAAAAGGAAGAGCACCCTTGCCTTTATCGCTATAGTCTCCGAGCAAGCTCTCTGGGGGCGGTTTTCTCTCACCCCTTGTCCCCAGGGAGCTTGCTCGCAGGATATTATCGCTAGTAACCGATAGGTCACGTTATAGCTCGCCCTTAGATTTCGTCGATTTTTTCTTATGTACATGCACCTGAAAGAGATGAATTTACCACAAAACAACTTTATGTGTGTGTCAAAGTTTGAAACTAGAATAGGCTTTGAGGTGATATTTGTTGTCATGACAACTTACATGCTCGTGCTGTTCGGTACTTCCATGCGAATGATTTTGAATTCCATTTCACCCATGCCGCCAATAGGAACCCGGTCACTACCAGTAGCAAACAACAGCAACTTTTTCTTCAAGTCCAGTGAAAATGACAGAACAACATCCCAGAAATACCTAAGAAAGCAACAAGATTTCCACCTTATAGTGCCGGTGTTACCAACAGTTAGCACTATTTGAACTTCCACTGAGGTCTTCGTATCAGTGGACATCCTTTAATAGTGGCTTGGCCTTGCAAAAGTTATTTACAATTAAACTGAGCGATTTCTCGGCCGCTGATTGGTCGCTAACTCTCTCTCTCTCGTGTGCCATTTTCCAAGGAACTTGGAACTTCACGGGAAATGTTGCTAAACTTTCCCAGTAACACCACTCACGGTTCCGCTTGAACAAATACCGTACTCTATCATACATGACTGCAAAGGCCTGTTTAGCCTAACGAACCCAGCATGCAGTATCTTTCGAAAGATTTACATTTAAGAAGCAGAAAAGGATTAGAATATTGTTACTATAAGGATTTACGCCAGTTAACCAACCTCACAGTAGGATCATTCTTTGTGTAACCCTCATAGACTGTGACTTTCCTGAGAGCATCCATGTCAAGCTCAGGGTTCCCACAGACCAACATCTCTACTTCTTCAGGACGTAACATCTGGATAAAAGACAACATTCACCTCAAAATACTGCACGTAATGAAAGGAGATGTGCCACAAATTTATCAGAATAGTCTACCATTACTATTTACTCCATATACCAAAAGAAAATTCAAACTGGGTAAATAATTGTTTAAGTTCCTGTTTTGAAAGCCTGACATTGACACTTACGCCTTGGCGAAATGTTTTAAAATAATTATGTTTTAATAACATTTTTCAAGACAAGTTACAAAGAGTAGCACTACTGATCCTGGCCTGGGAAGGTAAAACTTGTACTTACAATAAGCGCATTAGAAGCACACACACTGTGAAAACCATGATAAAAAGACGCGAACTGTTGGTATATAGATCTGTTCAGCAGATAATCCACGTACAGATTCACGTATTCTGAGACGGAAATGAAAACATCGCATTGTAACAAAAGTTTACACACGGCAGTGGTGAGCCTGTCCTGAAGCATTGCCGTCGTAACGGCCGATGGACCGAACACTACTATGCTTCTTAACGCAAAGGCAAGAATGCAGCCGAAGTGTGCGCCGGAGCCAAGAAGACAGAATAAGGTGGGAATTTGGCGGATACGATTTCTCCTTACTTTCCGCTCCAAAATAGTAATGGGCAGAGATCGTGAAAACTAATGCGAAAAACACGCGGGGGCTGGAGAGAGATCAGATCACACGCGTTCTATATCCCCTTGAGCTTGTTTTTGCCACGTCTGTTCCATCTGAAAGCCTGGTACAGACTACCCCACGCCACTTCAAACAACCTATCGTGTTAAGCTTCGGCACTTCTCTCCTTCAAGAAAAGAAGAAAAATAGCGGCGAAATGGGGGACTGCGTACAGTGTATGGCATCAAGTCCAGCCCGCTTATGTGCACCATGCGACAAAAGGGATGAAAATCTTGGGTACAGCAATGTGATAACTTAATGGCTAGCAAAGTAGAGGTTGATTTCCACTGACGCGTTTTTTGGCTACGCACCTTAACGCGCGAAAGTTTTAATCACGTGAATATAAATAATAGAGCCAAGATATAGTGTTGAGATTAAACGTGAAGTTAAGCGAGGGTCTACTTTTACGCTTATCTGCAACCTTTCATAAATGGCCTCTATTTTATTTGCGAACGTAAATTTTACACACGTACGCACGTAAAAATTACGCGACAGTGGAAATCAACCCTTACGCTATAAATGCTTATTTTCAGTCTAATTTAACCACCTACTGGAAAATAAACATTTTACTCGACTCTGAAAGAATTCGAAACTGTGACTTTTGAGGCGCCTACCTGGTGGATCAGGGGTTCGACTAGCGTAGGGGAGGTTTATCACAAACATAGTAGTAGAAGTTAATTACCTTGTCTGTTTTGCTTTGTGACTGGGATTCTATCACCCCTGGGCTTCAAACTGTGAGTGATGACCTCCCCAAACACAGTGTAAGAAATCTAGAAAATAATCATAAATTTATTCTGAATTATTACAAAAAGCTGATTGGAGAAAGTTAAAAAAAGTAGTGAAAGTGAAATACGGAAAAATTAACACGCGTTTTATCAAAATTTTAATAGTTTCTCGAGCCCTTTAGTTGTAACGTCTTTAAACCTAGACGCCATCTTGGCAATGAGATTTACAAACCCAAAAAAGGAGAAATTTGTTATCACCGATGTTATCACAAAGTTAAGTTAAAGTTATGGCAACGATGGGTTTAATGTTTACAATAAGCTTAGAAATAAAATGAATATTGACAGCCGACCTGAAATGTCTGACAGAGATCTTCTTCCACATCTCCTTCGTACTCTAAGAGTTCCTTGAGGCCACGCCCAAGATCCTACAAGAGATAACGGTAAACTTCAAAATAAATGCAAAGGGCGCTCCAAGTAAAGACATCACGCGCGCCACAAAAGACTAAGCAGTCGAGCCACGTAAGCAAAGCAGGAATCCTGGGAATGAGAAAACTGCAGGTAGCGTGGCGTAATTCCTTGATATGGGATAAGGGTCCGTTTCCGTAGCCCGAGGCTACACTTTAAATAAAATCACGTTCCGGAGCTGCAAGTAACTGTCGGTCATCGCAAAATGTCCGATTTAAAATTGGCCCGTGTCCCACGAAAAACTTAAGTGGTCGGAAATGATGTCCAGTCAAAATTCAAAATACCGAGAAATATAACTTTGCAGACGAATGAAATCTACCTCTTAAGCACAATGAATTTTTGTCCCACCAAAATAAAAGTACGACAGTGAGTAGATGGCAGTAACCAGTCTATAAAAATATCGGGCACTTATAACGCACAGTAATTGTTCAAGAGGCAGAATCTGTCTTAGATTGAGTCCAACCACACGTTTGTTTTGTCCGACCAAAACAGTGACTCGGCCGGAGAGGACAAATAATTTGCAGCTTTGAAAATTTAAGAAAAAGTAGTGGGTGGTCTAACCCCTAATCAGTCTATTTCCTTTCCTTTGCTTGCTTAAGAATTTTAATGAATTACTTTCAAAGCCATTCATGTCGCCACTTTCGAGAAAAAAGCCCCTAGCCCGAGTTGCTCAATCGCTGGATACCGCTATTCCCCGGATAAATCACTATCCAGACCAGTGGATATAAATTTCAGGGAAACCAATTGCTTTACCCACTGGACAGAGGTTTATCCGGTGGATAGTGTTATAAACCTTTCGAAAAACTGGACCCGCGGAAACTTACCGGCATGGCCTCCATTAAGTCCTTAAGCCCCAACGGTGCTATGCCAACTGTAGCATGAGGATCGTGAAAAGGAACTACCGCAGGACTCAGGAGTTTCTTGTAACAACAAGGAGGAAATCTGATATCTAAAATGATGCTGTTGTAAACTGCTAAGCCCATTAGCTGTTGCACGGTTAAGAAAGAGTTCAACAAATTCAAAGTGAAATTACATGTACTTTGCATTGATCAACGGTATTTCATTTACTATGTTAAAAGGATACAACACCAACTAAGTTGAATTCAGAGTCATTATCCATGCATGTTTTGCTAAACCAGTACGTTCTTGACTTCTCATTGTAAGTAAACATCCCTGAAACATAACATAAAGTAACAGACCCTTTAGCGTTGTAACAAAGGAACAATTAAAGGCTCCTGTTAAGGGACAGGCTTCTCTCCTCCGCAGAAACCCCGCTGGGTATCCCACTAAATATAGCAATAGTCGATAAATAAAAAGGTTCCTTCCCATTGTGCCCTGCACGACAACAGTGACATTAGTGCCAATGGTGACACCAGTGTCAAAAACAAAAACAGTAAAAACAGCAACGACAGCAACACCAGCGCCAACAGTGACAACAGCGATGACAGCACCAAGAGTGACAATAACAACAGTGACAAGCGTCAACAACGACAAAAGTGACAACAGTGACATCAGTGACAACAGTAACAACAGCAACAACAATGACAACAGTGACAACAGTGACAAAAGCGACAAAAGTGACAACAATGTCAACAGCGACAACAGCGATGACAGTGACAACAGCAACAAAAGCGGCAACAGTAACAACAGTGTCAACAGCAACAACAGTGACAACAGTGACAACAGTGACAGCAGGGACAACGGTGTAAACAGCAACAACAGTGACAAAAGTAAAAAGTGACAACAGCGACAACAGCCACAACGGTGACAACAGTGTCAACAGCGACATCAGTGACAACAGCGATAACAGTGACAAAAGCGACAACAGTGAAAACACTAAACAGTGACAACATAACAACAGTTACGCCAAAGGCAAAAGCGACAACAGCGAAGACAGTGACAGAACTGACAACAGTGAGGACAACGGAAACAGCGACAACAACAACAGTGGCAACACTAAACAGTAAAAACAGCGACAAAAGTGACGAAAACGGCAACAGTGACAACACTAAGAACACTGAAGAGTGACACCAGCGACAACAGCAAAAACAGCAACAACAGCCACAACGCAACAACAGTAACAAAAGTGATGACAACGGCAACAGCGACAAAATATACAACACCAACAACAGCCAAAACACTGAAAACAGTGTCAACAAGAGACAAAACCGACGACAGTGACAACAGTGACAACACCGACAACAGTGACAACAGTGAGAAGGGTGACAACGGTGACAACAGTGACAACGGTGACAACAGTGACAAAGGTGAAAACCGTGACAACAGTGACAACGGTGAGAAGGGTGACAACAGTGACAACAGTCACAAAAGTGACAACAGTGAAAACGGTGACAACAGTGACAACAGTGACAAGAGTGACAACAGTGACAACGGTAACAACAGTGACAACAGTGACAACGGTGACAACAGTGACAACAGTGACAACAGTGACAACAGTGACAACAGTGACAACGGTAACAACAGTGACAACAGTGACAACGGTGACAACAGTGACAACAGTGACAACGGTGACAACGGGGACAACAGTGACAACGGTGACAACTGTGACAACAGTGACAACGGTGACAACAGTGACAACGGTGACAACGGTGAAAACGGTGACAACAGTGAAAACGGTGACAACGGTGAAAATAGTGACAACGGTGACAACAGTGACAACGGTGACAAAAGTGACAACGGTGACAACAGTGACAACAGTGACAACAGTGACAACGGTGACAAGAGTTAAAATGGTGACAACGGTGACAACAGTGACAACAGTGACAACGGTGACAACAGTGACAACGGTGACAACAGTGACAACGGTGACAACAGTAAAAACGGTGACAACGGTGAAAACAGTGACAACAGCGACAACAGTGACAACGGTGACAAGAGTAAAAATGGTGACAACGGTGACAACAGTGACAACGGTGAAAACAGCGACAACAGTGAGAACGGTGAAAACAGTGACAACAGTGAAAACGGTAAAAACAGTGACAACAGCGACAACAGTCACAACAGTGACAACGGTGACAACAGTGACAACGGTGACAACAGCGACAACAGTGACAATGGTGACAAAAGTGACAACGGTGACAACAGTGACACCGGTGAAAACAGTGACAACAGTGACAACGGTGAAAACAGTCACAACAACGACGACAGAGGCAACAGTGACAACAGTGACAACAGTGACAATGGTGACAAAAGCGATAACAGCGACAGCGACAATGGTGAAAACAGTGAAAACAGCGACAACAGTGACAACGGTGACAACTGTGACAACAGTGACAACGGTGAAAACGGGGACAACGGTGACAACAGTGGCAACGGTGACAACAGTGACAACAGTGAAAACAGTGACAACACTGACAACAGTCACAACGGTGACAACAGTGACAACGGTGACAACGGTTACAACAGTGACAACAGTAACAACAGTGACAATGATTAAAACAGCAACAACAGTGACAATGGTGACAAAAGTGACAACGGTGACAACAGTGACAACGGTAAAAACGGTGACAACACTGACAACGGTGACAATAGTGACAACAGTAACAACAGTGACAACAGCCACAATAGTGACAACAGTGACAACAGTGACAAAAGTGACAAAGGTGACAACAGTGACAACGGTGACAAGACTCACAACAGTGACAACGGTGACAACAGTGACAACAGTGAAAACGGTGACAGTGACAACACCGACAACGGTGACAACAGTGACAACACTGACAACAGTGACAAAGGTGAGAACAGTGACAACGGTGACAAGAGTCACAACAGTGACAACGGTCAAAACAGTGACAAAAGTGACAACGGTGACAACGGTGACAGTGACAACGGTGACAACGGTGACAAAGGTGACAACAGTGACAACGGTGACAACAGTGACAACGGTGACAAGAGTTAAAATGGTGACAACAGTGACAACAGTGACAATGGTGACAAAAGCGATAACAGCGACAACAGTGACAATGGTTACAACAGTGACAAAAGCGACAACACTGACAATGGTGACAACTGTGACAACAGTGACAACGCTGAAAACGGGGAGAAAGGTGAAAACAGTGACAACGGTGATAACAGTGACAAAAGTGAAAACAGTGACAACACTGACAACAGTCACAACGGTGACAACAGTCACAACGGTGACAACGGTGACAACGGTGACAACGGTTACAACAGTGACAACAGTGACAACAGTAACAACAGTGACAACGGTTAAAACAACAACAACAGTGACAATGGTGACAACGGTGCCAACGATGACAACACTGACAACGGTGAAAATAGTGACAACGGTGACAACAGTAACAACAGTGACAACAGCCACAATAGTGACAACACTGACAACAGTGAAAAAAGTGAAAAAGGTGACAACAGTAACAACGGTGACAAGACTCACAACAGTGACAACGGTGACAACAGTGACAACAGTGAAAACGGTAACAACGGTAAAAACAGTGACAACACCGACAACGGTGACAACACTGACAACAGTGACAAAGGTGAGAATAGTGACAACGGTGACAAGAGTCACAACAGTGACAACGGTCACAACAGTGACAACAGTGACAACGGTCACAACGGTGACAAGGGTGACAACAGTGACAACGGTGACAACGGTGACAACGGTGACAACGGTGACAACAGTGACAACGGTGACAAGAGTAAAAATGGTGACAACGGTGACAACATTGACAACGGTGACAACAGAGACAACGGTGAAAACAGCGACAACAGAGACAACACTGACAACAGTGACAACAGTGACAACGGTGACAACAGTAAAAACGGTGAAAACAGTGACAAGAGTGACAACGGTGAAAACAGTGACAACAGTGACAACGGTGACAACAGTAACAACAGTGACAACGGTGACAACAGTGACAACAGTGACAACGGTGACAACAGTGACAACAGCGACAACAGTGACAACGGTAACAACAGTGACAACAGTGACAACAGCGACAACAGCGACAATGGTGACAAAAGTGACAACAGTGACAACGGTGCCAACAGTAAAAACGGTGACAAAAGTGACAGCGGTGACAATAGTGACAACAGTGACAACAGTAACAACAGCGACAAAAGCGACAACGGTGACAACAGTGACAACAGTGACAACAGCAACAACGGTGACAACGGTGACAACAGTCACAACAGTGAAAATGGTGACAACAGTCACAACAGTGACAACAGTGACAAAAGTGACAACAGTGACAACAGTGACAACGGTGACAACAGTGACAACGGTGAGAAGAGTGAAATGGTGACAACGGTGACAACAGTAAAAACGGTGAATACAGTGACAATGGTGACAACGGTGACAATGATTACAATGGTGACAACAGTAACAACGGTGACAACAGTGAAAATGGTGACAACGGTGAAAACAGGGACAAAGATGACAACACTGACAACCGTGACAACAATGACAACGGTGACAACAGTGACAATGGTGACAACAGTCACAACAGTGACAATGGTGACAACGGTGATAACAGTGACAACAGCGACAACGGTCACAACAGTAATAACCGTGAGAACAGTGACAACGGTGACAAAAGTGACAACAGCGACAACAGTGACAACGGTGACAACAGTGACAACAGTGACAACAGCGACAACAGTGACAACGGTGACAACAGTAACAACAGTGACAACAGTGACAACAGCGACAACAGTGACAACGGTGACAACAGTAACAACAGTGGCAACAGCGACAACAGTGACAACGGTGACAACGGTGACAACAGTGACAACGGCGACAACGGTGACAACACTGACACCAGTGAAAACAGTGACAAGAGTGAAAATGGTGACAACGGTGACAACAGTGACAACGGTGACAACCGTGACAACAGTGACAACGGTGACAAAAGTTACAACAGCGACAACAGTGACAACGCTGACAAAAGTGACAACGGTGACAAGAGTCACAACAGTGACAATGGTGACAACAGTCACAACAGTGACAACGGTGACAAAAGGTACAACAGTGACAACAGTGACAACGGTGACAACAGTGACAACAGTGACAACGGTGACAAGAGTGAAATGGTGACAACGGTGACAACAGTGAAAACGGTGACAACAGTGACAATGGTGACAACGGTGACAACGATTACAATGGTAACAACAGTGACAACGGTGACAACA